TTCTCTCCAAACCTTTTCTGGGACGGAATGGTCCGCCTCGAGGCCCATCCGTCAATCACTCAGTCTTGCAGTCCTCGTCTGGTCTTTGGCCTCGCCTCACATCCCTCCTCACACGTTTTCCCGCGCTTTCTGCCTCAAAAGCACGCAAATACAGAAAGACGCCTGAGCGCATGCGCACCAAGCGCCACTCCAGAAAAGGCTCGTCGGCCTCGGGGGAGATCGCGGGAACTAACGCGCGAATTCACACTCTCGGCGAAGCGGCTCGGCAACTAGTCACGTCACTGACGCTCGGCCTCGCCTTATTGGGTGCCTTCAGCCTGCACGCTCTTGCTGGAGTAGGCGGCCAAACGTTGCCAAGCGCCAGGCTGCGCTCAGCGGAAGAGCTCCTAGACTCTGGAAACTCTGGAAACTCATGTCGTCATGGCAACTCTGCACTATCTCGTTGGATCCCTGCGCTACTTCTGCCCTCTGATAGGATAGTTGTCGTGTTAATGCTTTTATCTGATTGGATGCCAAGGAATTTGGACTTCTCTTCCTCTTAGCTTTTTTCCCCCTCTCTCGCGGCGGTTTCTTCCTCCACAAGCACTTGAAACATGCAGATGGAAAGTGACGTGCGTCGCCAGGAGGCGTGAAGAGTGTTGGACCAAGCACCGGACTTGGCTGGAGTCAGCTGAATAGATGGGCTCTGCCTCTTTCCCAAACTCCCTTTCCCCCCGCCAGAGGGCGCTACAGAGCGGCGGGCTTTTCGGAAGCTCGGTAACTGCTGACGTCAGTTACTGATTGGATCGTCGCTCGCGATTGGATTCCTCTCCCTGCTGTAGCTGTCATAAAGGAGGCTTGAAATCCGTGTGTGCCGGAATCGCACCTGTGTTCTCACACCCTTAAATATGCAAAGGGTACTTGTTGTTAGTATCTCTTCTAATCTCCACATCCATGCCCGAAGGTTCGAGCTATATTAGAGGGGAGGCCGAGTGCAGCTTGGACGCCTGTTTTTTTTTTTTTTTTTTTTGCCTCACATGTGTTACCGCTGACTTTCTTTTTTCATTAATTGACTTTTTTTCAAAAGCAATTTCCCGTTTGCATAAAAAACAAATCGAGTAAAGGATACAGACAGTTCCGTACTCTCGTCGAGACTCCCTCCCCAGTGTTGCCCATTATGAACATCTTGACTTAATGGGGTACATTTGTTCAAACTAACAAGCTCAGAATGAGACGCTGTCGCCAGCCCGTTTACATCAGTGTCCCTTTTCATAGTGTGCACGCGCCTCCAAACTGTTAAAACCAACGTTGTTTTTTAAAGATAAGATTCACAGCAAAACCGAGAGGAAGGTTCAGGTTTTCACAACCTTTGCTGCCACCATCCCCCAAATACACAGCCTCTCCAATTACCAGCATGCCCCACCAGCTGGAGGACATTACAATGACATGTGGCCACCACGGTAGCGTCACACAGAAGATTTCACTGTCCTAAAAACACCCCGGACACCACCATCCACCATTCTTTCCCCGCAAGCCCCAGGCAAACGCCCATGTTCTTTGCCATCTCCACAGCTGTGCCAGCCCCAGAATGTCACGTCGCTGGCGAAGTGCCCTACACACCTTCCTCAGATCGACGGCTTCCCCATCTCATTTCTTGTTATCACTCACTCTACCCACGTATTGCAGTTTCTTCACCTACTGAGGGACGTCTTGGTAGCTTCCAAGTTTTGGCAGTCATAACTGCTGCAGCTACGCACGTTCCTTCTCAGGTTTCCGTGTGGACATAAGTTTTCAACTCATTTGGGTAAATACCGAGGAGCAGGACGACCGCGCCATATGGGAAGGGTATGTTTAGTTCTGGGAGAAGCTGTCAAACTGGCTTCCCGGTGGCTGTGTGATTCTGTACTCCCGGCAGCAGGGGAGGAGCGTTCCTGGGGCTCCGTGTCCTCACCAGCATTTGGTATCATCCGCCTTTTGGCTTTTGGCCATGATAGATAACCACGATCCCAGCATGCTGGGAGGCTGAGGCAGGAGGATCCTAAGTTTGAATTCCACCTGGGCGACTTAGTGAAACCCTATCTCAAAATAAGAAGTAAATAAGTAAATAGGGCTGGAGGGTACCCTTGGTTTTTTTTTTTGTTTGTTTGTTTGTTTGTTTTTTGTTTTGTCTTTTTCATTTTAATCGGTACCAGGGATCAAACTCATGACCGCACACTTGCAAGGAAGGCGCTTATGCCGCTGAGCTAAATCCCCAGCCCCCTGTTTTTGTTTTTTGAGACAGGGTTATGCTCTGTAGTTCAGGCCTGCTTTAAACTCACTTGAACCCTCAGCAGTTCTCCTGCCTCAACCTCCACTCCTGGAGCACCCGCTTTCAATCTCCAGCACTGCCCCCACTAAAAAATAGTGCACCAATTTAAATGTACCATTCAATGAATTTTTACAAGTGTGTGCAGTGGTGAACGAGATCAAGACAGGGGACAATGGTGACATCTCAAACGGTTCCGTGGTGCAGGCTCTCAGCCTCCCATCCCCCACCAACCCCCCACTTGACCAACTGCAGTCACCGAGTGGGGCCAGAAGGTGGGCATCAGTTCTCTGAGTCTGTCTGGCTCTTCTCACCCCTCAGTCTGGCTTCTGAGATTTACCGCAGCAGGGGCTTTTCACCGAGGTGGGTCCCCTCCTCTCGGTGGCCATGCGAGTGGTGCCCAGCTCTCCCGAGGGAGCTGGTGGAGTATTTGTGTGAACATCGCTGCCTCCCGGTGGGTGACGCCTTGGGAGTGGCTTCCCTCGCCCCTGTTTCTGCAGGTGGCTGCGGTGTGATGTCACCTCCCACCCCATACCCAGCATTTCCTCCTAGGCTGAAGGCAGAGAGGCCCTGGAGGCTATGATGAGAAGGTGGGGACAGATTGCAGGTGAGTGGCCTGCCAGCAGGGCTGCCAGCAGCCAAAGAGACTCTCCACGCTGGCCTCGCCTCGGCCTGACTTCCGCCTTTCGCAGCGGAGACAGAATGAATTTCTCGTCTCAGCCGCCGGCATGCGGTCATTTTTCATGGCAGCCTGAGCACACAAACACGGAGGCTGCGGCTCTTCCCGCGATGGGATTTTAATGGAAACGCAAGACTGCAGGTGTGACTGTGCCAAGGAGCCAGCGGCGCGCTGTCCTGGATGTGTATGCTGAGGGCCAGTCCTTCAGCCACTCCAGGTGGTCCCTCTGAGACTGAGTGAAGGCCTGCCTGTGACCCTGTCTAGAGAATGTTCTGCCTTCGAGGAGATGTACAGGGCTGATTCCAAAGCTACAGTGGTGGTTTGTATTCTCTCTCTCTCTCTCTCTCTCTCTCTCTCTGTCTGTCTCTGTCTCTGTCTCTCTCTCTCTGTGTCTCTCTCTGTGTCTCTCTCTCTCTGTCTCTCTCTATCTCTCTCTCTCCAGGGTCTCGCTGTGTTGTTCAGGCTGCACTTGAGCTCACTTTGTGGCCCAGGCTGGTCTCGAACTCATAACGATCTTCCTGCCTCAGCCTCCCGCGTGCTAGGATTACAGTCCTCCGCTACCACATCCAGCTACATTTCTTTTTAAATGTACTGCAGTAGAAGACTCTACCATACTTTCCCTCTAAAATCCTCCTCATTTGGAACACACTCCTTCCTCCGTTCTTGCCACTTTCTGAAGCAGCTCTGGAGGGCTCTTTCCAGGCTGTCGCGACACTGTGCAGTAATAAAAGCCACAGCCTCTGCTGCCGCCCAGCCCCGCCCAGTGGGAGGCGGGTGGCTAAAAACAGGACGGTAGTCCTCACCCACCTGCTCCACCAGCTCTGGTACCGTGGAACTTGTGACTCTTCAAAATCAAAGCGACCAGAAAAGGGAAACATTTCGAATCCATTCAGGATGTCGAGGCGCAACTAAAGACTTTCAGATCTGCCTTCAAAAGCAGCAAGAACGATGGTATAAATGTGTCCAAAGTGAGGGTGGGGAGATTTTAAGGAGGGGTAATGGTAAGGTCCTTTACTGTAACATATTTTTTAAAAATTTAAATACCGGATTTTAAAAAAGTTACACTTCATATTCACCTTACCAGCAAAAAGGGCTGAGCTCCTGAAGGCATCTGAGCCAATCACAAGCCAGATGGGAAGGGGCGGAGTCAGTGATGACAGGGGCGGGCCCAAAACAAGCTTCCCAAACAGTGATTGGCCCCAGGCGGCCCACGAAAGACCTGAGCAGGACCAATCAGAATCCCAAAAGACCCGGAGGCGTATCATCAGTTTCCCCAGAAATTATCTGCTGCAGGGCGATTACCACAGGTCCAATTCGTCTGCCATCGCAGCAGGTCCTGTAGTTGTCCTACCCAGCAGTCACCGACTCCATGTGCTTCCCAGCTGGCAAGCCCTGCTCCGCCCAATGGGGACCAGAAGCGACAGATGCCGGCTTTCTCGCAGGGCTCTGCAGCTCAGGGTTCTGCAAAGCTTGTTTCTGACCGAAGAGAAATGAGAACCCTTCTGGGAAAGAAAGGATGAACACATGTGGGAGGCCCTGTCCTCACCGTTTGCTTTCTCCATCTGTGAAACAGGGCACAGTCTGTGCTTGGAGACACCAGCTCATCACCCGACGTCAAGCTCAGCACCTCCACCAACCCCACAAGAAACCGCTATCATTTAAACTCTTCCAGTTGGAATTCCGTATTTGGATTTTTTTCTTTGCTTTTTCAGCAGAAGCCTACAGCACCAGGCGTCTACCTAACTGGGACGACAGGCGGAAAGAGGAGAGCAGAAGAAAGTGGCCAGAACACCTAGATCAAGCCATGCCTGAAGTCCCCATTCCATTCATCTCCATATACTGGGGTCTTTTCATTCTATCTGTGGTTCTCTGCTGTATTTTGTGTCTCATTGTCAGAAATGGTCCCAATAAATATAATTTTTAAAAAACAAGGCCCAGAGAGATGGATTGAGCTGCCCAACCATGGAACGAGGCCTGCATTTGTCTGATGTAGGCGCTAAAGCAGCTTCCCATCCCAGAGAGGCCAGGAGCCCCGGGTGGTGAGACCCACAGAGTGTGTTTATTCTGGTGTTGATAGCAGCAGGGGGGGGGGGTGTGTGTGTGGCCAGACTGGGGGTAGTGAACACGGCGGGGGACATGGTCCTGTGTGTCTGGGGGACACTGAGGACTGGCGGGGAGACATCCACAGTGAGAACAAAAATTGGGACACTGGACTTGGATGACAGTAAAGAGACAGAACAACGGAGGGTGGGGGAGGGGTCCCCCAGACATGCATGGCCCCTTGCCTCGAGGGGGAGCCCCGGGGAAGACGAGACAGACAGTGGAGGCTGAGGGGCCCCCACCCTGAACCAGAGCACTGAGCTGCCCGCTGTCCACCCATACACGTTCAGGAAGGAGAAGCGGGCCCAGGGCAACCCTGCCCCAGCAGCTCGGACGTTATGGCTTCGAGGAGATGAGTTCTCGGTCCGGGCAAGAAGTGGGGTCCTGAGGGACTCTACTGAGATCCCCGGCCTAGGCCAGACCTGCAACGGAGTGATAGGGCAGAGGTCAGCAGCAGTGGCAAGGAAGGTCAGGACCCCATCTCTCACTCAGCAGGACCAGGGACAGACCGGAAGCCCATACCCCTCCTCCCTCGGACTGAGGTGCGGTCCAGCTCCCCGCCTTGGCTTCTCACCCCTCACTCTGAGTTCTCCTTCTCTGACAGTCCTTTGCCACCTTTTGTGAAGCTGGTCAGAGTCTTCTCCTGAAAGAGGAGATCCAGAAGGCTCAGGAGAGAGGACAGAGACAAAACAACCACTTGCGATCAACAGGAAGCAGCACCTATCCTGTGTCATTATTTACAGTGTTTTTTCACTAAGCTGTGAGAGGAGGAGGCCAACTGTACTCTGATCCCATTCTATAGACGTGAAAACTGAGGTGTAAAAGACCAAGTCCCTGTGAATGTGAGGAAATAGGAGACGACTCCCTGTGAGGTGAGAGTGGGGGGTTCTGGCCCATGTAGAGTGGCTGAGGGAGCACTGAGGAGCACTAGCGAGCACAGGGAACCATGAGGAGGACAGCGTTGGGTGCACACTGACCTCCAGAGCTTTACGGAGCTTGTGGGCTGAGTGGAAGCTTCCGGGGAAGCTTGTGGAATGAATGAGTGAGTGGGGGGGGGGGTGGTTGCCTCTCTCCTGTTGCATAGCAACCTCCCCCCTCCCAGAGTGAAATCAGACTTCCTCCCTCTGGAATCGGCCTCTGTGGCCAGCTGTCCTGTCTCCCACTGTCCCTGGAAGAAAGCTGGCAGAGGGGGACAGGAACTCAGCCCAGTGCCCAATCTGTGGGGTGGCACAAACTTAGCCATCCAGACAAGAACATTTTGAGAAACCAAAATTAAGGCAAAACATTAAACAAACAAAATTCTCCCTTATTTTTGTGATGCTACAGATTGAACTCAGGGCTTTTGCCCTGAGCTATGTCCCCAACCCTTTTAATTTTTTTTTTTTTTTTTTTTTGTTTTGAGACACGGACTCCCTAAGTCACTAAATTGCCCAAGCTGGGCTTGAACTCATGATCCTCCTGCCTCAGCCTCCCGGAGTGCCAGCGTGACAGGCCCGTGTCACCAAACCTGGCTCAAAGTATTCAGTTTTCAGTAAAGTCCTATACAACGTCACATGGACTGACAATGGGGCAGGTCCCCATAGCATGATTTGATGTACTTTTAAATGATTAATGTGCCCTGAGAATGCCAAAATCTTGCGCGCACACACACACACACACACACACAGAGGAAAAGGAAGTGCAAGGGTATTAAAAATAACATTATTTTATGCTTAAATTTATATATATTATTATAAACAGGACTTACCATGATTTAATATTTTTATAATTTTATTTTCTTAACTTTTATGGAACCATATTCATTCATATTTTTGAATTTCTTTGCTTTTCTTGTTTTTCATTGACTAAATGGTCACAGTTTACCTTTGTAAAGATGTTGAGTGGCTTTAAATTGGCCAGGACCACAGGCCCCAGGAGGCCTCACAGCATTCACACATCCTTTCCTCAGCCTCCCCAATCATGAAGCCTCAGCTGTGATGTTGCCTGCCCCTCCCCTCCCCCTGCCCCTCCTCCTGCCCCTCTTCCTCCTCCCCGAAGAGACCCGGGGAGCTACCCTTATGCCCCGACCCCCCAAACTCGATGGGGGCTGTGGCCGCATGATCTTTATACTAGCTCCTGAACCATGACACTCTGCTGTGTCTTGACTTCATTATTCTCTTTTTGTTTCATTGGTCCCTACTCCCAAGACAATGCACTAATTTTTTTTTTTTTTTTTTTTTTTTTTTTTTTGAGACAGGGTCTCGCTGTGTAGTTCAGGCTAGTTTTGAGCTCACTTAGTAGCCTGGCTGGCATCGAACTCAGGGCGATCCTCCTGCCTCAGCCGCCCGAGTGCCGGGATTACAGGAGTGCGCCACCACACCTGGCGTCAACCACTAATTTTCCCAGGTCAGCTCTTCCCTTCTATTTTCAGTTCAGCATCCAGCAGACCACTGACAGAGCCTGTCCCGATCCGCCCCCAGTCCTTCCCGGGGGCACAGGTTGCCACCGCCCTACCGGGCCGCAGGGCCGCTCACCTCCACGAGTTGGTGCCAGTGCTCCACCGGCTTGCGCGGGTTGGCCAGCATCTCGGCCCAGTGCTCGCGGCCGTGGGGGTCGGCGGCCTCGGGGCCCACGCGGCACACGCCGATCACCTCGTTGTGCCCGATGCTGGGGGGCGGGGCGGTGAGAACCGAGGGGGAGGGGCCCCATGCCATCCCGGTCCCCCGCCCTGCACCCCGCACCCCTCACCAATCGTAGTCCACCACGGCGATGCTGAGCCCCACGTTCTCCACACTCTCGGGGGCCACGTCGAACACCAGCGCCTCGTTGTACGTGGGGTTCAGCGTGTTCTTCTTGATGGAGGTTTTGCGCTTCTTCAGTCGCCGCCCCTCGCTGATCAGAGAGGCCTTTACGTAGGGGTCTGGGGGCGGGAATGGGGCACTGAGGGGACCCCTCCCGCAGCTGGGGTCCGCCGCCTCCGCCCTCCGGCCGGGTCCCTCCACCCCCGCCCCGCGCTGGCGCTCCGCGCTCACCCGAGAAGCCCGTGAGGTCCATTGCTTTGAGGTTAGAGGCTTTGATGATGGTCACGGTGAGGCGCCCGGCCGTGGGGAGGTAGCAGAGGGAGAAGTTGAGCTCCCCGAGATCTGCCTTTTCCTGCATCGGGGCAGGGGGCTCAGGGACTCCAGCGCACCTGGGCCCCCACAGTCCTACCGGCCCGGCCCAGGTCCCCCCTGCAGCAGGGCTCCTTCTCCCGCCCGAGGGCAGGCAAAGGCCCTGTAGCGCCTCTGACGGGAGGAGAGGAGAGGAGAGAGCTGCCCGAGGAGAAACCAGCCGACAGAGGCACAGAGAGGGGGACGAGACTCAGGGCAAGTGGGGCGGGGCTGGGAGAGGAGTGTGGAGCCCCAGAGTGAAGGGCGGACGGGCAGGGGTGTGCGGTGGGACCCCAAGGCCAGCCATGGGCAGAGCTCAGCTGGAGCCCGGTGCAGCTGGAGCCCAGTCCCGGGCCCTCCCCCTTCAGCGGCCCTCTGCCCTGCCCTCCTTGTGCTCCCTGTCCCGGTCACGGTCACCTCCTCGCCCTTCAAGGCCTCGGGGTCACCTCATCCCATAAGCTCCTGGGGCCCCACAGCACAGAGTCGGTGCCCGTCTCGCGTCCCATTACCCTGGCCTCTGCCGCCGGCCCTGGGACCTGGACCAGCAGCTCCCGACCCTCGGTCAGAGTCAGGGAGTGAGTGACAAAGGAAAGCAATGACAAAGGCCAGGCACAGGAGGCCAGCTGGACACGGAGAGCACAGATGGGAAACTGAGGCTGACAGCAAGTCCGGCCTGGTAGGAGGACCAGGCTCACTCCACCCCCACGACCTCTCAGCCCTGCAAGGACTGGAATGCTGGGGAATCCACAGGTCAGGACTGGGGGCCAAGGAAGGGACGGCCTGAGGTTTGGGGGGCCCAGGAAGGCTGGGGAGGGGCTGGGGCAGAGATGGGTATGCTGGAGAGCAACCTGCCAGAAAGGGGTCATGAGAAATGGGACAAGCCTGCGGGGAAGTGAGGGTTGAGGGCCTTGCAGTCTGCACCCTCAGAGGATGAGGGGGGAAAGCCCTGGTCACCCAGGCTCTTGGGATTAGGCAGAGGGGACCCTGGAGCATGCAGGGACAAGACCAGACCATGATAGCTTCCTTAGGGTGATGGGCTGACAAGTTAAGAAATTCAGAGACCGGAAAGGGCTGGACTTCAAGAAGATCAGCAATTGGGGCAGGAGTCCAGAAGGTGGGGGGCCAGGGGGAGGCGAGGCGGACAGCCAGAAAGTCAAAATCAAAGGCAGAGGTCACAAGGTTGTGGCTGGAAGTCCTCAGATGTAGGGAAATGGGGGACCCAGTCCTGTGGCTAACAGGTGACCAGGCTGTGGCTGGAGGGCTGGGGCCCATCACAGCATCACTCCTGATTCCCGGGGCAGGAAGGGGACAAGGGGGCCACTGACCGAGCCGCCCTCCATGATGTCCCTCCAGAGCGGGCGGTCGGGGGGCTGCTCAGCCAGCTCCAGGAGGTTGTCCAGCACCACCTGGCCGATGAGGTCGTGCCGCGAGAAGCGGTCGAAGTCATAGACACTGAAGTGCAGCTTGCGCTGGGCCAGCTCGGCCAGGGGCACTGAGAACTGGAAGGTCTCATTGAAGACGGGATTCAGGGTCTTCCTGTGCACCTGCGGGTGGGGGGCAGACAAGAGGACCCTTCCAGACACCGCGTGGGCTTCCCAGGCTCCTCCAGGACCCAGAGGTTTGGCTCCCAGCCCCCTTCACCCCCAGGATCCAAGATTCGGCAGGTCCCCCTGATATCCAGCTGCCGCCCTGGACCTTGGTCTGAAATTTCTTCTTGCGGTCAGGCAGCAGGTAGATCTTCACATAGGGGTCCGAGAAGCCGTTGGAGTCCTTGGCCGGAAGGTCCAAGGCCTGAAGGATTCGCACCACCAGCTGGTCGGAGCCGTAGAGGTACCGAAGGGCAAAGCTGATGCGGCCGCAGGGGGTCCCCGCCTCGCCCGTGCCCCCGCCGCCTCTCCGGCCACCAGGCCCGGTCCCCTGGTACAGCTCCGGCTTGATCTGCCCGATGAGCTTGGCCTTCTCCTCCCCACCAGGCAGGGGCAGGGGCAGGGCGGGCGGCCGCTCCTCACTGCTGGGGTCTGGCTGCGTGGTCAGGGTCTGCTGTGTGAGGGGCCGTGGCAGGGCCGGGTACCTGTGTACGCAGGGGAGACCGAGACAGTGTCCATAGCTCTGATCCTCACCCCTTCCCCCGGCCCTGGAGCCACTCACCCTTCTCCTTTGCTTCAGTGGACCTGGAATGCACCATTTGGGGGCTGAGCCTCAGTTTCCCCACTGGTGTCTGGAGATGAGTTTGCCCCATTTCTAAGCTTCCCCTGGCCCAGACTAAGGAGCCTGGCCTCCCAGAGTGGCCTCTCCCACCCAGCTCAGGCCCTGCACCCCCTCCGTCTCCCTCTCCCCAGCCTGTCCCATGCTCTCCACCACCACTGCCCTGGTCCCAGCTGAGGCCGGTCCTCTCCACCTGGCCCCCGGCTCCCCTGGCCCAGGGGCCTCCTGTCTCTCCATAGATGGCTGCAGAGGGGTCTTTCTACACCAGAGCAGACCCTGCTAACTGCCTCCCCCGGGGCTTTCCGGTGCCCTCAGCCTGCCATCGGGCCTTGCAGGACTCAGGTCAGCAGCCACACTTCCCCAGGTTTCTTTTTGCAAATTTACTCCCCTGCCCCAGGGCCTGGCCGCTCCATACTGCAGGCTTCCCCTCTGGCCTTAGCTGAACCGGTCCCTTGTCCCCCCACTCCCCGCCTGGCTGACTCTGCAGGTCTCAGCCTGGAACAGGGTGACAGGGCGACATCCTGAAGACCCCTAGTCATTCCCTGAGCTGATTTTGTGCCCTCCTGCATCCCCAAGACTGTGTGTGAGAGCACTGTGGGTGGAATCTGGGGTCTTCCTGCACCCTAGTACAGAAATAACTAAGGAAGAACAGACTGCAGGTCCCCACTGCCATTGGAGGGGAAGAGACACAGGTGGGGTGCAGACGTTCAGAGCGACCCCAGCCCCGCTGCCGGTCTCACCTGGTGCTGGGTGCGAGGCTTGTGACCTGCTGGTGCGACTGGGCACTGGGCAGGCCGCCCCCACTGGGGGGCAGCAGCAGCAGCCCAGAGCCCGCTCCGGCCTCAGAGGGCAGCTCAGGGGAGGTCTGGCTGGGCTTGACCCCAGCAGCCACCACAGCGGCAGCCGCAGCCTCCGGATACGAGTCCATGTCCAAGTAGGAGGGCTCAGGGGGGTCAGAGCCCCCCAGGCTGCCAGGTTCCAGCAGCTCGGCGAAGGGCGGGTGGTGGGCAGCATGGGCATGGTGGTGGGGGCCGCCCAGCAGAGGGTGGCCACCCAGGCCAGCCCCCAGGTGTCCACCGCCGCCCACCAGGCCAGCCAGCCCCACCCCGGGACCCAGGTCTTTGCGCAGGGGGCCGCCGCCCACTGCGGAGCCCCCCTTGTCCCTCCAAGGCACCCAGCACAACTTCCAGGACACAAAGAGAGAGACACCGAGGAGGACGATGCCGCAGAAGGTCACGATGACTGACAGCAGACTCACGGAAATGTCTGGAAAGAGCGAGGGCAGAGGTCAGGCATCAGGGTGGCTCTGCCTTCACCCCCAGGGCCAATCCCGACACTTTGTACGTAGGATGGAGACTCCGAAGCCCTCGGGGAGGCGTTTCCTATAAGGGCTTTGAAGAGGCAGTGGTTGAGGGGTGTTGGGCCCTGCACCTGGTAAAGGACAGGTCTGGTGTTGGAGTCCAGTGGTACCCTCCAGCCTGCCTGCCCAGTACCCAGGAAGTTTAGACACTGTCATGCGGGTCAGAACTCAAACTGCAGCTTGTGGCTAGGTTTAGAGGACAGCAGAAGGCACATGGTGAAGGGTGTAAAAGCAGACACGGGTAGAAAGGTGACCATGTGCCAGGCCCCTTGGGCCGTGAGGCTAATGATATAATCCTTCCCATTTTCCATGGAAATAAACTGGGCTCGACAGATGCAATATCTCCTGTCCAAGGCCTCCCTGCTGGGGGATGGCGGGGCGGGGGCTGGCCTTCCTCATGGGGTTCTTACGATGCCTCAGTCCTTCCCAGTGAGTGGCAGTTCAAATGCAACTTGAAATTAGAATAATCAGCCACTGTGCCATCTTCATAACCAGCAGCTCCCAAATGCCTGTGATGTGTGGCCCCACGTTGCAGAGAACTTTGGGCAGCCCCTTCCTGCAGCCCAGGGTTGGGGCTCATTCAGTGATTGGTACCAGAAGTGGGGTCACAGAATGATACTCAAGGAAATGTGTGTTTGTTTTGGATTTGACTACCGGTCCAGGAAGGGGGGGGGGGGACTCTGCTCCAACCAGGCTATGGGCCATGGTGGGGACGCCAGGGGCTTTGCCCTTGCCAGCAGGAATGATGCACAGCAGAGGGGATGCCCCTGGGCTATACTGCCCAGTGCATGGCGTCAACCCTCAGACACTGCATCCTAGAGAGGACTTGTCTTATTTCATGAGAAAGCTGGGACTCTGAGACAGAGGAAGCAACCCCGCCGAGCCATTGCAGGCCCTGGCTGAAGGACCATGAGTCTCTGACTGTCCCCTCTCTCAGGCTGCTCCTTCTATGCTGGCTGAGAGTTCTGGGGACTATAAGAACCAAGCCAAGGACTTTACCAGTCTACTGGACACTAGAAATCTTGAGAAGAGGGTCACCACGGGGGAAATGGACCAGACATTTGCCAGCTGGACCCCAGATCCTGCCTGATGCATGGGAGCCCTCCATGGCCTGGCAAGGGCCCTGTTCCTGCCTGCATAGCCTGGGGCTGCTGGGGGCTGGAGAGCTGGCAGGGATACCCTGAGGAGCCTGGTCCTCAGCCAGCTCCTGGGAGGACACCTGTCAGGACAGACAGACAGACAAGAACTCAGGCCATGTGACATTCTCTCCAGTAAGACTGTCTCGGTCACCTAGGCCTTGGGCCATGCTGGGCAACCTCTACAATGCTATGACTTAACCTGTGGTCTGCAGCCACTCGGGGTCAGCCACATCTCCCGACCAACTTCCGAATAGACACTTCCCTGGTAGCGATATTCTGCATGTTACCGGTGGTGGCTTTTCAGTAAACCATGGGACTGTAGTCCTGGAGACCACAAACTTCTGCCCTAGACTGTCCAGGGTCAAAGTCTGGCTCCACTGCCCCCTTGAGGCTCTGAGTGAGCAGCAGCCAGCACTGTGCCTCCTTCCTCCTCACGGTCCCCCGGCTGTCCTGCATGCAGTGGCCAGGGCCCCATCCCAGAGCTCAGCCCGTGTGGCAGTGGCAGAGCCTCCCTCCTCTCCACAGCTCCCATGACATTTCCCAGTCTCACTCCGCCCTTTCCTATGACCTGGAACAATCTCTGCACCCCTCTGAGCCTGCTTTCCCTGTAAAATGGGATCATGTGTACCCCAAAGATCCACAATGGGTAATCAACGAAATGCCCAGAGACCTCACCTGCTCCCCTGACTACAGTGGCTGCTCGGTACCCCACTAGGGGAGGTCCTGACATCAGCTTACTGACCGCCATGTGTCCCACAATGTCCTGAGGGCTTTACCGGTGCTGTCCCCTCTGAGTGCTGGGACTACAGGGATAAACATCTGCTCCCTGCTAGGTAGTTATGGTATTGTCCCTGTTTTCCAGATGAGGAAACTGAGGTGGGGGAGAAGCGCTGCTAACCAAGACTCAGACTCCGGAGCCTGAGGTTCGCATTGCTGGCAGGGTGCACCACGTGTAGAGGAGACTTCGGGGGGCTACAGTTAGGGGGCGACCCACAGGGAAAAACTGAAAAGGCCAGGCGGAGTGGGGAGACCACACCATTCCTCTTCCTCAGATCAGAGGTTCTGGGAAGCAGGGTGGCAGGTGAGGTGGGGTTGAAACTCTAACTGGGACTGGCCTGAAGTGGGGGGAAGCAGAGTGGGTCCGACTCCCCCAAATCCTGGTTGTCGGGCAGGCCGGGGATTGACCAAGATGCAGGGGGTGCTGACCTGGGTCGGGGCCGCGGGGGTAGCCGCTAGGGAACCGGCTGTTGAACTCCTGACACCTGTCTCTGGTGTCGGCATCTCGGAACCGCGCGCAGAGCTCTGAGACCAGGATGAGCGCCCGTCGGCAGAGGTCTTCCTCGTAGTCTCCGGACATGGTGGCTGCCTGGTCCTGCGCTCACTCGGGAGGCTGGGGCCAAGGTGCAGGGGGATGAGGTGGAGGAGACAGGCAGGGGTGCAGAGATAAGAGGAAGGGGGAGGAGTGAAGAGAGCAGAGTGGGGCGGGCAGATCAGGAGTCAAGAGTGGAGGCAGAGGGACAAGGGGACAGATATTGGTGGGAAGGAGGAAGAGGAGAAAATCAGGAGCAGAGAGACACAAGAGCCAAAAGTAGGGGAGGGCAGGGAAAGAACAGGGTTGGACACACCAAGGGGATGGAGGTAGGTGCAAGTGGACAGGAGGACAGAGACCAGGGACAGGTGGACAAGGACAGGGACCCTGGGGAGGCCAGCAAAGGGACAGAGTTAGGAAGCACAAATAAAGGATGAGCAGATAAGGTGTCAAAGGTCAGGATGCACAGGCCAAGGGATAGATTTAGGGAAAAGTATACAAGATGGTGCCACACTCATTCACTCAACAAACATCCATCAGGCATCAGCTACACACCAAGTACTGTGCAAGCTACTGCAGACACAGCAGGGGAGGAAGGACCAGGGTGCTCTGACTTCCAGGTGTCCCGATCCAAGCAGAGGGGACAGAGAGCAAACCAGAAACCCCACACACACCACCCAAAGAAACACTTGCTCCAAACTGTGAGGAGCGCTTTAAAAGAAACTCAACTAGGGCCGGGTGGGCGTGGTAGCGCCTGTAAGGCTGTAATCCCAGCACTCAGGAGGCTGAGGCAGGGGGATCGTTGCAAGTTCGAGACCAGCCTGGGCTGCAAAGTGAGCTCAAGGCCATCCTGAACCGCATAGCGATACCCTGTCTCAAAAAGACAAAAAGAAAAAAAGAAACTCAGCTAGAGGAGGATGTGCCCCTGAGGACCAGGGACAGGGACAGAACCTGCGGGCTCTTGAGCCTTGAGCAATGAACAGTGAGGCTGAGGTGGGAAAAGTGTTCAGGCAGCAGGAACAGCACAAGCAGCGGCTCAGGTGGGCAAAGCAGTTGGAGGAGAAGGAGCCAAACTGGGATGGACGCGGGGGCAGGTGAATGTGGGGTGGCCAGGCAGGGTGTAGACCGAGTGAGGGATGGAGGGACGCAAGTAGAGACAGGGGAGAGAGGAGGGCAGATGCAGGCCCGAGGGGTGAAGAGAACAGAAGGGACCCGGAGGTCAAGGGTTCAGACTTGGGCCAGAGTGTGACCCATGGGGAAGGAGAGATGGGTGTGGAGAGGGGCAGGCAGGAGTGGGGCAAAAATGTCTCCAAGAGAGAGGGACTCAGTGGCAACAGAGAGAGGGAAGATGCAGAGGGAAGGACAGACAGACCCACGAGGGCTGGCCACCACAGACAGACGCAGGCTGGAGAGGAGAGCTGGGGAAGGGCGGATGGGGGCATCAGGAGAAGGGTCGGGAAGGAGGCATGGGGAGATGGCTGACCCATGGCCAGGGGCCAGGCATCAGAGAGTTGGAAGGGGCATGGGGAGGACAATGAGGGACGGACAGATAGACAGGGCTCGCAGATGGGCAGGTGTCGTGGGGGTGCAGCACAGGGCCAGGACTCGGAGGTAGGCATGGCCAGACTCACCCGCACTTATCCCTGCCTGGTCCTGGTTGGCAGCCGAGGCGGCGGCGGGCGGCAGCCCATGGGGGCTGCAGGACGGACTAGGGGCTGCGGACCCGTCCCCACGCGCGCCAGGTGGTGGCGAGAAGGGGTGTCAGATCTGGAGTGGATGGTGAAGCCGGGAGAAAAAGCTCAGCCCAAGCCACACATTTTGCCCTAGACTCGAGCCAGCTGCCCGACCCCAGGCGACCTCAGGGGTCCAGCCACCTCCTCCCACCTCGGGTGCCCCCCAGCTAGCAGTAAGCGCCTGCGAACTACAACTCCCGGCAGGGCTCGCTCTGGCGCGGCTGTGGTTCCTGTAGCCTGGTGCCGCGGAGGCTACTGGGAGTTGAAGTCTTTAATGCCTCTCTGGGCTGCAGAGAGGATGGGATTTTTTTTTTTTTTTTTTTTTTTTTTTTTTTTTGGAGGTGTTGGGGGGTGGATTAAGATGCCAGGGTCCCAAGACTCTTCAAGGGCAGGCAATGCTATGGGGGACCTCGAAAGGCCACGCAGTCCTAAGACCGTAGGGGCCACGGGATGAGTTAAAAGGTCCTTACGTCCTACGAATCGGTGAGAGAGAAGTGGGGTACACCCAAGTGTTTCGGGGACCCCTCTTGCCAGGGCCACGTGCCCCTCCCCCGGAACACCCGGCGAGCGCCACAGACTCCCCTGCCCAGCCTGAGGTCCGCGTGTGCTGCACCGACCCCCGCTCCCACGCTTCGGGGCCCCCCAACCCCCCCCCCATGGGGATGGGGCGGGGGCTGGAAGGGGGGAGGAGCGGACTCACCCGAGCCGCCGCCGCCGCCGCCGCAGCCCCGCGCGCCCGCCGCGGTGCCGGCTCGCTCCTCCCCGCCCCTGTCGCAGGTCTGCAGCTCCGCCCCCTGCACCCCCTCCCTCCCCTGCGAACCTGCAGCTCGAAAGCCAAAATCGCGAGGCTGCAGCGAGCGCCGAGCGAGGCTTCCCGGGACCAAGGCGTCAGAGACCCAGGGCGCGTCCACAAGCGATGCAGGGACCTTGGCACCAAGACACAGCGCGCTGCCCCCTGTTCGCTGTCTCTGACCTGGAAGTCCGGGACCCCGGCCCCTCTTCCCTAGGACGGGCCTTGGAGCGCCCCCACCTGCGCAGCTCTGCGGGCTGGTGGCGGAGGAGGCTGGCGGGAGGAGGCAGAGGAGACCAGGACTCCATCCTCCAGGGCCTGCGCCTTGCCCGGAGCCCGCTTCGCATCCGCAAAGCAGAGGCAATAACCGATTTCCTATGGGACAGAGCGTTAAAAAACCTGTCGTGTAGATAAAGCATTAGCACCAAGTAGGTGCTTAATGAATTCTTCTTGAATCAGAAAGTAACTGCTTCGGATACATTAATAGCAGCCAATGATGATTGTCACTTAAGATGATAGGTGGCGGGGCTGGGGATTTAGCTCAGCAGCATAAGTACCTGACTGGCAAGTAGGAGGTCGTGAGTTGAATATCCGGGAGCACCCAAAAAACCCAAACAAAAACAAGTGTTTAATTTGGGCTGGTCCAATGGCAGTGGGTTATCAGAACTTATTAACATTAGTGTCACTAAAGTTGGTATACCACCCCCCCCCACTGCTAAATTTGACTGGCTTAAAAAAAAAAAAAAAGATGATAGGTGGCAATGTGCTAAGTGTTTTGAAAGCATTTTCTCAATTCATCCTCACTTGGGCCGGGTACAATTGTGTTATTCCTATTTCACAGAGGAAATAATCGAAGTCCGTGGAGGTTAAATCCCTCGAGGAAGGACCAGATCTCCGCAGCCACGCATAGGCCCAGAGAGGTGGCCTGGAAGCCTCCTTCGTCTCTCCGGGTGCTGCCCCCAATAAGCGACACTCAGATCCCATCCAAGTAAGAGACTGATTGATTGCTTCTTCAAACACAGCCTCATGAGGCGACTCCTGGGCCCTCTTTTAACTGGATTGTTTCCCTCGCTGTGGCCTCTGCAGACCCACCGCCCTCCACGCACAAGTTCCCAGCCTGGGATTTGAATCCAGGCCCTTTCCACTGAGCTACATCTTCAGCCCTTTTTTTGGGAGGGAGGGAGGGACAAAATCTTGCTACATTCCTAAGGCCAGGCACAAACTAGCAGTCTTCCTGCTTCAGCCTCCCAGAGTACTAGGGGGACAGGTGTGCGCCCCCACTCCTGGCTGCCTCTGTGTGCATTTCTGAGGTTGCCCAAGCCCCCAGGGCTGTCTGTGTGACTTCGGGCACAGAACAGCGGGGTTCAAACCCCAGCACTGCTGTGCCTTCCCCAGGCAACCCGGGGAGAATTGCTGATGATTTACAAATCAGATTCTACCTCATCGAGCTATTTTGAGGACTGTATAAAAACCCTAGGAAGCTTAGAGTACTGGTCACTTAACCTGCATCTGCTGATTTAACCTTTAATTGCATTTGACAAGTGAGGAAATCGAGGCTCAGAGAGGCCAGCTGTGCTGGCCAGGATCGGCAGAGAGCGCCGAGAGTGGAGTGTGAGGGTACCCACCTGAATCTGGATCCCTCGTCACTTTAGACACTGCTTTGTACGCTGGCCCGTCTGACGACCTTGAGCGTCATTGCTCCTGGGGTATAGAACCGTAGAGAAAGAGAGAGGCTGTCACGCAGATTCCATCCAACTTGAGCAGCCAGCTGATAGATGCGCCTGGAGCACTTACGGTGTGTTGGATGCTTTTTTAGGGACCAGAGACTTGGCAGGGAACAAACAGGCAGAACCCTAGCCTTAGGGGAGCTCCTGGTCTAGTGGAGTAGACCTAGGAACCAAAGAACGATGCATCCTTGGAACCCCATGCCAGGAAGACAAGACGGGGTGGCATCTTCCCTGAGCAAGGGATGAGAGCTGAGCTCAGAGTGGTGAATAGGCAGGCATAGGCCAGCAGAAGATGGAGAAGGGGCATATGCTTCAAGGAGGAGCGGCCCATGTGAGGCCTGGGGACTGGCGGGGCTTAGCACTCAGCATGCAGTATCACGACAGTACGGCTTGCTTTGGTCATTGCTGTGTCCTTGCTGCCCAGCCCAGTGCTTGGCACATGGTTGGTGCCAGTCACTACTGGCTGGCTGAATGAATGGATGCATGCATGAACAAGTAGGTGGGTAAGCAGAGAAATGAGTGGGCATGGAGATGCATTCATGGGTGGGTGGGTGGAAGGATGAATAAACACTGGGGGCAAGAAGGGAGAGATGAATGGATGGCTGGATGGATGGATGGGAGACGGACTGAAGAATGGCTGGATGTGAGATGGATGGGTTTTGGGCAGATGGATGCATAGATGAATGGATGGATGTTGGAGGGATGGATGGATGAATGAATGAATGAGATGATTGGATAGTGAAAGGAGGGATGAACAAATGAACCAGTGGATTGTTAGTTGGCAAATGGATGATGGACAGTGGATGATTGGATGGATGGATGAGTAAATTGCTGGAGAAAATGGATGGATGTTGGGGGACAGGTGAATGAATGAGTGGGTGATTAAATGGTAAATGGAGGGATGGGTGGGTGAAGGAGTGGATGGTTGGATATGAATGGATGATTGGATGGATGGACAGATGCTGGACGAATAAATGAAGGGATGGATGGATGGGTGTTCATGAATCCTACTGAGTCATACCCACATGCCTGGAGATAAATGGAGACATGTGCAAATACAAATTTGCCTCTCCTGATGGTCCCCATGGAAAGGACGGACACTGGGAAGAGAGGGCGGCCATGCTGGACAGGACCTGTGCACAGGCAAGTGGAAGGTGGCTCCCCAAGCAGGGCCACTACAGTGCCAGCTCTGCCACCACTGCAGTGCTGATGTCATTTCTGGAACTGGAGGAAAATGCTGATTCAGGGATGCAAGTCCCAGGCTGGGCACTAGGCCAGTGAGTGGGACAGAGATGGCCTAAGGGACTGGGGTGGGTGGCAGAGGGAAGCAGGGGGGGCTGGGCAGAGAGACAGGGAGACAGTGAGACAGAGATGGGCAGAGGGATGGAGAGGGGAAGCGAGTGATGGAGAGGGAGACAGAGAGACAGAGACAGCCAGACAGAGAGAGTGAGGTTGACTCAGTTACTCAGCTCGCAGGTCCTGAACTCTGAAAGCCTGGCCCACTCCACTGGAGGCCAGGAGTGATGGCTCCGAGCTCCTCAGTGTGGGGAGGAAGCAGCCTTCAAAAGCCTGGGAAAGGAGGAAGAATGCAAAAAAAGTGAAAGGAAACAAAACTGCTCCGGATAGGAGGAGGGGCAGAGAAGACTTCCCCCAGGGCAGGAACCTGGAGTTTCTGATTCAGTCTGCAGGTGTCTCAAGTCTAATCCCAGCATTCGGGGAAGCTGAGGCAGGACAAATGCAGGTGTGAACCCAGCTTGGGCAACTAGAAGATTTTTTAAAAAATTTTATTTAAAGAAAGACTAAACAAAACAGAAAATGGGTAGAGATAATACATATGTTCAGAGAAAAAATAACCAGTAAGAAATCACGAGTTGATGTTTACATACTGTCCTTTTACAAATAGTTGTTCAAGACACAAAAGTGGAACATATAAAGTGGGAATTCAAACAGCAAGACTGCAAACAGTTCTGTTCAACTATCCAACAAAAACTTGCAACTAGGTGATTTAGTAAGATCCCTGTCTCAAAAATAGATAGATAGATACATAGATATAGACAATAGAAGAGGGGGCTGGGGATTTAGCTCAGCGGCATAAGCACCTGCCTTGCAAGCAGGCAGTCGTGAGTTCGATCCCTGGTACCGGTAAAAAGGAAAAAGACAAAAAACAAACAAAACAAAACAAACAAACAAACAAAAAAGACAATAGAAGATAGATAGATGGATAGACAGGGCCTTTGAGATGAGAAGGGAGGCTGGGAAAGGTGGAGACCAAAGGTAGAGGAACGGGGTGGAAAATGAAGCCCATTAAAGGAAAGAAGTCCTGGAAAGGCTGCAGAACGAGGAGGAGGGGCAGCACTGGGTTGTGCAGATCTTGTGCTCCAAGGTTGTTGGGGTCCTAGGGGTCTGGGGAAGGGCAGGGCCAGCCCTGGGGCCAGAAGGGTCACTCTGGGAGGGTGTTGGGCCCGGGATCCATGGGGTGAGAGTGAGGCTTGAGGGGAGAGGGCAGGAGAAGCAGCAGGAGGGCAGAGCTGGGGGCCGATGGGCCAGGAAGGTAGGCCCCCCCCATCCTTGAATTGGAGTTAGCAGCCAGAAAAGAAGGGCAGCTGAATGGGAGAGAAAGAGGGGTTAACATAGGGAGACCTGAGCCCCAGCCACAGAACAGCTTGGCTAGACCAAGTGCAGACTGTTTTAATTGCTAAGGACAGAAATTCAAGTCAACCAGCTCAAGTATTGGCAGTGAGGGCTTCAGGCATGGAGGGATCCAGCTTTCCCTGTCATCAGCCAGAATCCGACTGCCTCTTCCTCAGGCCTGGCTTCTGTCCAGTTGTCTTGACTCCCTGGCAAATTCTGTCCCAAGGTGGTAACATGGTGGCCCCCAGCTGCTCCAGTCTCAGCTCTGACCAGCCCAGCAGCTCCACCTTGATTTCCTCAACGACTTGTGCAGGGCTGAACTTGAGAATCAACCTAGGGTTCAGATGCCAGCCACCGTGGCACCTGCAGTCTCTCTCAACTCACACTCTGGAGGCTGAGGCAGGAGAATCCTAAGCTCAAGGCCAGCCTGGGCAATTTTTTTTTTTTTTTTTTTTTTTTGTCTTTTTCCTTTTTATCGGTACTGGGGATCGAACTCACGACTGCCTGCTTTCAAGGCAGGCGCTTATGCCGCTGAGCTAAATCCCCAGACCCTAGCCTAGGCAATTTAGACAACCTGTCTCAAAATTTTAAAAAACATAAAGAGCTGGGATGTAGTTCAGTGTGAAGACCCTGGGTTTGGGTTTAATCCCCAGTATTGGAAAACAAACAAATAAAAACCTGGTCAGTGTTGTTAGATGCAACTACAGAGAGGGAAACAGGCCCGAGGGAAAGCTAAGGCCTAGTCCAGCCTCTCAGCATGGAGTGGAGTAGGGGGAGGGGGCGGGCACTTATGCCAAACCCCTCCACTCTAGTCCCCAGGAGTCCAGCCCCCCCCTCCTAGCCCTGCCCTACAGAGGTACCATGGCAACACTTTCCCCTCCCCCACAGAGAACTGGGTTTCTGTTGAGAAACCCCCTTCCTAAGACAGGGCTGAGGAGGGCAAGTGGGAAGGGCAGGGGGCGGAGAGGGGCGCGCAGGCCGAGGCAGCTATGGGAGAAGACCAACGGAGAAAGGGGGCTGGGACGAGGAGGCAGGCAGGCAGGCCAACCAGGCGGGTGCTGGGGTCTGAGAGAGACCACAGAGCGTGAAACGGGGAGGGCTTGGGGGCGGGGCGGGTGCTGGGGAAACTGAGGCAGGGCTTAGGAAGATGGAGAGAGGAAGGAGAGAAGTGAGGGAGAAGAGGGCCGAGCAGCCAAGCAACACTGAGGAGGGGAGCCAGTGGGGGAGGGCAGGAGGGCAGGAGGCGGAGGGCCGGAGGGAGACTGAGGCAGAGGGATGGCGAGAGAGGGACAGGGAAGCGGCCCCGAGGAGACGAGGGGAGGTGCGGGAAGAAGCAGGGAGATGGCGAGGAAGGAACTGGGGCGCCCAGGAAGTCTTCAAGGTTAGGGGGACTCGGGTCTCCACAGGGTCCCTGCCTTCCATCTATGTGTTTCCTCCTTGGAGCATCAAAGAGGATGAGAGAGCAGGGTCTGGGAGGAGAACCTGGGGTGGGTGGCCCAGCCAGAGCCCTGCTTCCCGCCCCGCTGAGACGTCCCTCGCCCGCCTTCCCAGGATGCAGCCTGTTGTGGAGCCCCTGAGCTCCCCCAGCCTGGGCAGCCCCAACACTCACAGGGAGGCAGGTACTGAGTGGAGTGGGGGCTGGGGGCGGGGGCAGATTTCCTTCATCCGTGCACTGAATGGGAGCCTCAGCCCTCAGGTGGCCTGGGGAGGGGGTGTCCCTGGTATTCCAATGTGAAACCCTTCCCTCACCCCCACAGTCACCAGATTGCTGGACAATGGCCCCTTGGACCTCAAACTACATTTCCCATGAGCCTTTGAAGTTCCCTGGCCAGTACTCTGGGCCCAGAACTACATTTCCCGTGAGCCTCTGGGCCCTTAACCACAGTGAGGCCATTTTTCTTTAGACATCTTTCCTGTCTTTGTCTTCCACCTGGAGTTCAGCATCCTCCCTTCCCCTTTTCTCTGGTTTTCAGTTTCCAGATGATCCCATCATGCACCCAGTCCCTGAGCCGGGCCCCAGGTGCTGTCCCTCGGCCCACAGCCACCTTCCTTGTCCCTGCCCTCCGACTCCCTCAGCCTACTGTTCCTCTCTGTGCCCATAGCCCTAGCTTGGGTCTTCTCTCCTGCAGACCCTGGCTGTCCCCGCTCAGACCTTCTTCTGAGTCCCTGTTCGCCCACTCATGCACTCAGCATTCTCAGTGGGGACACATGTGACCACAGTTAATAGACAACTGGACTTGGGGTAAAGAGTAGAAGTGCCATTATTTCATCCAAAGAGAAGCCCAGAGGTACCTGGATATAGGGCTTGGGGGTTAGGTTTGGTCCAGTTAGTACTTCAGTGCTTTCATTAGGACTCAGTTTCTTTCCATCGCCTGGCTTTTGGGTTTGGGATATGTGCTCTTTGCATATCAGCTTGCTTACGTCTTGATCACAAGCTGGCTGCCACAGTTCCAGGCATCATCTCATCTTTATGGTTAGAGCCCCCAAGTAGTGTCTCCTCACATGTAATTGGCCAGCACTTACCCACTCACCTCTACCTGGCAAGATGAATGAGATTATAATTATTTTCGTCAGGGGGTCCTCAACTTTGACAGTACATCAGTTGGGAGATTCTTTGAAATACCTGCATTTTTGTTTTGAATGTTTGCCAGCTGCTTCTGGTGCAGGAAGAGTTGGAAGGTAGCTGGGCACAGTCGTGCACACCTGTAACACCAGCACTCTGGGAGGCTGAGGCAGGAATATTGCATGTTCAAGCCCAGCCTGGGCAATTGTTAAGATAGAAAATAAAAGGGGTGAGGGGCTGGGGCCCAGTTTCCAGGCCAGACTAACCTGACTGAATCTCCCACGCGGCAGGCAGCGTGGAGGGCCCGGGAGCCCACTTGCCTTCCCTTCGGGACTTGCTGTTTTCTTTGCGGCATTTGGGAAATGGTCACATTTTTAGCTTGTCAGGTTGGAAGCTGGGGCGGCAGAGGCCAGGAGAAAGCTCTCCAGCTGCTAATGGACCGGGCGGGAGGCTGTTCTCCGGCTGGCAGGGGATGCAAAGCCGGCTTATGAATAATTCATAACACCCAGTGTCAGTAAGTGTTCTGGAGTATTGGGAGGTTCTTGCTGTGATCCCATCCTGATGATCTGTTGTCTTGACCTTGGCCCACGTGGGCCTCTCCCCTTCCCTCTGCCCTCTCTCTGTCTGGCTATCGGCTTCTTATCACTTGGGCCTCTGTGTGGACCACACTGCCTCTGGGAAGCCTTCCCTGATTGTACCTGTCCTTACTGGGGGTCCTCCGAGGGGAGGGCGGGGGAGCACCTTTCCTCTCTTGTTCCCAGAGTTCCCAAGGGTACTTGGGAGGCTTTGGTGATGCCATCAGACATGCAGTGTCTCATATTCTTTTTTTTGGTCTTTTTCCTTTTTATCGGTACCGGGGATCGAACTCACGACTGTCTGCTTGCAAGGCAGGCACTTATGCTGCTGAGCTAAACCCCCAGCCCCCTTGTGTCTCATATTCTTAATTACTCAACAAGTACTGATTTTCAAGTTAATACCTTTGTGAATTCAGTTACGCACAGACCTTTAAAGAAATGTGTTAAAGTCTCTTTTGTAATTTAGAGACATTTTTTATTCCTTATGTACTTATGAGCTTTCATACTGAACTACATCCCAGCGCTCTTCTGTCTTTTCTTTTGGAGACAGGGTTTCACTAAGTTGCTAAATGGCCAGATTGGCCTCGAACTTGCAACCTTCCTGCCTCAGCCTCCCTTGGTGCTGGGATTACAGACTTGTGCCACTGTGCCTGACTGTCACTTACAGTGTCCATGTTCTAGTACCTAGCTTCAGTAACTAGCAATAGTATACTAATATCCTTTACCTAGACACCCACCAATGACAACATACATACTTTTGGGGGACATTCTGTAGGACAAATTGGTTTTAAAGAAAACTTCAGATATAATTTCATTGTATCCATAAACATATCAGTGCGAGTATCTAATTACTAGAGGTTTTTTCTTTTCTTTTCTTTCTTTTTTTTTTTTTTATTGGTACCAGGGATTGAACTCACAGCTGTCCGCTTGCAAGGCAGGTGCTTATGCCACTGAGCTAAATCCCCAGCACTAGAGATTTTTTTTAAAAAATCCTGTGCCACAATTACACCCCACAAAAAGAACAATTCTCCTTCTCCTCCCCCTCCTCCTTTTTTTCAGCACTGAGTACTGAGTCCAGGACCTTCAGACTGAGCTACAACCCCAGCCCTTTTTTATTTTTAATTTTGGGACAAGTTCTTGCTATGTTGCTGAATTGTTCAGGCTGGGCTCAAGCCTGTGATTCTCCTGCCTCAGCCTCCTGGTGTGTTAGGATTACAAGTGTGTGCTACCAGGCCCACAGCAACAATTACTCCTAACCAGCATCTAGGGTACCTACTCCATATTTAAATTCCTTGCTTAAGTCAGAAATGTGTTATTTACAATTGGTTTGAAAAAGGCCCCAAACAAAGGTCCACACAGCACATGCCTCTTTGGGTTTCGTTAAGTACTTACATCAACCGTGTACCCAGCACTCATTACAGACTGGGGCAAAAGAGAGGCCTGTGCCCTTGCCCTGCTGGCTGCATGTGGGGGAATCAGGTTGTACTGAATGCCTCACAGAAATGAGGACAAACTGTAGTTCTAGCGAGAGCAGAACTTGGTGCCCTGACCCACAAGAAACTCATTGATGGATGCCCTGGGAAACTTGATTTGCTGAGTGAAAGAGGAGTCCCTTGTGGCAGTGCAGCATGTGCTAAGGCCCTGGGGTAGGAGGGACATGGAGAGTTCAGGTACTTGAAAGCATCGAGAAAGATGAAATCCCTGGTCCCTGGTCCCCTCCCCAATCTGGATGCCTTCATTTTCATCCTGATTGTATCATCTGGGGCTGTGCAACCTCAGGCAAGTCACTTACCCTCCCTCTGCTCCCATTTCATTGTTTGCCAATGTCACTGCCTCAGTAGGTTTTCCCAAGGATGGAATGGAAAAGTGCTTTTAAAAGCGCTTGGCATGTGCCAGGGATGTAACTCAGCTGCACGGCACCTGCCTGGCAAGCTCAAGATCTTGAGTTTAATTCCCAGTACCAAAAAAGAAAATAATTTTAAAGGGAGGTGGCTTGGCACATAGATGAGCCCTGTGAACACACAGCTGTTACTGTCATTGTAAAGTGGACGGATGTGAGAAGGGTGGCTGGTGAATTTGAGGGTGGCGGGGGGTGGTATAGCTAGAACACCTAGTCCCTGGGACGATGGTTGGAAGAAGGAGGCTGGGCATAGAGAGGGGACCCAAGGATGCCATGGACTGAGCCATGTTGACCCCTGGAGCCATGCGTCACCCAGAGCATGTGGGAACTGAGTGCTGGGCTTCCTGAGCTGGCTGTCAGGATGGTTGACAGCCAGACCACAGCCACAGTGAGGGCAGAAATCCCATTTGCATGTGAAAGCACATCTCTGTGACGGATGTCAGCAAGGCTGCATCACAGGAGCTGGGCTGGGTCCAGGGCTTTGCTCTGGCCCTGGCATGACAGGACGGAGTGGGTATTGAATGTGGGCGGCCCTTCTGTGATCAGTTTAGTCCTCTGCTCTGCTCACGGCGCTGGATCGTCTCTGCTCTGTGGTTGGGATGGAGTTTGTGGTTTTGTCTGCATTGAGGTGGCATGGACAGCACTAATACACAGCTAATCAAGTGGGAGCATGCTGAGGACTGAGTGATGGTTCTCTGTCCTCAGCTGCCCTCTTGGTGGACATGGAGAGCCCACAAGAAACTTCAGCTCGGAGCCTGGGCAGGACCATCAAATCCTCGTGAGTGGCCCGATTCCATGACTTCTGAGCTCTGCTCCCCCAGATGTGACAGCAGCAACCCCTGACCTTGCAGGTCCCTGCCTGTCACTCTCTCCCAGGAAGCAGTACCTACAGCAGGTTGTCGCCGAATACGAGGCCCTGGATCGAGAGCTGCCATGTATTCGGAAGTTCTCCACGCCGCCCGCCGCCCAGCCTCTCTGCCTGTGCATGGAGACTTCGGTGAGATTCCTCCCTTTTTGCTCCCTTGGTTTCTGCACGACTTAGGGGCAGGGTGCAGGATTGGGATTGAGGCGACCAGGGTTCAAACTCAGGCTGTGTAGTTCACCAGTGTGAGTTTGTCAAAGGGTCCGTCATCCAGGTCATCACTGTTTATCTCAGGACAAACTGAGAAGTGGAGAGGGAGACTGAGTACACAAGGGGTGCTGCTCATCCATCTGCTAGCAGCGTCTTTAGTTTTGAATGTAACAAAAAACTAAAGTTTGGTTGTTTTGAATGGGGGGGCACCACTGAGCAGCCCTTTTTATTTAGAGGAAGGGTCGCACTAAGTTTCTCAGGTAGGACTCCCAATTTGAGACCCTCCTACCTCAACTTCCAGCTTCCAGCTTTTATAGGCTGGCCCGTAGGCAGCCGAGGCATCCGATGTGTCCACGGGAAAGCTGGCACTAGTGGCACTTACTGTGACCTGGGTGCATGTCTCTGAGGTTCCAGCCAATCTCAGTGAATTCAGCCCAGCACAGAGGTTGTTGCCCTTGTTTGGGGGACCATTCTGCACCCAGTCCTGGGAGGAATCTCAGCTGCTGGAAGTTTCTAGTAGTCTGGTGCTGTTGGCCACATCGGGAATCTTTCCACCAACTGTCCACTGGCATTTGCAAATCAGCTTAGTGAGAACCCAGTTCCTGGAGATGACCCTGAACAGCAGTTTTCCAACTGAGAAACACCTGTCGTGCCCTTTCTGAGGACCGCCCGGCACCCTGGGATCAAGTGCGACTCCTATCTCTCAAATGCCCTCTGGGACTCTGGCAGCTCGGCCAGGACAACAAGGGCTGAGGCTCTGTCCCCGATTTCCCAGGAGGATTTTACCCACCTGGAGGTACTGGAGGCGCTGGAGGCCCAGTTACCTGGGGCCATGGAGAGCGGGCGTGTGAGCAGCATCCGCTTTGAGAACATGAATGTCATCTGCGGGACCGCGGGCCGCAGGGACCGGTGAGCCAGTGCAGAGGTCCGGGCCAGGTGGACCAGGAGGGCGGGACTTAGGGGAGTGGGACTGGGGGCGTGGCAAGCCACTCCAGAATGTGATTGGTGGCTAGAAGCTGGGAGCAGGGCCTAGCGCAGCCCACTGAGTTGGGTTTATTGGGCAGTGCCGAGAGGGGAGGGGCTGTTAAGGACAAAGTGGGAGTCCCGGCGCTGGAGCGGATCCTAGAGCAGGAAGGGAACCCGACCTAGGGCTAAGAAGTGGGCTTGGCGCCAGGAACAGCATCTATGAGGGGCAGAGTGGGCCGCACACCTAGCAGGGCCAGGGCATGGTGTGGTAAAGAAAGAGGGGTCTGGAGAGACCGCGATCACGGGGCAGAAGCGGGCTGAGGGCGAGGACAGAGCAGGAAAGCCCCAAATGCAGGTCCGGGGACGCGCTGACCGCGAGACAGCAGGGCTGGAGAGTATGTTAGGGACTGAACGGCCAGAGTCGCTGACTGGTAGGGTCACAATCCACGGCGGGGCCGAGCCCACCAGCAAGTTTCCCCTCGCAGGTGGCTCATCACGGTCGCGGACTTCCAGACGCGCTCGCGCCTGCTGCGCTCCGGCCTCAGCCCCCGCGGGCTCCCGCACCAGCTCGTGCGCCACGACGACCTACAGCTGGGTGACTACCGCCTGCACCTGCGTCGCCTGCTGGTCCGACGGCGCATGCTCGAGGCCCTGGGAGCGGAGCCAACGCAAAAAGACTGACGGGCGAGGGTGGGCGGGCCCACCAGCTGCGCTTGCGCACTATGCCCCCGATTCAGTGGCGCGCCCTACACCGGGGAGGGAGGGGGCGTTGCCTCCCAGGAAGGAGGCGGGGCCGGCTCGAGGGGGTGGATACTGTGAGTTTAATTATAAAGAATGACCTGGTACAAAAGCCATTTCTCTCTGCAAAATCTTGGTGGGGAGTCCGGGGGAGGGAGGTGGTGGGGGGTAGGAACGCACCCCCTAACTACAATTTCGCCTCCCTAATCCTGCTCCAGTCCCAGCAAATGGTCGCCAGGGTCCCGATCCCTTGAGGAAGGAGCTGAGGCAATCAGAAGGGAAGACCTGGGCGCCGGGTTGTGGACGCGTGCAGATTCCGGCGGTGTCAGTAGGAACCAGATGTCCTCACCCGACCCTCCCTGTCCCCCTCCCACCCCCCTTGGAAGACAATTCTTGGGCTTTTATTTCAGGTTTTTTTCTGGATTTGTGTGTATGTGTGTGTGTTCTAGGGTTTGTTTGTTTGTTTTGCTTTGTATTTTGTTATTCTTTTTGCTTAGTCTCTCCTCTCCACCCCGCGCCGCCCCCCCTCCAGTCCCTCCCCCCTCCCCCTCTTCTCCTCCCCCCTCCCCACCCCCTACACCCTCCCCAACCCCGCGGCACCCATCCAGAATGAACAAGCCCTTAACAGACAGGCGCCGCGCAGACCCCCTGCGGACTGGGGGCATCCGACCAGGGGGAGGGGGCGGGTAGGGGCCCAGTGCTCGACCTCTGCTTCTCTCCTACCACCCTCCCCCCTCCCACGACCCTCCCACAAGGTTCCCCGCAGATCCCTGACATGGTGAGGGGAGGGCTGTCCCCCCCCTCGTGGACGGAGCGCCCCCCCCCCGTGGGGGTAGGGGCAGCAGAGGGGGATGGGCTTGGGGGAAGGAGGGGAGCGCCCTTCTTTGGCAGCTGAACATGGGGGGAACTTAAGGGCAGTGCCCTCGCCCCTTTACCCACAGCAGGGGAGGGGACTTCCAAGTGGGAGGGGTGGCTGTAAAATTCCCAAGCCCCAGGAATAAGGGATGGGGGCAGCGTGCGGGAGGGAGTAGCCATGCTGGAGAGAGAAGGGGGGGGGGCTTGGAGAGAAGGGAAGGCCAAAAGGGAGGAGGGAGATTCTCGTGCAAAATGAGGGGGCTACGGCCCCGGGAGGACGTGGGGGGTGAGAGGCGGAAGCCTGGTGAGCTGGGAGCGAGGTGGGAAGAGCAAGGGCCTCGCGGAAAGAAATGGTAGCGCATCCCCAGCGCACGCGGGACGCTCGAGCGTGTGAAGGAAGGAGGGCGGACTCCAGGGTGCCCGGAGCCCAGGGATAAGCATTAGGCCATGGGCTATGCAGCAGAGAGACGAGGCCTCCGGCTGGGGGCCAGGCGAGCACTGGGGAGGGTGCTGAGTGTGCCTGCGCAAGCGGCCAGGCAGGAGAGGTGCGGGAGAGGTGCGAGGGTGAGCACCGGAAGTTCTGCTGGGGACCCGGGCAGGGGTGTGGCCAAAGTGACGGTGCAGGGGGAGGGAGTTCGCTGTGAGCAGAGGCGAATAAGGGGTCACGAGTAAGCAGGGTTAGCACTTTAGCGTCAGAGAATGGAGGTGAGTGAGGAGGGGGGAGCACAAGACAACAGGAGCCCAGGAGTTCAGCAAGACGGGGGCCCAGAGAGGAAGTGCGCAGGGTGGAAGGGGCGGGGAAAGTGGGTCCCATATGTGTCTGCATCATGGCCCAGCGTGAGTGGAGGGGGGCGGTGCAAGGGAGGGCCCCAGGGAGAAAGGATGGAGAGGAATGGGGGACATGAGGACAGAAACACAAGCGATGCAAGGAAAACACTGGGACAGCCAGGAGGGAAGGCGGAATGTGCAAGACAGCGAGAGGGCAAATTTGTGCAAAATTGCAGCTGAGGGGAGGAGGGCAAGCAGGCGTGCAGCAGAGCCCAGTGTGCAGGTCTGAGGGGCAGCTGTGTGTGCTGGAGGGGGGAGGGGGGAGCTGAGGGGCCTGGAGAGGCGGGAAGGCTGCTAGAGGGGCGGCAGGTGGTGGAATGTGAGGGCACCCCTCCCCTGCGGGCTGGGGGTCATCCCCATCCAGTCAGGCTCAGGGCTGACCCTCTATGGCTCTGTCTGTCCCCTCCCCCCAGGATCAACCCTTCCCTCCTCCTCAGTCCCGTGTAATTCCTTTCAACTCCCCTCCGCTCCCCCAAAATGTCACACACACGGTCTCCTGTGTCAGCGGCCCCCCTCTTGTGAGGTGCAAATGTCCAGCCTGTACAGGGCCACCTGGTGACCTCAGGCCTCAGGAGACAGGGCAGGGCGCAGTTTCAGCAGAGTCCTGCCCAGGAGAGAACGGAGAGAGAACACGGTCCGGGATCAGAGATGAGAGAGGCCAGCTGGTTCGAGGGTTCTGTGGACGGGCTGGTCCGTCCAGGCCAGCCATCACCTCTCCAGGAAAAATTTGAGAGCCCGGTCAATGTTCATGCGGTGGCCCACCCTGGTGACTCCCAGGTCGACATAGTCCTCCTTGGTCAAGGCCGGCAGGTGGGAGCCGTCGATCTCGTGGTCCAGGAACCGGGCTCGGTGCTCAGCCAAGCCCAGCCACTCGAGCCAGTCGGCCACATCGAACTTGGTCCAGAAGCCCAGAGGTTTAGCGCCAAATGGCTTGTCCGGGGGCAAAGACAGCAGACGGGTGGGCGACAGGGAGCGTGAGGCCCCCGACAAGGCTCCTCCGAGGCCCCCGGACATCCCCGCAGTAGCGTGCGGTGGCACAAAGACCGGGGCAAAGGGGTCCGCGGAGCCGCCTGCCCCTCCGGTGGGGGAGCCTCGGATGTCGAAGAGGCCTGGATAGAGGGGTCCGGAAGGCAGGATGGGCAGGGAGGAGGGCCTGGGTGCGGGGCTGACCTTGTGCTCCGAAGCGGGCAGCAGCGAGGGGCTGGGGGCCCGGCGGAGCAGCGGGGGCCGCATCTCGAACTCCACACCCTGGAGGTGGCGGGAGGAGGTGGAGGAGGAGGAGGCCGAGGGTGAGATGGCCCCGGGGGCTGCGGTGGCAGAAGGCGACACGCCCGTTCCGGTGGGGAGTGGTGGCAGGGGTGACTTGGGCCAGTTCTGAAACAGGCTGCTGACGGGTTTGGAGAGGAGCGAGGAGGACTGGGAGTCATCGGAGAGCCTGCAAGGGGACAGGGTGACAGGGGCCAGGGGCAGGGGGCAGGGCGTGGGGGATGAGGGCAGGTGAGAAAGAGGTAGAGGTCAAGGTACAGGGAGAGGCGTGAGCGTGGAGGGGAGCAGATGGAGAAGAGATGGGGGGAGATGGAAGGAGGAAGGGGGAGATGGCCGTCAGGACACAAGGTGAGTGATGGGGAAGAGGGCGACAGTCGAGAGAGATGAAAGAAAAAGAGACATTAAGTGATAATAATAATCATCGCCACCACTTACTGCTGCTCACGTGTGCCAGGCATTGTTCTAAGTGCTTTACGTTTCGCACCTCAATTTAATCCCCACAATCGCCCTGGTGCAGGTGACATCATCATCACCATCATTAGCAGCACAGAGAGGTTTAGTAACTTGCCTAAGGACACACAGCCAGGAAGTGGCAGAGCCCGTTTATATGGCACCAAACTCTGAGCTCTTAACCACTACTCTATACTGCCTTTGGGGTCATGGCCAGTTATAGCAGAGTGGAGGACAGGCACAGGGCGAGAAAAACAAAAAAAAAAAAAAAAAAAAAAAACAAACAAAAAAAAAGAGGATGCGCGTTGGGAGAGAGAGATGGAGGGGGTCAGGGGACAGAGAAAGAGAGAGATGAAGAGAGGGAGATGAAAGAGAGAAGAAACAAGGGGAGAAAAAGGTTCCCCTCATCCCTTTAGCTTCATTCCACACGGGCTGGGCGTTCTCCCCGTGGCCTGCCGCCAGCTCCTACCCTCTTAGTCAGATCTCCTTGCCTCTCGGGCGCCCTTGTCCACCGCTAGGGGGCGCACGAGGGGTGACTGCGCAACCCCTGCCTCGGTGGGCTCTGAGCTGTGCCCGGCCTGTCCGCTGTGGGGTCACCATCCCCAGACGAGCACCCAGCGCGTGGTAGGTGATCGGTCCCTCACCTTGCCTGGTTAAGCGTCCTCACCTCCACCCCGAATAATGAGAGCTGCAGAGCCCTCGGCCCCCCAAACCTCCGCTTCAATGGCAGGGGCAGGGACGCCAGCCCACCCCTGCTGGGCGTGGCTAAATGCTTTCCCTAAGACTGCCGGATCTTGAATAGGCTTGGACTTCGGGTGACCTCCACTCACTAGCAGCTCTGGGGGACCTCCACATCACCTTAGGCTCTGCCAGAGGCCCTGTCCTCCACTGGACCATTGGTGCACCTCAAGTCCACACCAAACCCTGTGAGGTGGGGACGGTGTTGTCCCCATTCTGCAGAAAGCACTCTTCCTAAGATCACCCAGCCTGGAAGGGCTGGGAATGGGGCTGGGCCCTGTCTCCAGCCACCCAGCACACAGGGATACAGACATCTCCTTTGCTAACAGGATTGCTCTTCCGGGGCTGTTCCTGTGACAGAGACCAGACCCCAGAAGCGTGCCTCTGAAGGCTTTGTGAATCTGAGCTCCACCCCAACCTGGGCAAGTCCCTGTGGGCTAGCTTGCTTTGCATCTTCCTGTCATCCCGAACCTCAAGGAACACAGCTATGGGAGGGGGGCCATTGGTGCCCTCCGCAGCGACAACTCCGGTCCAGTCTCTACTGCCAGCCACCGGCCACCAGCCCTGCTCACCTCTGCCGCTGCAGGGAGGCAGTCCTCTCAGGGACATAGCTGGCTCCGCCGTGGTGGCTGTCCCCGCTTCCTCCGCTGCCTCCCCGGGCCCAAGGCAGAGCCCCTCCAGCTGCTGAGGAGCCCCCGAACTGCTGGAGCTTGGAGCTGAGTTCACTGATGATGCTGGCTTTGACGGTGGCCAAGGCAGAGGCCTGAGGCTGGGACAGAGGCCCGGGAAGGGGTGGTGGCGGCGGGCCCGGGCCCTCCTCCCAGGGCAGCAGCTTCCGAGGCAAGGAAGAGGCGGTGGGCAATGGCACCGGAGGGACTTCTGGCTCTACTGCTACCGGGCCCCCAGCCACGCCTGCTGCAGAGGACCCTGAACAGGCGCTCAGGGCCAGCAGCCCATCGTTGCCGGCCCCAGCCACAGAGACGGTGGGGCTGGTGGGGGTGACAGGGTCTCGGAGTCCCCCGCTGGGGCCGGGTCGTAAGCCTCCACCCACCCCCAGCGCCCGGCCTCGGAGCTTAGAGGGGGTCATGAGCTGTGGGGGGTACGGTGGGCCTGGCGCCCCGCTGCCCCCGAAGGCCTGGCCGTCCAAGTATGCTACGTAGGTGTCCAGTAGCTCCGGCCCGCTGGCCACGCCCCCGCCCCCAGCGCTGCCGCCTCCCTCTGCCGACAGACTGCTTAGCGTAGACGCGCTACTGATGGTCTCCAGGGGGTGGTCACTGCTGCTGCGACTGTCCACCTCCTCGATTCCAGAGTCCGTGCCTGGTGGTGGATCTGGGCCTGGCTGCGGGGCCGGGGGCGCTGGGGCTGCTGGGGCCGGTGGGCCTGGTGGCGGGGGATCGCCGGGAGCTGCAGGAGCCCCCTGGGTCAGTGTGGCCACCTCACTATCATAGGACGTCAGGCTGGATGCGGTGGAGTCCAGGGTGGGCGGGGCAGGGGCAGCTGCCGCTGGGGCTGGCACAGGGGGCAAAGGGGTGACCGGAGTAGGGGGGTCCGGGAGCGGGTGAGGGGGTCCAGGCGTGAGCGGCGACTCGGGCTTCTCAAAACTGTTGGAAAACTCGAGAGGCGGGGGTAGTGGCTCCACGAAGAGGAAGTCGCCGTCGTCCACGTCCACCGACGGGGCAGGCGGCGGCAGCACGAGTAGCGGGAGCCCGTTCTCCTCGGCGCCCCGCGGGGACGTGGGCGAGGCGGGTACGGAGCGGCGCGGGCTGGGCGGCGGGATCCCAGGCCCGTCCTCTGCGGAAGGCCCTCTGGAGACCGACGCCGGGGGCGCGCGAGGCTGGCAATTCTCCAAGAAGCGCACGTGGAGCGGCAGCCGCTCGGGTTCCTCAGGGGCTCCGGACCTCCAAGTCTTGCCGACCGCAGGGTGCGGGACAGGAGGCTCCGGTCCGAGCTGCAGCAGCAGGGGCCCCACGCCGGGCGCCGTGGGCGGCAGGCGGTGCAGAAGCGAGCGCCGCGCGGCGGGCGGGCTGGCGGTGAGCGGCTTGTCCGGCCCACCCAGCCCCGCCCGGTACCCCAGTTCCCGGCGGGCGGGATCAGGCGGCGCCGCCCCCCAGAGGCGCAGCACAGGCTCGTGGTGCGCGTGAGGCGAGTGGTGGTGCGGGGTGGGCGGCGGGGCGTCGTAGCGGGGCGAGGGCGGCCGGGGCGGGGGCTGGGGGACCCCGCCGCCCTCTGATGACTCCTTGAGCGCGCGCTCCCGGGCGGCCAGCGCCAGCCCGAGAGGGGAGGCAGGGTCTAGGGCCTTGCCGGTGAGCGGGTGCACCAGGGGCCGCGGCGGCGGCAGGAAGCTGGAGAAGGCGCTGCTGGCCCCGCTGCCCGCGTAGGCGCGAGCGCCCGCCGAGTAGCCCGCGTAGCCCGAGCTTCCCGTGGCCCCCGTGGACTCCAGACGGAGGTAGGGCTCCGCGGAGAACATGCCCTCGTCGATGGACTTGGAGTGGCGCAGCCGCGGGCCCGGGGTCGCCCCCGCGCCCAGCGCGCCCTCACCGCCGTCTTCGTCGCCTGCGTCCGTGGAGAGGAAAAGCGTGGAGCGCCGGCGCGCCTCGTTCTGCCAGCCGCCCTCCCTGCGCGCCGCGCCCACCAGGGCCGCCCCGAACTGGCTGGTGAAGTCCAGGGTAGCTGGGCCGCTGGGGGACGCGGGCGTGGGCACGGGCGACGGCGACGGCGGCACGGGCGACAGGGGAGGCGCCGGGCTGGGCGAGGGGCCCCCGCCCCCCGTGCCCCCTCCGCCGCCACCCGCTGGGGGCTCGGGCTGCGTCGGGGGCTCGGCCTCGGTGCTGCTGCCCTGGCTGCTGCGGCCGCTGCTGCTGGTGGACGGAGCCTTGATGATGATGGTGGGGATGGGGATGGAGTTCTTCTCGGCGGGCGCGGGCGCGGCTGGCGGCGGCTGCGGCGACGCGGGGGACGCGGGCGCGGGGGCGGGCAGGGCGCCCTTGTGCGGCTCGCCCTCCACCTTGGTCTGCTTGACCAGCGGCCCCTTGCGGCCGCGGCCGGAGCGCGCGGGCACGTACATGGCAGCGCTGGCGGCGCGCGGCGGCAGCTGGAAGTAGCGCAGGGCCGGGGCCTGCGGGGCGCCCGCGGCACCGCCCCCCGCGTGATGCGAGGGCGACGGCGCTCCGGGGCCGGGACTGGGCCCGCCGCCCCTCCAACCTCGCAGGCTGGGCTGGGGCCCCAGGGCCAGGCGCGGCGGGGGGTCGTCGGGGGCGCCGCCTGTCTCCATCTCCGGGGGGTGCGGCGGATGCGCGTGGTGGTGGTGCGGCTGGGGCGGCGGCACGTGGTGGTGATGGTGGTGGGGCGGATGGTGGTGCGCGGGGGGCAGGGGCCCGCCATGGTACAGGCCCTTGTCTCGGGTTCCCACGCGTGTGTCTGGAGGAGAGGGGCCGTCGAAGGACGCCGGTGAGGAGGCCGGGAGGGGTCCCCCGGAGCCGGGGTTGAAGGGGCCTCCCCGCGGGGAGGGGGTGAGGCGGCCCGAGGAGGAGGGGGCCGGCGGGGTGCTGTACGGGGGCTCTGGCGGGGACGTGGTGGGCGGCGGGGGGATGTCCTCCGAACCCGGCACGGACAGGCTGCGGCTGAACTTCATGGCTGGGGGCGCTAGGTACGGTCTGTCGTCCTCTGCGGCCCCTGAGGAGACACGGAGGATCCCGAGTGGGACACAGCGGGGCTCTTCCGCTGTCCTGTCCCCTAAGAGTAACCTGCAGCACCTGGTATAAATGGCCAAACGCTGCGAACGAATCAGCCCGGTGCTTCAGGCCCTCCACTGCTCTCCAGCAAACAGCAGAGGGAGCAGGCGGGAGGTGGGGGGCGAAATTCAACTGAATTTCCCCTCCGGACGCGAGGGGGCACCCCTTCCTCATTCACAAGAAGGCCAACGTACACTACGGTGCCTTGGAGTAAGCACATGTAGCTTGCCATGATTATGTGCCTATGACTTCGGAACTACAAGCACTCGGGAGGTGGCCGACGGCAAACAGCCTCCTCAGGCTTAGGGATTGAACCCTCGGCCTCATGCTTGCTAGACAAGCTCACTGCTGCTGGGCTGCAAAAGCACTCGGCCTGTGGTGACGCAGGTAGAAGTCACTGATGCTGCCACTGCTCTGGGAATGGCAGACGCTGGACTCAGGGACTAGCAAGAGGCGAAACCAATGGCAAAACTGCTGCGGGAAGCTTGCAGGAGTTGACTCCTTGCCTGCTTCTCGGGGTGAGACCTGATTCTCCTGCCTCTGACTGCTCCTCCCTGTGCAGCGCCTGTCTCCGCTCACTGGCTACCATCACCCCCTGCACTGATGTGCGGGGCGCCATCCCCGGGTCCCAGCGCGGGGCTCTGAGGGTCAGGAATGCAAACGCCTTCGTTTCTGGGTGCAGAGCAGCTTCTCCACACCCCACAGCTGGGAAGATGGGGAGCCAGGACTCCTGAGTTTTCCAGCTCCGAATCCTGGGCTCTCTGGCCAGCTAGGCAGCACTTCGAGTGTGAGACTAGACGCCCCTGCTTTCCCCGTGCAAGGTCACCCTCCCCGCCCAGCTGGCCCTTGCGGGGGACATACCGATAGATTTCTGTCGGAGCATGAGCCCAGGTCCCGGAGGCAGGAAAGAAGGACGTTCGTAACTTGGCTGGGACCGGTGATGGGGATCGAAGCTTGACTTTGGGGCAGCAGCCAGTGTGGGAAGAGAAAAGACAGCAGAGGAATATCAGGCCGGGTGTGGAGACAGCATCACCTCCCGCCACCCGCTTCCTTCTCCAAGCCTCTGGAAATAGGAGGCTCTGCGAAGGAGGTGAGAGGGCTCCAGGGAGGAGGCTCTCAGTCTGGGCAGCAGGTAGAAGGGAGAAGGAAGGTCGGCAGAGGACCCTGCTGCTCCCCTGCCCCGCTGGCTACAATGGGGACTTCCTTCCTGCTGTCACCGCCCATGTTCTGGTCTCCCTGGTCACCTGCTTGGGGACCTGCAGTGGCCTTCGCATTTTCCTGCCACTGCCCTGGCCCACAGCCCTGAGCGCCTGTCATCCACACGGGCCAGGAGGATCATTCAAAAGGAAAGTCGGGGTACAGCACTGCTTGCTTGAAACCCTACGGTCATACCCGAATTCCCAGCTCCACTCTACAAGGGGATCTCAGGGAGATGTTGCTGGTACCCATCCTTGGGTCCAGTTCCCCCCCAGATGGGCTGTGCCTGCCCCATGTTGCTGTGAGAAGCTCCTGCTGGTGGCTGTGGGCTGTCACCTGTCTCCAGAGCAATTGTAGTAATCTCAGCACTTGGGAGGCTGAGACAGGAGGACTGCCATGGGTCTGAAGCCAGCCTGAACTACATAGCAAGACCCTGTCTCAAAATAACAAAACCAAACCTGAAACCCCCAAATTTCAAAAAGTGCAGAGCACAAGCCTTGCAGGACAGACACACACAGGGAGAGCCAGGCAGGGCCAAGGCTGGGCTGTGACGGGAACGCCTTGTTCCCCTGAGCTTGCCGCTGTCCCAGGAGTCCTGTCCCAGGCTCCCATCCTGGGATACCCTTAAGGTCCAGTCCTTGCCCCAGGCTCCCACCTGCCTGCTCAGTACCCCTGCTCCCCTCCCTGGGCCTCTGCTTCTGATATGTCCCTCCTCACTGCCAGGCATTCCTCCTATGTCTGCTTTCTCCATTTAGATGTCCCTGCCCTGCCCCGTCACTGTCTGTTTCTGTCACAGCACACATCTCTTTCTGAAGCAGTCTTGTCATTTGCTGTGGCCTCCCAGACTTCCCAAAATAGGGGCGACATCTCTCACACTGGAGCCCTGGCATCTAGGCCCACCATACTTTAGGGGAAAGTTTTGACTTTTAGAAACTGGGGCGGGAGGGGGGAAGACAAATGCCAGCCTGCTTGGGTAAGACTGTCATCCCTTGGTCACATGGGGAATCATTTCAGAGTCCCCAGGACAGCAAAATGTATTGGTGCTTAGACCCCTAGGCACGGCCACGTCACCACACCCTAGACCACTGTAGACCACTGACACCGCTTGATAAATTGCAAACGCCACGTCGGTAGCTGCTTTGCTGTACTCTATGGTCGGCATAAGGCCAGAAGCCAGACACCGTGGTGCACACATGTGACTCCAGCACTTTGGAAGGCCGAGGCAGGAGCATTGCATGCTTAAGCCCAACTGGGCAACTTTGTGAGATCCTGCCTCCAAACAGAGAAGAGGGTCGGGGATGTAGCTCAAAGCCACGGGGCAGACAGGGATGTGTTCCGTGTGGAGTTGGCTGGATGGGGGCATCTGGTCCCTGCACTCAGGGGAGATGAGCCAAGTACTTGGGGCTCCGGGAGCCAGAGATAGCGACTGTCTTGTTCCCTGTCCCCTTCCTACAGCACAAGTCCAACAGCAAGAAGTGAACAGGAAGTGGCCAGTGCCAGGCACAGCGGGCCCTTGTACTTTGCTGTACTCTATGGTCCGGATAAGACCATAGAGTGCCTCGCTTCTGCCAGGTGACCACAGATGTCTCCCCTCTCTCTAAGTGAAAAGTGAAAAGCTGTGAAAGGGTTTTGGCCCAGACAGGACACTGTAGCACCGAAAGCCTCAACCTGAAGCAGGAAGCCCCTATCTCCCCTGCCCCTAGGAAGTTACCTGTGACGCCATCTTCCCCGCTCCTGGAAATTTACATATGACGCCAAACCTAGGACCAATGGGCTACCTGTATATCCCTAATGCCCGCCTTAGGTTCCACCCCAAACCGAGGCTATTTACATGCCCCCATGCCACGTGTCAGCCGGAGAGATCACCAGACGCCAGCGGTGGGGGTGCCGGTCATCTCTCTCCATGTTCTCAGAATAAAGGTCGCTTTTTATTTTATACTTCTCATCTTTTGGAAATATTTTTCATCTTTTGGAAATAATCCTAGCAAGCTGGACCTCACCTCCCAGCCCCTGCATTCAGTCCTTAGAAGTCCTGGCTGCTTCTCACTCAGAGCCTCAGCATGCACTGGCCCTCAGCCCTGAACAGCCTTTCCTTGTGCTCTGAAATTCTGCCACCCTGGCCTCCTCTTCCAAGCCTGTGCTGTCCCATGCATGGCCGATGGCCATTCAGATGAACACTGCAGTTGATTAATAATGACCAAAAAAAAATCCATCATGACTTTTAGCACTTTCTGGTCCCTACTACCTGGAATGCTAGTGCAATCACTGGAACTGCAGCAGCCATTATGAACTCTAAGGCCGTGTGGCTGGAAGAAAGTGCAGGATAGTAGAGCTGCAAGTGAGCAGGGAGGTGATCATGCCTGCCTGGGGCTCCCTGCCTTTGAATGCTTTAACATGAAAGCGATCAGCATTTACTGTGTGCAAGCTGCTTTTTGTGAAGTTAATCTCACACAAAGGATGGAATTCTTGCTCGCTTCTACCCTCTAAAGGTAAATTCTCTAAGAGACTGACCTCAAGTAGCCAATTCAGTCCTCTACCTGCAGGGCTCAGCAGCAAGCTCAGCATGTAGTAGTTGCTCAGTGAACGCTTGCAGCATGAAGAGTTCCTCGGAGGTGAAACATGTGAAAAGAAACCTGAGGGAAAGGCCCTTCCCACTGGGGCCAGGGCTGATGGCCTCATTCTGATGATAATGGAGGCAGCTGTGGATCAGATGGTGACAGTGAAATGATCTGGGAGGTACCGAACTAAATGCAAACTGACCTCCAGCAATAAACACAGGACAGCCAATCAGGCTGGGCCTCTGCGCGCGATGTCACCGGTTGCCATTTACAATCTTCCTTGCAAATCAGCCTGGGGCCCAGCTCTTCCAGGGCCTCTCCTGTGGATTGGTGCCCCAAGGGAGAAGGCTGACAAAGGGCTAGGCTGTTCCTGCTTGGGAGACAGCCCCTGAGAAGGGTCATGGGGAGAATGGGGCCTGGAAGTGGGGCGCAAATGAAGATAGAGACAAAGAAGGGAAGCCTGGCATAGTGGCACAAACCTATAATCGCAGCACTCTGGGAGGCTGAGGCAGGAAGATCTTAAATTTGAGGCCACTCTGTGCAACTTAAACCTGGTGTCAAAAGAAGAAAGAGGAGGGGGCTGGGGGGGATTTAGCTCAGCAGGCATAAGTGCCTGCAAGAGCAGGCAGTCGTGAGTTCGATCCCTGGTACCGATAAAAAGGAAAAAGACAAAAAAAAAAAAAAAAATTGGAAAAAAAAAAAAGAAGAAAGAGGTGCTGAGGCTGTCACTCGGTGGGTTAGGGAGGGAAAGACAGAGCAAGAAGAAAAAGAAATGAGAGAAGGAGACACAGAGATAGGTGCAGAGTCAGAGAGATGGGGGAGACCAAGATTGGGGGACAGGAAGGAAGAGAGGGAAACACATTCTTGGGAGGCTGCAAAATGGAAGGCTAGAGTAGCCTAGGAAGACTAGAGGGATGACGAACCACCAGAAGGGGAAACTGAGTCTGAGAGAGGCTGGAACCTGGGGACAAGGGAGCCCTCTGGTATCAGAGACCAGATGACAGAGTCAGTAGGGGAGAAGCCAGGCCACTCAGCCTCGCCCTCCCCCGTGGCTGACACCAGGTGCCTCCTCTCCCAGCAACCTTCATCTCCCCGTCTCCATCTTCTTATACCCTCACCTCTCGAAATACGGTGTCTTGGAGAGACCGGACCCCAGAAACACCGGGGTGATGCCACACCCAGACCACCCCCAGTCTAGACAAGGAGAGGGGAGAGATGTAGAGCCCAAGGGAGATGGAGACACAGAGGAGAACAAGACCAGACTCTGAAAAGCCCCAAGATGCAGTGACCTCAGAAGGTGGTGGGAAAGATCAGGATGGGATGCCCAGAGAGGCTCCGCATGAGGGCAGCTTTGGGGAAATCAGGGATGAGATCTTGGAAGTGCAAAGGAAATGGGGGCTCCAGGGGCAGATGACCAAGGCCTCCAGGAAAGGGAGGGACCAGAGGCCCCAGGGAGACAGGGCAGGGGTACCTTGAGGGGTGGGGACAGGCGGGCAGCTGGTGGCTGCGCCCACAAGTGCAGCCAGGAAGCGGGAGCCTGGCTGTCCTTTCAGCCTCTGAATGCAGGGCGCTGCCCACACTTCCTAGGGGGTCTGGGGAAGAAACAGGATTTGTTTGCATTCCATCCAGTGCAGCTTTTCAGGTTCTCTGGTAGGCAGGGGTCCCAGGTGCACGCAGACTCACTGCCCAGGTACAGAGGGGCCTCCGGTTTCCTACCCTGTCGAGAGCTGCTGTGCTAGGCCCCTTCTTACAGAAGAGGGAGCCAATACGGAGAAGTAACAGAGTCCACATGTCAGTGAGAGCCAGGATCTGAATCTGGGTTCGTTTGTTTATTATAGACCTTCAGGGGACCAGGAACAAAGGACAGACCTGGGGGAGGTTTGCAGGCCCAAGGTGGGAAGAGGAGAAACTAACACACAGGTGGGAAGGAGGCCTGAAGAAACCGGCCTGTTCGAGAATGTTCCAGCCCTTTGGTATGATTCGTTTTAATTTTGAAACAAGGTCTCCCTAAGTTGGTAAGTTGACCAGGCTGGGGCTCAAATTTGTGATCCTCCTGCCTCAGCCTCCCAGCACATGTGGAAGTGACGGATGGACAGATGGATGGATGAAAGGATGTGGTGGCCTCTTGATTCTGTGTAAGTGGGTAAACACAGGGCTAAGAACTGTTTAACCTTAGAATGATGGGGGGCAGGGGTTCTCAGCTAGAAGTAGTGTATCCTGCCAGGGGACAGTGGGCAGTACTAGCAGCCAGTCAGGGCTGGGAGTAAGGAAGTGGTCCTGGCAGCCAAAGGGAAAAGGTTCAGGGCATTGTTGTACATCCTACAGCACTAGGCTCAGGGCTACTTAATACACAGAGACTACCAAAAACCATAAAGATGCAAATGGCACTGCATCACTGATCCTGCACAGGGCGCTGGTCTGCAGTACGCCATGGGGACAGAAAGCAGGGGGCTTACTTGGCCCCCAGTGCTGGCAGCGTGCGTGTCTGGCCAGGAGACATGCTTGGCACCCTGTTCATGTCTGTGAAAACTCACATAAGCCCCCACAAATGCTCACTGGGGGTCTGCATGTAGGAAGACTCACAAATACAGAATCCTCGATGATTGAAGATTCATTTGGTAACAGAGCCATTGTCCCCAAACTCTGCTGCATCTGGTTTATAACCAAGTGTCCTCTCTCCTGGCCATCCACCCTTCCAGAGGAAGTTCACTGAGGACCAGTGGGGTGGTGCTGCAGGGTGACCAAGAAAACCGTGACAAAAGCCACAGGGAGGTAGACCAGGGCTGCATATACGGAAGAACTTTCAAGAAGTCTCCACTATAGAACAGATGCAACAGGAAGTGGTGAGCTCCCTGTCTTTAGAGGCATTCAAGCATAGGCTGAAAGACTGGGCAGACAGTAGAGAGGCATCAAAACTAACAGGTGACACCTGTCATCTCAGCGCTGTGGGAGCTGAGGCAGGAGACTGGGAGTTTGAGAATAGGCTGGGCTACACAGTAGATTCCTGTCTTGAGAAACAAAAACAGCAACCACAACAACAACAAAAAAAATAAATTTAAAAAAGAGGCAAGCTGTCATCTAGCTGATGTGCCCAGGAGACAGCCTGGGACATGTGGAGCTCAGAATTAGATGTGAAATTTCAAAAACTCCAGCGCCGATCAGGGAATGACTTGCCCGGGATGGGGGAGGCGGAAGCAAAGGTTTCAACAAAGCAAAACGTGGAAAGCACGCCAGCGCTAGCCCAGCCGCCCAGAGCATGCGCACTGGGAGCTAGTCGCGGGGGCCTCCCGAAAAACAGCAAGGTCAGTTCCCGCCCCATCCTTCCAGAGCAGGGCACCGAGACAGCCAGAGACTAAGCAGTGTGGTCCGAAGTGCCACAGACAGTTAGAGGAAGCTGGGATTGGATGCCACGTCTGCCTGGACGAATACCCATGCACTTCGGAGCCTCAGGCTGAAGAGAAGGAGGCACAGAAGATAAACCTAATATTTGCAAGGAATTCAGGCTCCTCGAGAGATGGTACTCTAAACTGCCCAGGCTGGGCTCAAATTTGTGATCCTCCTGCCTCAGCCTCCCAGAATACTCTTGTAAAAAGTCTGAGCCTCACTACAGCAGCTGGTCTAGTACTTGGTGAGGCTGTGGATAGATTCCACTCCAGGGGCGGGGGCCTGTGTACTTAGGACTAAAAACTGTGTCTTTATTTTCACATCCTCAACAAAACCTCGACTCTTCCTCAATTAAGGATACAGACAACAAACTCTGCTAGTCTCAGCAAGCCTGCTATCTGCATCCCCCACAGAAATCGCAGATATTTTCATATCCCATTGCGGTGGCACAGATTTCTTGAAATAATGTTTATATGCCTCGTGATTTTGAAATTAAGAGTAGTTAAGATCCCCCGTCAGATTGCACTGTGTAATGTGTGGATGGAAAAAAGCACTGATATTATGATACCGCAAATTTCGCTTTTTAAAAATATTTTGGTAACTGTTTTGTGTAGCTGGCTTCTTTTTCGTTGTCTTGCATACTGCGTTCTATGCATTTATAAGCATTACCCTGATGCCGGTCTACGAAGGGATCTGCAACCCCCCAAAAGCAACGAAGCCAGCTTTAGAGTAAATAGCAAGGACAGGGCAGGGACAGGTAACAGGTTGGGGAGGTACAGGCAGGTCTGGAGGGTACACTGAGGTCAAGGGGCATAGCCCAATGAGTAGACCACTAGGGACAGACCTGCAGGGGCCCCCAAAACACCTAGGGCTGAGGCTGGACTAAGGGTATAGGGTCTGACAGCCTGGGTTGGAATCCTGGCCCCTTCTCTGAGCCTCAGTTCCCTCTCAGCCCCCAACAAGTGAGCTTACAAGTGTTTGTACCTCACAGGATGACTCTAAGAAATAAGTGAGACAATCCATGCGGAACACAGCATTTCCCATGGGGGAAAGCCAGTGGAGACAGGGCAGGGTAACTTTTGTTTTGGAGAGAGAAGGTTCTGCTATGTTGCCTAGGCTACTGGATCCTCTTGCCTCAGCCTCCCAAGTAGCTGAGGGTACAGGCCCATACTACGGCGCCGGCCTGGCTTAATAATTAATACTTTAATAACTAACACTGCTGAGCTCCTATCATTATGCGGGGGAATCTCCACCTATGACATCGCTTTGGTGCCCTGGGGTGAACAGAAAGAAAAGAGACAAAGAACCAGAGCAGAGAGATGGGGATGCGGGAGGAACACAAGGAGACAGAGGGAAAGAAGGCTCCCAGATAAAGAGGGGCCTCAGAAGTGCGATGCCTCCAGCGTCAACGCGGGCTCAGGAGAAGTTTTGGCAGGGGACCCCAGTTCACTCCCATGCCAGCTGCCTACCTCGGTGGCGAAGAAGCCTTTGGGCCGATGCTTGCCCAGGGATGCAAGGCCACCCGGTGCAGGGCTCTCGCTGGCGCTGATGGTTTGCTGGGCTGCAGCCAGGATCTCGTCCAGTTTGTCTGAGAGAGGCGCAGACAGGTGGGACACAATGAAGTCTGATACAGCGACAGAGCCGCACTGTATTCAGCCAGGAGAAAGGGGCACGTGACAGAAAGGGAGGCCAGGGAGTGAGGGACCCAGCTGGGGCATCTTACTGAGCGCCATCTGATACACAGTCCGCTTTTTCTCCATGCTGGGCACCGGTGCAGGCTGCTGCTCATACTCTGTGGGCAAAGGAGACAGATGTAGCTCAAGAGCGCCCCCTCGAGGCAGGGCAGAACAGGCTGGCCAGTGGGTGTGGCCAACAATACAGCCAGTGGGCGTGGCCAGTGAGTGTGCGCAAGCGCGGAATGGGGCTGTGTGGGGCTGGGTGGGGAAGGGGCGAATCCGCCGGTGGAGTTGGGACATGGGGACCCTCCCGCCAGTCCTGTGCCCACTCACCACTTTTCTTCTTCCAGGGGGAGACTAGCCCGGGTGAGAGGCAGTAGAGGAGTCAAGAGTTAGGACATCAGGGGGAGGTGAGGGGTCCCCTCTTTGGCACACCCACCTCCCTTAGGGCCCCGGAGGTGTCACGGGAAACTGGGACCCCCCAGTTTTCCTCAGCCCTGCCTAGGGAGAGGGGGTCACCTTCCAGTGTTTTTTTGGAGGGGGGGTTCTGGGAGCTACTGGAAGGAGAATGAGAAAGAGAAAGCAGGGTTCAGGGAGGAAGTTGGATGGATGGAGAAGGACCAGAAGGAAGGACAAAGTGACCCCAAGAGAGGGACACGTAAAGACCCTGAGAGACTTCAACAGAGAAACAGACACGAGAGAATGGAAGTCATCCTTCAGACACCCTTCCCAGCAACACACAGGCAGGCCATGGAGCCCTGCTCACAGACGGGACAGGAAGAGGACAGGACCCCTGGTCACTAACGACACTAATGAACTCAAGGACACTGGAGCCCCCGCACTGCCCTGGCCCTCACACCAGCAACCCCGAAGGCTCACCCATTTCCTCCAGCTCTGAGGTCATGGACTTGGAACGCAGGGAGATGGCCGGGGGCGGGAGTCGCTTAGCCTGCTGAGGGGCTGCAAGGGGTAGGTGTGGGAGGGGTGGGCTCATCAGGACCGAGGGACGGTGAGAAGCCACCACCCCCCACCCCGTGACCCCCTGTCCCGTGGTGCTCCTGGCGCCCCAGGACAGCCCTACCAGCATGCTGAGCCCTTCCTGCCTCAGTTTCTCCCGAGGAGGGCCATGAGTGAGCAGCATTGGGGAAGGGCAGGCCTTGGGCAGTGGGGACCAGCCAATTGGGCCTCCTGAGGGTCTTAGTCTGCTGGCAGTGGGGTGCCCAGGTCTGACCACGGGGAGTCCAGGAGCACCTTTCTTATGGACAGCCTCATCCATGTCCGGGTGCCTGGTGACCATCACCACCTTCACCATGAGCGTGTTGCCGCCCTGACGGATCATGTTCACCACCTGGCGGTGGCCGACCTTCACCACATTCTGCCCATTCACCTGTGGCATGGGCATGGGGTTCAGTTTCAGGGTCCCCAGCCAGGCCGCCTCTGCTGGGCTCCACCCTGACCCTCTCCACCACTGTGGTCTCCCCTGATCCTCATACCACCCGTCCCCTGGGAGTCCCCTCCAGCACCCTGGCCTGGGGGTGGGAGGAGGCACCCCATGAGCACTGGGGGATAGCTCTGCCCTTCAGGAGAGCTACTCAATGGAATCACTGAAGGATGGATGCAGAGGATGTCTGGGGCAGTCAATGCCCAGGGAGAACTGGAGCTAGGGGGTTGCCAGCTCCTGGTGGGGAACAGAGAAGCCTGGGCGAGGGGTTTGTCCCTGGGGGTGCAGGAAGGAGGTGCCAGCCAGGACTCACCTCGATAAGGAAGTCTCCCATTCGCAGTCCAGCCCGCCATGCCACGCCCCCCTCGTCCACAGACTCCAGGTACTGCAGTGCCGGGAAGGCCGGAGTGGGGGTGAACTCCTCGATGGGGGTCTGCGCTGCAGACAGGGAGGAGCCGGCGGGGTCGGAGGGGAGGGGGTGGAGAGGCCGAGCAGGGTATGGGGCTCAGACCCAAGTCACAGAGGCCTCCCCATAGCTGAGGGACCAGCACCCGGGAGTGGGGTGGTGGGTGGGTTGGGGTCCCGGCCCTGCTTGCTGGGTTTGAGAGCCTCCTCCCAACCCTCCCCAGCCGGCACTCACCCTTGGCCCCCCGGAGCACGAACCCAAACCCTTCGCTGTCTTTCTTCTGCAGCAAGACTGTTTTCTCCTTAATGATGTAATCGCTGGCAGGAGGGCAGGAGGGAAGGGGTGAGAAGCCACCATGAGACCCAGTGCTGGCACCCTGGCCAGCACCGCAGTGCCCCAGCCCCTGTTGGAACCCAGGGCCAATGAGTGTTCCTCCCGGGCAGGCTATCTTTCCCACCCAGCCTGCGCCTTCTCCCAGCAGCCCCGCCAGGCCTCCCCCTCAGCCTGGGGTGCTGGCTCTCCCACTCACTCCTTCCTCATTCATCCCTGCAGTGCTGCTCATCCACCCAGCCATTCAGCAGGCCGGGCACCTGGAGGGTGAGGAGAGGCCTCCCCGTTACCACACAGCCTGGCTGTGTCTCTGAGAGCCACTTCCTGTCTGTGACCTTGAGCCCACAGGTTAACCTTTTGTGTCTCCATTTCCTCACTCTACTGGGGGGCACAGTTACACATGATGAGGTCTGGGGGCACTCTGGAGGGGAGGCTTTCGTGTAGTGTATTTATACAGCACTCAGCGGGATCCAGGCACTATCTTTAGATCAAGGTATTAAATCGAGGGGACACATGGGGACAGGTACAGGGGTGCACGCCTGTCATCCCAGCACTCTGAGAGGCCGAGGCAGGAGATCACAAGTTCGAGCCCAACCTGGGCAACTTAGTTTCTTAACAAGACCAAAAATAAAAAAGGCCTGGAGATGTAGCTGAGTGCAAAGACCTTGGGCTGAACACCCAATCCAGAAAAATAAACAAAACACACAAATATCACTTGATGGCCCCCACTTCTTTTTGGATAACAGCATCTTACTATGCAGTCCAGGCTGTCCTGGAACCCACAGTGTAGCACAGACTGGCCTCAAACTCACAGCAATCCTCCTGCCTCAGCCTCCTGGGTGACAGGATCACAGGTGTGTGCCACCAATCCTGGCTTGTAGGTGGCTATTTTTATGGCCAATAATCAAAGTCGAACATCCACATTCAAACCAACATTTGGTCACAGCGGCCACTTCTCCAAGGGCCAGGTGGCTGCACGTGGCTGCTGGCTGCTATGCAGGTCAGTTTGACCTTGAGTGTTTCCCACTGCTACAGGCCTTTCTAGGGGCCTTGAGATCAGAGAAACCGCAGGTGAATCTCTGCACACCGCCGGTGTGTTCTAGCACACAGCAGGCACTGAGGGGCCACCCACGAATTTATGCTGGCAGTTCCCATGAAAGCCATCAAGCCTCACCAACACATGGGTGATGCCCACATAGCCTGTAAAGGTCATATACTGAAGACATTACTCAGGCCTGATCCAACAGCAGCCCCCCAAACTCTGGCCCCATCAGGATAGACAGGAGTACCAAACACCACGGCTCCAGAACAGCCTCCGAAGCCCCGCCGCCTCTGGAACGCCCGACCTGCCTTGCCCTGTGCACCTTCCCACGGTGCCGGCAGCCAGGGTGCTACTCTCCCATGGCGAAGGGTATTGTAACAATGCGTGGACCCCCTCAGCACATCCCAGCGATACCCGTGCAGCTCGAACACACTCCAATAATAGCCACGCGTGCTCCCCAATTACCTACCCCCACAGATTCGGCAACGGCAGCCCTCCACGAATACTCCAGTATATTTCACCAACACCCCCACACATCCCAGTACACGCCAATAATAACTCCCCTCACTCTGCTCTCCACGTATTCCAACAACACACCCCCTGCGCACGTCCCAGCACACGCCAATCATACCCACTGTGCTCCCGCTGCACCTCAGCGCCGCCCCCCACAGGCACCTCTGTATTCTCCCGTGATCCCTGCGACCTGCATTGTAAAATCCATACCAGGCACCCCCCCCCCAGCTCTGCGCCTGCGCGTGCCCCGCCTCCTCACCATGCCTTCCTGTCTCTCCACAGCCACAGCAGGGACGTACTCCAGCCTACCTAGCCACCGCTCCTGCCCGGGTTCATCCTGGTCTCAGGAACACATCTGCGCCCTACCTGCCCTGTCTTCCTCCCCCTGAGTTTACAAGTAGCCCATGAGCCAGGCCTCGGTAGCTGGGGTGCGTCGGTGGTGGCCTGGGATAGCGGGATGTGCGCGGGCAGGGCGGGGGTGGGAAGACACAAAGGGGTTGAGAAGGCTCAACTGGCCCGTGGTTGGGGTCAGTGGAGGTGGTTCCAAGGTCACAGCGACTGCCCGTGTGACATCCTCACCCCAGCCTGGGTCTTGACCACAAACCCTGACAGCCTCCTCCAATCCCTCATGTCTTTGCGGCCCCTAGGTCCTCGCCACCTGCCCAGGGTCCCCAGCAGTGCCCTTCTTCCTGTCTTCCTGCAGCACCCCGATTTCTTTCACTCCTGCTTCGCACATCTGTACCTGCTCATCATCCCCCCACATTAGGCCCTCGAAAGCTACTCCATCCCACCATGGAATAGTAATTGTGCCTAGGGGTGAGGGGAGGGCCAGAACCCTTCATGGGCCCAGGTGGGGTTCGAGGGGCCGAGTGCTTCCCTAGTATGGGCAAGGCCTTGGGGCCCATCCCCAACACTGAAGAAAATTAAAGATCATTTTAGAGATAAATCTGTAAAAGTTTAGATATAAGCAGGGGCATGGTGGCACATGCCTGTCATCCCAGCACCAGGGAGGCTGAGGCAGGAGGATTGACTCGAGATTGAGACCAGCCTGGGCTACAAAGTGAGCTCAAGGCCAGCCTGAACTGCGTAATGAGACTCAATCTCAAGAAGACAAAAAAAGGAAAAAAACCCACTTTAGAGATAAACTACCACCTCCATTTCCTAATACAAGTGAGGAAACAGAGGCACAGGAAGTTTAAGGAACTTGCTGTAGGTCACACAGTAATAATCTTCAACAACAAAACCGGGTGTAACTGCTGTAATACCACCCTCTGCTCCACAGTGCCTGAGGACCTTGAACACATCACCTCTACCAGGAGTACCCCTGACCTCCAGCACAGGAACTTCATCCCGTTACCTGGGTCACACACTGCTAACAGCCCCGGAGCTGCTGCCCAGCCCCAGGCGCCATCCCAGCACTTCACACCTGGGCGGTTTGCCTGATATTCCCATTTTACCAATGAGCAAACTGAGACACAGAGAGCTTGCTCAGGATTGCACCAGCCAGATGCTGTCAGAGCCACCATCTGAATTTCCCATTGGCCACATACCCCAACAGTGTCCTAACACCCCAGTTCACCATTCCCCACTCTGCTGCCCCCTCGACTTCCATCCCCACATCCTTCTCCCTCCTCTGGCTCCCATGCCAGCCTCACCCAGAGCCCAGCTGACCATCCCCTCAATTGGCAGCCCCTCTCCTTTCCCAGTGCTACATCGCAGTTCCGCATTGCCTAGGTCCCCCTCCCGTGGGCCTAGGTGCTGTTACACCTGGGGACTGTCCCTCCCTGCGTCCTTCCTGACACACCCACATCCTCATGCTCTCCTCTCTGGCTGTGTGACCTCCTCATCCCTCCCAGCACCTCCTTGCTTCCTCACTTTCGGGGAGTGCCCCCCTCATGTCCCCTGAAACCCCCAGCCGCACACACCCTTGTCATGCACCCAAGGTGCTTCCTACTTTTGCGTCCTGGTCTCCATCCCACACCGCTGCCTGCCGCCCAGACCAGCAGCTGCATTCATTTACATTCCCGCGTCCTCTCCTTTCCTCCCCTCTCCTGGTGCTCTCTGTACGCGGCCCAAGTCCCCACCCCCAGTCCTCTCCACATTCCCAGCACCCCACTCCTCCCACCCCAGTTCTCTGCTAGACACCCCGAGCCCCCCAGCTCCCGTACCCCCATTCTCCATGCCTGTTCTCCTGCCTCCTTCCACCTCCCCAGATCCCTGCAGCCCCGCCCCGCCCCCACACTGGCTCCCCACCCCTCACAGCACCCCACTCATGCTCCGAGGCACCGACTACCTGCCCGTCAGGAGCTGGCACAGGGCTCTGCCCCAGGCCATCCCGCGGCGTCCCTGGGAGGCCTCTGGAGCCCGGTGGCCCGCTCTTGCTCACCGGATCCCCCACGCGGAGACTGCGGCGAGCACGTTCCCCGCCCCCACCCGGAGAGCCCTCTCACACTCTCAGATCCCACAGCTCAGAGCCTGCTGCTGGGCATGGCGCCCCCTCCCGCGCGCCCCTCTGCGTGGCCTGGCCCGAGCCCCCTCCACAGGGAAGCCAGCCCCTCCCCGTGGGTAGAGGCGCGCAGCCGCCGAGGCTCGGTGCACAAGCCCAGCGGCAGCCCGGCACACGTGCCCCACACGGGCAGAGGGCAAGACTGCCGGCTGGAGGGTCCCCCACATGCACAACCCCCCAAGGGCAGGGAGCAGGGCGCAGGGACCCAAGCACAGGAGGGAGGGGGAGGGGCTGGTGGGGGAGGGACAGGCCAGGCACGAGAGGAGGCTGGGCACTGGGAAACGCAGCCGCAGTCCCTGGGACAGATCCACTCCATCACACACACACGCGCGCACACACACACACATGCGCGCACGCGCGCAAACACACACACACACACACACACACACACACACACACACGGTCCCCAGACAGCCTCGCTATCGCTCCAAGTCACACAGAGACAGACACTGTCACACAGGGATACACAGATGGACGCGGCCGAGGGGCAGGCTCGGAGCCCATCGTCTCCCACCTCCCTGCTCCGTGCCTTACACACACACACACGCGCGCGCGCGCACACACGCACAAACACACGCACACACGGGGCTGCGGGAAGGCATACACGCACCTCAACACAGCCACACGGACACGCGCACAGTCGCACAGTGACACGCAGCGGAAAAAGAGGAGGGGAGAGGAGGCGGGGGCGGGATGCGTGTGTGATGGGGGACGATTGTGAATGGGAGAGAGGGGTATGAATGGGGGGACTCGCCAACTCCAAAAAGGCGGGCAGGCGGGGACAGGGGTATCAGAGGGACCCAGGCCTGGAGGAAGCCACAGCGGTGGCGCCCCAAGGGAGAGCTCGGGGAAGTGGGGGTGCGGAGGGTGGCGCAAAGGGCATGTGAGTTGCAGCCCTGCAGTGGCCTGGTGTGGAGGGCCTAGCCAGGCTGGGGTCTCCGGAAAAGAGACCTGGTGGGGGGGGGCGGCAGGGGTGCAGGACAGACTCCCAGGGCCGAGGAGTGTGTATGGGGACTCGGGTACGGGGGCCCGGAGAGGAGGCTGGAGAGGCGCAGAGATGCGAAGAGGGGCCTGGGAGGCTTTAGTGCGGGGTAAGGAAGCGCGGAGGGCCGGGGGGCCGCGGCGCGGGCCTGGGCGGGGGCGGCGCTGGGTTACCTGTAGATGTACCAGACGCTGCGCCGCCGGGGCCCCAGGGCCGGCCAGCTGGAGGAGAGCGCGGGGGGCGGCTGCGGCAGGGAGCCCCCGCCGGGGCCAGCCCCGAGTCCCCCGCCGCCGCCGCCGACCGCAGACAAAGCCATCGTTGCCGCGGCCCCGGCCCCGGCCCGGGTCCCGGTGCCGGCCGCCCCCGCCGCCGCCGCCGCCGCGGCGTCCCCGTCCCCGCTCGGCCGAACCCCCGTGTCCGGGCCCCCAGGCCCCGCCTCATGCTGACCCGCGCCGGGAGGGGGAGGGGGCGCGCACCCCCCCGCGGCAGGGAGGGCAGAGCCGGGGGGCTCACATGCCGGGGGGCGCGGGGGCGCGGGGCGCGGGGTCGCGGAGCGCGAGGACCGCGAACGGCGCCGGCTTCAGCACCGCGGACAGCTCCGCGCGGCGCGGCGGGTGCGAGGCTTTAACCCCTTGGCGTCCTGCGCCCGCGGCGGCGGCGGCGGCGGGCGGGCGGAGGGGCCGGGGGGAGGGGAGGGGGGCCGGGAGGGGAGCGCGGGGCCCCCACGGCGGGCGGAGGGGCGAGGTGCGGGGGGAGGGAGGCACTTCCGGTCTACCCCCCCGTCCCCTCCCCCTCCGGAGCCCTCCCGCGCAGGTGCAGAGTGAGGGAGCGCGCGGGGAGAGGGACGCACAGCACCGTCGAGACGCCCGAGACCGCGTGCAGCAGGGACGTGCGTGCGGACCGAGCCCCACTTCTGAGGCAGGGACGCGCGAGGAGGCGGAGGCCCCCGGAGGGGACACAGCCCACCACCACAGACCGACACACAGTCGGGAAGGGCCTCCAAAAGGAAGGCCAAAACCTTTCCCAGCCGGCCGGCCCCTGCTGGAGGACACGCGCACCATGCTTACGGGAGAGCGTGGACCCTCAGCCCGCGCGGGGAGAGTGGGTGGCGTCGCCAGGAAGGAGGTGCACGCAGGAAGAAGGCCCAGCTCTAGAAGGGCAGCCTTGGGGTGCAGGGCACCCTGGCGAGGCCGCTACAGACAGGGTCGGGGAGCACAGGGAAGGCAGGAGGAGGAGGAAGAGGGTAGACAGCCACACACAGCAGCACAGGAGGCCAAGGAGGGGAGGAGGGTGTGAGGCCCGCAGGGTCGCCATCAACAGGTGGAGCCAGGAACCCCCAGACCCAGGCGAGGAGAGACCCAGAGAGACCACACAGACAAGAAGCAGAGACCAGCTGGGGCGGGGAGGGGAGAGCTCGGGGTGAGAGGACCTAGATACTCACGCAGTGCCCAGAGCCGGAGACGTGCCAGGTGAACACACACTAAAATGGTCAAGCGCCTCAGACCCTTGGGGCGCAGGGTGGGACCCGGGCTCCACCCTCTCCGCGTGTTGTCATCTCTCCCCTCCCTCAGTCCCCCACCCATCCCCACTGGCCAGGACACAGACACATAGGTTTGGACACATTTAATGGAAGGATGCTACGAACAAGGGGACCCTTCCCTGGATTGGGAGAAGGCAGCGGAGGATGGTGTCATCTTTTAGACACCCAATTATGGCCCTCCTTACCCCCCACAGCCCTGCCCTCTGGGAGCCCAAGCTCTCAGGCCTCCCCTCCTCTACCCTCCCCTCCCCCAACATTCCAGGTCCTAGACTCTAGACAGCCAGAGCCAGGGCCGGAAGGATGCAAAGGCATGCACACTCTGACATGCGCAGACGGACAGATGCGGAAAGACAGCCGCCTGGCCACAGGTGTGAGCAGACACCCGAACACTTCGACGGGCAGCACAGGTGTGCACTGGCCATCCCCACAGGACGCAGACACAAACACGCCTACAGCGGGGGGACGAGCCTGGGGTCCAGGGGGTACCCAGCCGCACATGCATAAAGACACGTGTCATGCGCACCCACAGAGATGCACGTTCACGCAGGTGAGACCTCCACTCTGGCCATGCACACGCACACACTCCTACACCCCACAGGCAACCCCAGCCTTCCCATCTTGGCCATTCCCCTCCCCTCTCACCTCCCTGGGCCAATCCCATCCATCAAGCTTCAGAAGCAAGTCAGCCAGCAGCCAGGGAGGGAAAGGCGTCAGTGTGCCCTTCTGCCCTCCATCCCGCCCCTCTGCTTGCCCCACACACCAGTGGGAGACATCGGGGTGCACACACACTTCTGCTGCGTGGGACCACACAGAGACCAGGGTGGGAGTAGGCACATGAGACCAGGGCCTCCAGCTAGCCACACACACAGCACCCTCAAGAACCCCCACCCCGCCCTGAATCCCAGTTAGTATTGGCTTCCCCAGAGCTGGACAGCCTCGGTGGCTGCCAAGGATGGTTTGGGGTTGGGCTGTTGTTTGAAGCTAACTTTGCCTTCTTCCACCCTTCAAATCCCTTCACATTTTAGAAGACAAGAAAGGGGAAAAGGAGATGAGATAGAATGGGGATGTTTTACAGTGTGGGGTTTGGGTAGTGGGGCACCTCAGGGGGTAAGGACATTTACCTTGGGGCATCAAAGCTGTCGTAGGAGCCCACAGTATAATGTCGGAAGAGTCTCTTCGCCTTGTCGCTGCGGCTTTCTGCAGGGGAATGAGGGACAAACTTGGACCCTTCCTTTGGAAACCACAAGCCCAAGTCTTCCCATCCACTTTCACCCCTCAGCCCTGTAAAGAGGGAGGAAGAAAGGGCCACGAGGATTCTAGAGTGCGCTGAGGTTCCTCCTTACCTTGCTTTCCTTCCTGGGATCGGTTTGCCACCTCTTCCAGGCAGTCAGAGGGGAACCAGCCAACTCGACCTTTGACCTGGCCTTCCCAGAATCCTCCTTCCCCAATGCTGAGCACTGGCAGGGCAGGGACACAGAAATGTTTCCATGTTTCCCGGGGCTCTCCAGCCCCCTTGCCCTACCCAGCCTTCCAGAAATTCCCAGCACCCAGTCCAAGGGCATCCTTAAGCATAAGGGGGTGGTTAAGAACTAAGTCATAGCCTGCTCCAATTTGCCCTTTTTGGGGCCCAATGAGGACATCCAGATGGGTTGAAGAAAAGGACTATGTTCCAGGACATGGTCTGCCCAGGTCAGAAGCATGTCTGGCAGTTCCTGTGTCCCCTGGTCACCAGCCACAGCCCACCTGCATGACTCCCTTAAACTCTCCAGGCTCTATGTGGATGTCAGCGACTGTTGGGAACCCAGGCTCCCCTTCACCCTCCATCCCTACCCCTGCCATGTCCTAAAATCACCTTGCCACCTAATCTTGTCATTTGCTCCCAGGCCTCTCCCTCTTCCACCTCTCCATCTCCCCTGGCTTCCTTCCCTCTGCTTCAAACCTATACCTGGAGGCCACCTCCTCCCATTCCACCTCCAGCCACCTTCTGCTCCTTGCATACCCAGTGATCCAGCCCTCGATCTGGGCCAGAGCCCTGGGCCGGCCAGGCGCCTTGTGTTTTCTCTGTTTTATTGATGAGGAAACTGTGGGAGAGCTAACATCATTTGCTCAGGGTCAGCAGACGCTCAGGGTCAGCAGATGCACCACTGGAGAAGCCAGATGTGCCTGTAGGCCATCAAGCTCCACGGTTAATGCTTTAGTCACTAGAGTGTTCTAACTCCATCCAGGAGCTAGCAGCTACCTCTGCTAGCAACAGTGACGCACACACAAGTCTTCCACATCTCCAGCATTTTTAAGATGCTGTCACCACATATTCGATGTGATCAAAATATATGCTGAGTGTTCAAAAGTTTTATTACAGTAGAAGACACTGCGGGAATCCCCCTCGGAATCCTCCTCCTGGCCTGGAACACACCCATCCCGTCATCCGTGTTGCTTTCTGAAGCAGCTCGGGGCGCTCTCTTTCCTGAGTGTCTTTTTAAGGTGCAATCACAAACACAGGGGACGCTGCTGCCTGGCGCCGTCCAGCAGAGAGACCGGCTCATGAAAATGTCATGGTGTGTGCTTCCCACCTCATCACTGGATCTAGCTCTTTCCCAGAGTCAAAATGCCCATTAAAAGGTCAGCATTTTCAATCAGGACATAGAGGCAGCCTGAACGCCACTAAAGACACGAAAGAGGACTCCAAAACCACAGCACAACGGGCTAAGTGTGTTCAGAGGGAGGACGCATGTCCTGAGGGGGGTTTGGGCCCTTGTGTGTTTTTACTGTAATCCTTTTTAGTTAAACATTTCAATTTAGCTTTGGCCACACCTCAAATTTTCCTTCCTCCCTGAGTCCCAGGTAGGGAACAACTGGTTTCTCATCGAAGCATAGGTAACACACAAAAAAGTCCTACTCTGACCACAGTAGGAGTTGACTGGAGACCACCGGGTTCGTTCGCGCTACAGACTGCCTCCCTCAGGAATTATGAGGGACAGCCTAAGGTCATGGACTCAAGCGGGAGATGGGGGTGCCTGGAGCCTGGCTTCCTGGCCAGCTGAGCTATCTTGTAGCCACTTGTTGGTCTACTGAATAAATATTTAATGTCAATCGTGACTGAGATAGCGGGGTGGACACAGGTGAAAATGGCCAGGCAGTTCCTGCCCTCACACATCCTGCAGAACCAGAAGGCCTGCGGGATTAGAAGCCAAGGCCAGAGCTCACAGGAAAGAAATGGGGTCTCTGGAGAGAGGCCGGAGGGCAGCATAGAGGCTGGACAGTGAAGGCGTCCAGGTCCCTGAGGCTGCAACATGCAAGCCAAGACCTGCAGGATCGAGGGCTGAGGATGCAAGCAGAGAAGGAGAGCTGCTCGGGCAGAAGGGCAGTGAGTGACAAGGGCCAGTGCAGGGAAGGACAGGGGGTATCTGAGGAATGGTAAGAAGGATGAGGTCCCCAGAGCCCACGGAGAAGGGAGGAGAGGGCAGGAAGGGGCGATCCCAAGTGTAGGGCAGGAGGGAGCTCTGTGACACCAGGACTGGAGGCCACCTGCGGGCAGTCCCACCTCCTAGTTACTCTCTGGCAGGTCTGGAGGCAGGTAAGTCCCCCATCATCAAAGAGTGGGACATAAAAACCAAGGGCAGCCTGGGTACGGTGGTGCATACCTGCAACCCCAACACTCTGGGAGGCTGAGTCAGGAGGATGGCTCAGCAAGACCCTATCTCAAAATAAAAGATAAAGAAAAGGAACAGAGCTGTCCCTCTGTGCAAAGGCCCAGGGTCGCATCTCTAGCACCGCCCCTCTTCCATCAAAGAAAAAACCAAGAGGGTGGTGTGTGCCCTTCTGTAGGAAATTTTGTGCCTGGAGCTTAAAAAGACATAGTAGGAGATACAGTGGGGCCCGTGCCACCCAGCAGCCCTTGGACGCTGACCTCTGCTTCCCTTCCTTCTTTCCTTCCTTCCTTCCTTCTCTTCCTCTCCCCCACTGCACTTTCCAGGCTCGCTGGCTGCCAGGGAGCTGCGCTGCCCCGTGCATCCCATCTGCACACAATCCTTCATTCATTCTCTCTGCATCTGCGGTTCATTCATTCTTTCATTCATTCTGCAAACCTGCGGAGACCCAGTGCCTGCGACCTCCCTGCCTTCAGGAACTCACGTCAGGGGGAGACAGCCTACCAGAGAAGACCATCTGCTCCTGGAATGCCCACGGAGGCCTGCCAAGAGGCTGCCTCCTTGGAGGACCCTGCCTTCCTGCCTGCCTGCCTGCTTGGTACCCCTGGGGCAACCTAGCGCTGGGGCAGAAGGGTTCTTTGACCTGAATGAACCACAGCAAGCCACCCCAGCTCCACAATGCTTATTCAGAGTTCATACCAAAGTGCTGCGGCGTGGGCCTACTGGTGCCATTCTCCAGGTCACACAGGAAGGGGAAAGAGGCACTCTGGACAGTGGCCACTTCTGAAGGAGCCTTGGGCTGAGGGCTACGCCCTGCCACCTCACCAGGGCCCCCCAGAGGTGGCACTGTCTGTTTCTCAGTGACAACCCCCAGCTGAGGGAGACACATGTCCCAGGTGCTTGGGTTCATGTTCCAAGCAGGGAACAGGAAGGCCACGCAGGGGACCTTGGGCAGGTTGCTGCTTGGATGTCCTTGCCCTGAACAGTAGGGCTCGTGATATCCTCCTGCAAGAGCCAGCAGGAGTCTAAGGAGATCACGAGGGTCGAATGCTACGCGTGCCTAGCCAGCACCTGTCAGCACCCCAAGAACGCTGCTGCCCCCTCCTTGGCCTGACAGTGTCCCTTCAGCCACTGTCTGCTCCTCCAAGGTACAGGGGGCCTCAGGGTTCCCAGCGGCCCCCAGAGTGGTGTGGCACTCTCGTTCTTGGTGTCTGAGGCTCAGACTCCGGCTGCCCCCTCCCAAGGGTTGGGCTCCCCCAGCCCTCTGGGCACCCCTGCCCCTGCCCACCCTGCCCGGTCACCTTTGATCTTCTCGCCCTTGCTCAGGGAGATCTCCCCCTCGCCCTGGGCCTGGTAGGACTTCACAGCCATGAAGGAGCGTCCGGGAACTGCTGAGTAGAGCTTCCGTCGCCGTCCTCGGCTGCCCAGGGACCCCCCAGGGCCCCCAGAGCCCCCTGTGCCCCCGGTGGGTCCGTCCCGGGGCGTCCCGCTGGAGCTGTGAACACAGAGGGTGTGAGGGGGGTGCTCCTGGGCAGGGAAGGAGAACCCAGGGGAGAACAGGGCTCCTTGGGCAGGAGCAGGGTGGAGCATGGGACGGTGGGCGCTGAGTAGGTTTCCCGGCATCGTGGGTGAAGAGGGCATTTGGGGCTTCTTCTGTCTGCCCACTGCTGCCCCCAGCCCCGTCTCCAGCCTCCTCCCATCCTGCACACACCCTTGACTCAGTTTCCTGGAAACGAGCTGGACTGTGTCATCCCCTGTTCCCAAGCCTCCCCACTTCACCTGGGTCAGGTCCAAGCCTCTGCCTGCTACCCGAGTTCTCCTGTTTCCTCAGGACAGGCCTGGCCAGCCCTGTCCTGCCCTCCTCTAGCCAGGCTGGTCCCCCTGCCCCAGGCTGGTCCTCTGCCCCAGGCTGGTCCCCCTGCCCCAGGCTTGCCCTCCCCTCTGCCCTGTGACCTCTCTGTCCCTCACATCCCAGGCCTGGATGGCCCTCCCACAGCCAGTCCTCATGCTGGCCATCCTCTGGCCTTGCCCTGCCATTCTAGCATCTTCAAGGACTAGAGCCCACACTTCAGGGGGATCCCCAGCCCCTAGACCCCTGCCATGAATGTGACACATTTGAAGGGCAGGTGGGCAGCCGGCCTGGCTCCAGGACAGTTAAGTCCGAGGGCATCGCAAGGCTCAGCAGGGCCTGTGCAGCCAGGGCTGCAGCCTCCTACCTGGGCCGTCCTCGGGGCTGCCTCTTGGCTTCCTCTGGGTGTCTCCCTCGGGATGGGGAGCGGGCCCGGGCACCCCGGGGGCTGCTGGCACTTCGGAGGGTCCCGCTGCTGAGCTTGGTTGTGGGGGCTGAGGGCTGTGACTGGCCCTGGGGCCCCGAGGTAGGGCCAGGGGCCGCCGAGGACGATGTCCCCGGGGCGGAAAATACCATCCAGTCAGGCAGCGCCATGCTGGTGTCACTGTTGGCCCTGAGCAGTGCAGGGGGCACCGTCAGCCCGGCTCCTGGGGGTCCCCGTCGCCGGGCTGCATACTTTGGGGATTCCTGGAAGGGCACTGGGAGGCCACAGTGGTGGATTGGGGAGATACAAGGTGGGGACATAGAGGCAGGTGGGGCCATTAGGGCAGAAGAGGCATGGGAGAGAGAGATTGAGATGAGAGAAAGGAGGGGTTCTAGAATCAATCCCCTGCAACTCAAGTTCAGATCCCTCCAATCCCACCAAGAACTCCATGGTTGAACCCAAGTTGCCCGGCTCCCCCTTCCTTACCCACGTCCTGTTCCCGATGGTTTCGGATAAGCTCCCCCAGCTCGAAGTTCCCAGCAATCACTGCCACCTGGAGAAAGGGGTGCAGGGATGGGGTGGGTGACATGAGAGGGTGGAAACATCCTGAGGGCCCCCAAGCCAGCAACTCACCCTTCCCTGTCCCAGACCGCAGCCTCCCTCCCGGCATCCCTTGCTGCAACCCCTCCCGGTCCCTACAGCCCTTCACAGCCCCTGAACCCAGACCTGGAAGGGTGTCTGTCCACTGTTATTCTTCACGTCTTTGTTGGCCCCTCGGTAGAGGAGGATCCTAGCGCAGGTCTCCTGGGGATAGCAGCCAATAGCACAGGACAAAACGAAAAACAACAAAAGATCACTGGGAGGGGACACTGGCTTCCCCGGACCTCACTGAGAACTCCAGGAATGATCCAAGCTGAACCAGCAGGGCCTGGGGTTAGATGAAAGTAGGTGACTAAAGTGAGTGTCACCTGACACTCCTTGAACGTGGCCACCAGGACCCTGAGGAGAGGAAGGACAGTTAGCCCATGTGGCTGGAGTTATGAGCTGCTCATAGGCTGATCTAGGGGGTGCTCCGGGGCTGTGCTCAGCCCCACCGGTGCTGAGCAGCCTCCTGGCTTCCACCACTAGATGCCACTAGCAGTCCCTTTCTCGGTCCTGACAACCAAAATGATCTCCAGACATTGCTAAAAGTCCCCTGGGGGGCGGAAGCAGGGGAAAACCTTGCTCTCCGCATCTGACACAGGACTCCCGCGCTCAGCTCTGGAGAGGCAGAGGCGCTCAGAGCTGCCCGGCAGTCCCAGGAGGAGATGGAGATGATTGTCTCTATTTTACAGTCGGGGAACTGAGGCTCCCAAAGGAGCCCTAGGTCATAGGGCGGCGGGACTGTCAGCATGCAGATTCCAGCCCAGGTCTGCCTGACTCTGAGGTCTTTGATCTCAATCACGCACTCTGCCAGACCCAGAAGGAAGGAAGGGGACACATCCCAGGAGGACAGAGGAGCCAGGATGAGGCGGCAGGGACAGGCCATCTACCTACATCCATGGCAGTTCCTCAGCGACGTCACTCGGGGCCTCTGCTTAGGCTCCCTGGGCTAACCCTGCGCCCTTCACACGCTCCTGGTGGCCTCGACTCAGCTGGCTACCGCACCTCTGCCTTGCCCGGTTTTCTCTCCTCCTACCACCTTTGCTGGCTCCCGGGGCTCCTGGCACAGAGCCCTCGGCCTGCCACTGCCCTGCCTGGACACCTCCGCGCCCAGATTTCCACACGGCTCGCTTCCTTACTTCACTCAGCTTCCTGCTCAAATGCAACCTCTCTGAGAGGCTGTCCCAACTAAAAGATCAGGCTGTCCTGATCCTTCTTATTTTATCTGATGTGACCCTCTGGTAGGTGCCAGGCATTCCTTTAAGTCCATATCAACTCATCTTCACACCACCACCTCGGAAATCCCACTTGGCACAGCCCTTGCATCTGCCGGCTCTCTCCCCTCCCCTCTCACATGGTGAGTTACAGAGGGGCAGGATTTTGTCCTTGGCACCTGCCCTCCGGACCAGCGCCTGGCCCACTGGGATGGCTGGATTAACAGTCAGTGGGCACATCGGCCTGGCCAGACTCCGTCTGCCTGGCCCCCAGCTGGCTCCCTCTGAGGCTAAACCACAAGCAGCTCCACTGGCCACTTCTGTGCATGTCCTCTGAGCAGCCTGGCACAGACTCCGCCTCCTGGAGAGGGCAGCATCATGCCTGGGACCACACAGACAGAGAGCCAGCAGTTAAGACATGAGCCTGGCCTTTGGTTAGTCAGGGCTCTGGGTGTGCTGTGAGTCGGTGTGTAAGCACCGGTGCCAGCCACGCTGCTAAGCTGCCACGTGCAAGGGTGCATGCTGCCCAGAGAAGCTGTTTCTCACTGCAGTGATTCGTGTATCCTCCTGGGGCACATGCACTGTCTCCGACTCATTACCCTGCATCCCCGGCACACAGTAGGCGGTCAAGTCAAGCGTGTGGAAAGGGTGAGGATGGAGGTGATGGAGCTGTCAGTCAAAGTTCACTTGTTCAAACCCATGCATCCATTCATCCATGCATTCTTTCATTCATGGAGTAGCTGAACCTGGAGCAGACACCCATTGGACACCCGGAGCCAGACATCCACACAGTCCTGGTGGGAATCAACACAGCAGGCCCATCCCTCACTCCTTTGCTCATTCATTCATTCCACAAAGACTCAGCCAGGCCTACTGCAGACAATTAATTCTTGAGACTCCGTCCTGCTCTTCAGGCACTCACAGCCCAGCCCTGCCCTTCCCAGCTCTGGTCACACAGGGCTCCTCAGGGGCCAGCACAATGGTTAGCAAGTAATGCCCAGCCCAGCCCAGCCTGGAGCCTGGGTAGGGGAAAGAAACAGGAAGTGAGCTCTAATGTTTCCAACCTATTAGACGCCATGCCAAGCGCCTCCTTCCCAGCGGCTGGAATGAACTACCGACCCGTTTCACAGATGAGACCGGGGGGTGGGGGTGGGGGGGTGGGGAGGCCGAGGGGAGAGATGCCCCATTCATCTGGCAGGCTAAGCACACCGTGCCTGCTGGGTAATTCTCCGGGTGGCGAGTTATCCTGCCCGGATGTCTCCTGCCTGACACTGGCAATGGTCGTCATAATCGCAATCCTCATTCTCGTGGTTTTCCTTTAGGGAGAGACCACTCTACACCACCATCACAAATGTGTTCCACTGGGTGAAGGATGTGGTATTGTTTCCAGGAGCAGAACAGGGAAAGGGGGCTCAGCAAAGGCCCCTTCACCTGCCTGCCTGCATGTGGCCAAGAGGCCTGTGTCAGAGAGCAGGGGAGACAGCCAGCAGGGAAGGGACATGCCCATACTGCTTGGATTTGAAAAACACCGAGTCCTCCCTCGGCGGCGCTGAGCACACTGCTCCCGCCACACGGCAGCGCGTGGCTGTCTGCCAAGTTTCTGGCACTGCAAGTTCTCAGGAGGCAGAAGGGGCTGAGGCTGTTTTGGATGACTTCCTGGAGGAGGGGGCTGATGGCCCAGCAGCGTCACACCAGGCCCCGTCCCTTGCCCCTAAGTGCCCGCAGCAGCCCTGCAAGGGCAGGGAGCAGGAAGACGCTGGTGGGTGGCCCAGGGGCACCTGAGAGGGCACTGCTGGAGATCACTGGGCACTTGGGTGGCAAAGTGTCCTAGCCCTCACCAATGGCTGTCTCGGCTTGCTACGTGAGACCTCCTGTCTTCGCATTCCAGCCGCCTCTCGAGGAATGTGCCAGGACGGGGACTGTCTACCCAGCACTGAACTGGCACATGGGTAACACAGCCTCTTCCCTTCGGGACCCTGCTCCAGCCTTTCCTCTGTTCCTGCCAAGGCACCACGCAGACTCCATGCACACTGCTGGCTAATTGGAGACACGTGGCAAATAGGGGCTGCCGAACCCGATACTTCTTACAACAGTCCTTATCCCCACCCCTGTCTTTCGTGCAGGCCATACCCCGTGTCTGGAGCGGTGCCCTCCCCTCTCCAGCCAACTTCTCTCATCTTAACAAGGGTGGCGTCCTCCAGTACACCAGCTCTACCCAAGCCCCACCCCAGATATGAGTCCAGAGGGGACCTGGATTCCCTTGGTGTTGCCTTGAGCTCTCTGGATAGTAAGAGCTGTAAGAGCAAGGATGTCATCTGTTCCTTGCTGGACCATGAACCCAACACTTTGTCACCACAGCCAGCTCTGGGTCTGACACATCGAAGGAGATCAGTATGTATTTATTAGATGGATGGACAGATGATGGACAGATGGATGGATGATGGATGGATGGTGGGTGTGGGTAGGTGAGTAGGTAAAGGGTTGACAAATAGAGAGTTGGGTAGATAGCCAGGTAGGCTGATAAGTGGATGAATGAATGGATGGACAGATAGATAGGTGGATGGATAGATGGGTGACAGATAGATGAATGTATAAGTGAATGGGTGTGTGGATAGATAGATAAGTAGATGGACAAGTAGATGGATGGATGAATGGATGGATGGGAGAGTGGATGTGTGGGTGGGTGAGTAGATGGATGGATGATGGATGGATAGATGAGTAAATGGAGGGAAGATTGATAGGTGGACCCATGGATGCACAGATGGACAACAGGTGGGTGGGTGGATGGATGATGAATGGATAGATGGGAAGATGGGCAGGTGGATGGATGTATTTGGTGGGTGAGTGGATGGATGAATGAATGATGGATAGATGGATGGCTGACTGGACAAGTAGGGTGGGTAGGTAGATGAATGACAGATGGATAATTGGGTAGATGGATAGGTGGATGGAAGGATAGGTGGATAGGCGAGTGGATGGATGGATGACAGATGGATGAATGGATGGGTGGTGGATGGATGGATGATGGATGGATAGATGGGTAGATGAAAAGGTAGATGAATGGATGGATGGGTGTGAGTGGATGTATATAGGTAGGTAAATGGATGGATGGATGGATAGATGGAAGGATGGGAGAATGGATACATGCGTGGGTGAGTAGATGGATGGATGATGGATAGTTGGGTGGATGAACAAGTGTGTGGATGGATGACGGATGGATGAATGGATGCGTTGATGGGCAAGTGGACAGATGGATGGATGACAGATGGACAGTTGGTTAGAAGGACAGGTAGATGGATGGATGGATGGATAGGTGAGTGGATGAAGAATGGAAACCGTGAAGGAGCAGAGGTCGCAGTGGCTGGGAGGCTGGGCTTGAGAAGACCTGAGCTTGGCCCTGGGAGGTCTGCAGGCAGGTGGGCAGACATGAGGGGCGAGCAAGTGCTGCTGGGGCAGACCTTGTTGTAGAGAGCACAGATGTGCAGGGCTGTGTTCCCGGAGGCATTCTGGGCTCCAGGCTCAGCTCCGTAGAAAAGCAGGTGTTCCAGGTGCTGGGAGTGGCCCCGCTGACAGGCCTGGGGGGAAGGGGAGCAGAAGCCAGGTCAGACTTGGTCTGCCTCCTTCCAGGACCTTCTCTCCCACCAGGCCAGGAATCCCTGCAGCCACTTCTCCTTCCTGCCCCTTTCCTAGTCAGGGAGCAAGGCTGTCAGCTTCAGGAGTCTGAATGCTCCTCCTAAGCCTGGGCATCCTGTCCGGTCCTTCAAAGGGGCCAAAACCATACTGTCCGGGCTCCCAGCCCACTTTCTCTTCTGTGGGGACCGTGCTATTGTCACCCCTACCTTCTGTACTGTGGGGACCCCAGCACCTGGATCCAGCCTCCGCCACCACCCTGATGCTTCAGCACCCAGGCACCTGGGTCCCAGCCCGGCCCAGTGCAGCGCACCTGGTGGATTTCCTGCCAGCCATTCTCGTCCGAGATGCCCAGCTGGGCCCTGTTGTACAGAAGCAGCTCGCAGCATCGGGGATCGCCCCCCACCATAGCCGTGTGGAACAGAGGGGTCAGCCCACGGCGGTCCTTGTAGTTGGGGGAGCCCCCGAGGTCCAGGAGTGCCTAAGGAGGGAGAGAGATGACCAAAGACAGTCACACAAGAACTGGCTTGTTCTGAAGGTGGGGCGCAGAGTCCTGGGTGACCCACACCAGCCAGTGCCTGACACACCTCTGCCATGATGCTCTTCTGTGATCCTGAGCCTGGCCCTTTCCTGCTCTGGGCCACTCCCACCCGTCCCTGTGAACGAGGGGACAGGGGAGATGCCACCACAGGACCCAGACATCCTGCCCAACCTTCCCTCATGGGGGAGCACAGATGGGCCACTGGAGGATCACAGTGACCACAGTGTCTCCATATCCAGTCCACAAAGTGCCTGCTGGAGGACAGAGGCGAAAATGGGTTCCAAACAGAAGAGATGGCCAAGCAGGAGGTGTTACTGGGACTGGAACCTCAAGGATGGGGCACAGAGGGCAACCTGGGACAGAGCTTTGGGGGAAGGCAGGCATTGCATCGGCCTCCCTGGGGCTGGGGATCAGGGGCTGGGGGTGACCCCGCTTAATGGAAAGCTCAGGGCACAGAAGGCAGCAGCCCTGAATATTAACATGAGACAGTACTGACGGCAGCCCATACGAGGACAGCCTTCAGCAACACTGTCCGACCGGGTGCTCAGTGGCGAGGGGGCCACTCGCCAATCGCGTGGACCAACATGGCAGCCACACAGGGCTGCTGGGCCCCAGGAGCTGTAATTTTAATTTATTTTCACTTTAATTAATTGAAATTTAAATAGTCTCGTGTGGCCAGGAGCTGGTGGATTGGACAGTAGAGATCTGTGTGTGTGTATGTGTGTGCACATGTGCGTGTATACAAGACGGAGCGTGGGGGAGAGTGTGCATGGGATGCATGGACAAGGTTCATTAGATGAGCAAGGTGGCACCTGCTGCAATCCTGGGGGGGTGGGCAGAGGCAGGAGGATCCAGCCTGGACAACTTAGGGAGACCTTGTCTCAAAACAAAAAGAGCTGGGGATGTAACTTAGTGGGAAGACCCTGGGTTCCACCTAGGTACTGGGGGGAGGGCACTCCTGCAATTTGTGGGGATGTGGGCTGCCTCTTGAGTAAAGGGCATTTGGGTATGGTATGTGACCAAGGAGCTGTGTTTGCTGTGAGAGAAGAGGTGGGGAGCTGTGGTCAGAAAGGGGTGATTTCTGGGTGTGCCGGGCCACAGCCAGAAGCTCATTGTCTCAGGGACAGAAAGAGGAGACAGAGCAGGTGGGTGCTGAGCTGCTCAGAGGGGAGGCACTCGGGGCCCTTGGGGGAGAGGTGGGTGCTAAGGGGCTGTCCCTGGGCTGAGATGGGTGTGGCCCTGGGGGCCAGAGGAGGGTCAGTGACAATGGGGACTGTATATGTCAGTCTGTAGAAAGGGGTTTAGTATGCGGGACAAAAAGAGGAGCATGTTCTACCCTCAGAACTAGGGACTGAACTCAGGGGCTTCGCACTGAGCTATACCTCCAGCCCTTTCTAGTCTTTATTTTGAGATAGGATCTCGAAAGGCACTAAGACCATACTCAAATTTATAACCCTGCTGCCCCAGCCTCCTGAGTGATGAGGTTATAGGCATATAGTACCACACTGAGCTAAGAAAGGCATTGTTTTTTTTAACGAAAGTCAAAGCAGTGCAGTTTGAGTAGGAACATACAGGAAAGCAGGAGGGACCCAGTGGAGTGAGAAGTCAGGGTTACCGTGAGCGCCAGGCAGTGTCGGGCGCAGGCGGCCTTGTGTAGTGCTGTCATGCCGTCTCGGGCCCGGAAGTCAATGTGGGCCCCGCCCAGGCACAGGGTTCGAATCACCTCTACGGAGCCTTCGGTCTGGGCCGCCAGGGTCAAAGGGGTCTCTGAAGGACAGGAAAGGCTTGTCACACACAGGCCTGTGACTTTCCCGGTCCTTCCCACCTCCAGGGCCACAAACGGTGACCCTGTGGCCTCTTCTCGGAAGGAATTGGCAAAAACTGATCTGGGTACAAATCAGGCCTCACTACCTCCTGAATCCGAGTCATGGTAGTTGGGGTCCAGCCCCTTGTCCAGCAGCCGTGCCACCTTGTCAGACGTTCCAAGCTGCACATACTCCAGAAATTTCTTCAAGCCCGTCTGAGCCCAGAGACAGAGACAGAGAATGAGAGAGAGAGAGACAGACAGACAGACAGACAGACAGAGAATGTCAGGGCCCGGAGGGGGGATAAGCAGAGGGAGCTGGAACAGTGCTGCTCAGTGGAAACACACAGCCAGCCACAGACAGTGTGGGGAAAGTTTCTAGGAGCCACCTCCAAAAAAAAAGGATGAGAGGGAGAGGAGCCGTCCAGAGAGCGACATTCATTTTGATGAATGTTCTCGATGAATAGATCCATGAGATAACTGCTCCGACAGGTGAGCCACATGAAAATTATTAATAAGACACTTTACTGCCTTTGCACTAAATCCTGGCAACCCCCCAGTGTGTGTCACACTCCCAGCAGGGCCCACGTGGCCACTGGCTCCCAAGGCAGACAGTTTAGGTAGAATGGACCAAAGCCATCGTGGAGAGGAGCAAACCAAATGTGTGGTGTACGGGACGGGGTATGGAGAGAGGGGATGGGGTTATCTTCTTCCTGGCTGTCAGGAATCCTCTCCCTGTGGCCCCTGCACCCTACCCCCAGCTTCCTTGCAGCTCCTAGCTGACCAGGGAGACACTGCGGGTGCTCTGGCCTGGAGGAAAAGGTCTCAGGAGAACCAGTATGCCTGGAGAGAGTATGACCCTGGGTGTTGGCAGAGGCTTGGGCTGGACACTGGGGGCTGTGGGGTGTCTGTGAAACAGTCCCTAGGCAGAGCCCTGGGTGCCAAGGTTCCAGTCTCAGGAGGGGCAGGAAAGAGGTCCTGAGCAATATAGGGGGTCTCAGGTGAAGAAAGGGGGAGTCCAAGGAGCCAGGTAGGCCTGGGTTGAAGAGAAAGGGCCACGGAAGGAAGCTGGGACGGGTTAGAGGGATAAAGGGGTGCCCAGCCGTGGGGCAGAATCCCAAGCTTCGAGAAACTGGCAGGGCCACAGAGAGGTGGGCACTTTGCAAAGGGGCTCCTGGTATATGGAACTGGGGGTAGGGGGCCGGGGATCACGGCTGGCATGGTTCTCTCACCTTCGTGTGCAACTTGGCCAGCTGCTTCTCATCCAGGTTGGTCTGTTTGTAAACTCGGGTCTTGTATCGGAACTGAAGCCAGGGTGGGGTAGGGGAGAGGAACAGATGTGGTTTCAGGGGCCTGTGAGGGTAAGGGTTGATCTCCCCGGGATGGGCTCAGGGCTGGGTGGGCAAAGGTGGCAGGGACATTGCCAAGGGGCAGGTGTATGACCCTGCCTTGAAGAAGATGCATCGTGAGCCTGCAGGGAGCTTTCTAGAACACCTGCTAGAACAGTAAGCCCTTCCCCAACTGATGGCCAGGAGAAGTTTGGGGTGGGGAAGGCACTGGCCCAAGGTTACTCAGCTGGTTGGAGCGGGGACAAACGGTGACATGAGTTCAGGCCCTTGTGAGTTGTCTCTCTCCCATGATTCTGAAGCTGTCAAAATGGCCCACTGGGGTCACTCTAGTTTGGGTCTTGGCCAGGACAGTCATGGTACTGGGAGCGAGACATGCGTGTTCCAGGGCCATGCTCTGTCTTGCAGGTCGCAAGTGGGCAGGGGAGGCTGTAGCCTCACCTCCAGGTAGGGGACCCCCTTCTCGAAGGACTGGGGGTACTCTCGCAGCAGCCGCTCTTCCTCCAGGAAATTGGCATCTCGACCTGAGGTGGCCGGCTGGAAGAGCCCATAGTTGAGCACATCCTGCAGGCTCTCGCTCAGGGCACAGAGCACTTGCTGCTTGGCTGTCCAGATGGTGGCATCCGGATTGAAGCGCAGGCATTTCTGGGAGGGGTAGGCAAAGGGACAGTGGGGGCCAGGGTGAGCTGGGGGTCCTGGTGAGCAGGGGTGAAAGATGATCTGGGAGCCAGGAGATGGGGGTGTCCTTGGGGCTTCCAGGGAAGACACCCAGCCCCACAGGCCTCTGGACACCTCCTCGGCCTCACCAGCACTCACTGTCTGGTGCAGGTCCGGGATGCCAATCCTGAAGACCATCATGCTGAAGTGGGCGTCGTCAGGGACAGACATGGAGCGGCCCTGGAGGCCTCGGACTGAGGCCAGGTTACCAGGTGCCCCACTGCCCCGGCCCCGGGTCCCCCGGAGGCCTTGCCCTGGTCCGTCTGGGGAGCTGTCGGACTCTGAGCCCCCCTCGGGACACTCGCTGACACTGTGACGTTCCTCGTCCTCGCTTGTCGCAGGGCTGTGGGTCATCGTGGGGCCACGGGGCAGTGGAGGACGGCAGCATCACAGGCGGCTACGGGGGCCAAGGGCGACTGTCAGGCTGGGAGTCAGGGACCCCGCAAAGGCCGCCCAGGGTGGCCATACCCCTGTGATCTGGGTGGGCTGGAAGGCGGCAGGTACACCTGCAGACTGCACAGGCTCCTGCTGCTTCCACTTCCGGCACACACACCCACATCCCCCGCAGTGCTCCAGGCCCTGTCTCCTTCCCTGCCCTTGGCCCTGCTCTCACAGCCCCCAACCCCCACGCCCCACTTTGCTCCCGACCCAGCATGGCCGTGTCCCAGAAACCGCAGAATCACCGCGGGAGCTACTGGCCCATTTTGTCAGGCCACAGAAAAATGCAGCTAAAATTAGCTAAGGACAGACAGCTGGACCTCGAGACCGGCATCCTGCCCTCCTGGCCCTGGCCTGGTCCCTCAGCTAGGGGGAGATGTAGTAAGGCGACAAGGGAGGTGTGGTGTGGCTGGGGCAGCAGGAGGTGCCTGTGAGCAGGCAGAAGCAAGCGGTGACTTCACTGAAGTGTCACTGCCAACATGTGCCTGTGGCGAGAACTGCTGGGGAATGCACTGCCCCAGGGGAGAGAGCAAGGGGTACTGGGACGAGGGTGGCACGGGGCAGGGCACCTGTGTAGCACAGGTGTCCCCGAGGGGGCTGGGAGAGGTGGCTTGGGGAGGGAAGGGGGCAGCCTGGGGAGGCTGGTCCTGGGAGTGAGTTCCAGGTGACTGCGGCCTTAGGGCCTGGGTGGGTGTGGGAGGCGCAGGTGACCTGTGGGCCGCCCAGGTGTCCCAGGTCTGGCTGCGGGGTGGGTAGCCTGGTGGTGCTGGAGGTGCCACTCTGAGGGACATAGCAGGTGGGGGAGGTAACTAGGGAGGGAGCTAAGAGGTGAGGCAAGGAGCTGGGGCACTAGGGTGCAGGGTGACCTCTGCATCCCTGCAGGTCTCTCCTATTGGTCCCTTCCAAGTTGGGTCCAACTCCTTGTCCCCCTCTAGTCCCACCCAAGCACCGGAAACCAGAATGTCTGGTCTGGTCCCTCCCCCCTACACCAGGCCCGGCTCCTGCACCGTTGCCATGGAGATGGGAAGCAGTGGAGGGTACTGCTGACTTTGGGGGAGTGGGGATGGGGGGGTTGGGGACGGGAAGACAAAATGTGTGTATAAGGAGGAGAGTTCCAAGAACTGTGGGCGACCAGCATCTAAGCAGGGGCTGGGACCCCTCCCCCACGTGTGATCAGGGCCGCCGCTCCCTCCAAGGGCGCAGGCACGCCGCCCCACCTACCCCAATTTTACTGGGGACCACAGACTCCCGGGGACCCCTTCATTCTGCTGCCTTCCCATCGGGGGGCCCTGGCCACTCCCCCTCGGCTGACCCTGGCTGACCCCCATGCCCCAGCCCTGGAAGAGAGGGGTGGCATATGGGGTGACAGCGAGGCCGGTCAGGGTCCCCCATCCCAGGCCCGCTGCTGCCCCAGCCCCCAGGACCAGCCGAGCCCCTCCCCCTCCGGCCCGGAGGGAGGGAGCGGGCTCTCTCCGCCGGGGCGGCATGAATCAAACGCTCCGCGGCTAAGAATAGCTGGCACGCAGCTGGTACCGAGACGGGCTGAGGAATCGGCGGGGGGGTGGGGGGGTAGGGGAAGGGGGTGCCCTGAGAGGCTGCGGGGGGACAGGGGGCGGCCGGCGTGGCCGAGAGCGGGCCCAGGAGAATGAATGAAGGCGGAGCGAGGCGGGGAGAACGAGGCTGGGCTGGGCGGAGGAGCCGGGGTTGGGGGAGCCCTTAGCTGGGAGGGGGCGGGGACCCCGGGCGCCCGACTCGGGGGCGGGAGCCGAGGGGGTGCGCCGTCCGGCAGGGAGGGCACCACAGACAAGGCGAGGATGGGGAACGGGCCGGGGGCGGGGAGGGAAGGGACGCAGGAGCCCGGCAGGTCTAAGGGGGCGGAGGTGACCAGGGCCTAGCGCACGCCCGGGTGGGAAGCAGGATGATCCAGGAGAGCCCAGGTGCGCCGGGTGGGCGAGGCGGGGGAGTGGCCGGGCAGGGCTGGGCACGGCGCCGAGCTCGGAGAGCCGGGACGCAGGTTCGGGCTCGGGCACTGTCAGGGAGAGGGGGCGCTCTGCCCCCCTCAGGCTGCGGTCTGGGACGTGGCACGGGGGACCAGGGTGTAACCCAATTTAGTATCACTCGGGGCAACGCTCCCTACCTCGCCTGCAACCCCCGACCCGCCCCACCCCACCCCACTGCACACCCAGGCCCCTAGCCCGGCATGGGGCCAAGGACATCCGGGGCGCCCCCACCCCTCCCCCGCCACCCTGGCTCCGCGGTTCCCCCAAGCCCCGGCCCCGGCCCCCTTACCTGCCTGGCGGGGCTGCGGAGTCCCGGTCGGCGGCGCCCGCGGCCCCTCCCCCCTCCCCCCACCCCCCACCCCCCCGGAGACAGGGGACCCTCAGGCCATGCCCCACCGCCCCGCAGGGCGAGCGGGCCGGGGAGGGGGCAGGCGGGGGCCGGGGGGGAGGGCGGGTGGGCCGCGGACCTCACCCCCCCCGCGGGCCGGGCCTGGCCATCCGCAGCGCGCCCCCCTTCTGCCGCGGCCGCCGCGCCCCTCCGCGCCTGCCCCCGGCTCCGGCCGGCGGCTCCGGGCCGGGTTCAGAGCGCTCAGCCTCCTCCTCCTCCTCCTCCTCCTCCTCGGCCTCGGCCGCCGCCGCCGCCGCCGCCGCCGCCGCCGCCGCGCCCGCTCCGCGCCTCCTCGGCCACCTTCTCGCTCTCTCGAGCTCACAGTCTCCCTCACCCTGTCTCTCTCTCTCTCCCTCCTTCTCTCCCTCCCTCCCTCCCCTCCCTCCGCCCTCTCCCCTCCCTCCCGGAGCCAGCGGAGGAAACATCGCCCCTCCCCGCGCCCCCAAACCTCGCCCATCCCCCCCACCCTGCCTGCCACCGGCTCCACCCCCTCCCCTTGCCCTCCCCCCACCCCTTTCCTCGGTTCTGGTCCTCTACCCCTGCTTGCCTCCCACCCCAGGGATGGGATCCCACCCCTTAAGGGTACCTGGCCCACCCTAGTGCTCTTCTGCCTAAAGTGAACCCTATCCCCTCTACACACAGTGGGGTACAAGAAATACTTGTCAGACTCCATCCCCAAATTGGACTGTGACATGGAGGCTGCAGATTCCTGTCCTGTGCCCCCAAATGTGAAGGATGGATGGATACACACACACACACACACACACACACACACACACACACCTGAACTAAACAGGGCATGGCGCAGGTCGACACACCTGAAGTGGGGCACACTTCCCCCCAAAGCACAGCATCAGAGTCACCAGCTGGCACAGGGACTCACAGACACCCCCACATGTGCACTAGGTCCCCCTGGGGTACATGACCACAAACACACCTGGCCTTGCCACACCCCTGTACCAGAACACAAAAGCAGCTCAGGGCAAAATTCGCCTCCACACACTGAGGCACACACCTGGGTGTGCGTACTCCACTCTCTACCTGCAAATGCAGACACACGTGCCCTTCTGACACACAAATCACACTGTTCATCCCCAGCTGTGCACACACCTGCTTGGTGGCACCGTAAGGCCACTCACACCATGGCCCCCCCTAGATCAGCGATGCTGACATGTCTTCCTGAGCACATGCTGTGTGGCAGGCTCACGCTTTCCCTGTGCTCCAGAGGAGGAAACCAGGCAAAGAGAGACTCAGTAAATTGCCCAAGGTCACCCAGCTATACAGAGGTGATATCAAGGACTAGGATCCAGCAGGCTGGCTCCAGAGCCTTCAATGGGCCACTGTTGTGTGGTCCAGACCACCGGCAGAGTCACACACCCTCATTCATCACATACAGTTATCCCTGGCCACCTCTGAGTTCATACACACATGGGACATGCTGGGAAACCAGGCAGCAGAGAGTGAGCCCCTCCTCCAAGTCACCAGTGAACACCAGTGGCCCCTATGGGGAGCAGTTGGGGCAGCCTTGGGGTTCACCTCTAGCCGCAGACTCCCCAGCTCCTGTCTGAGCTGGGGCAGGTGCCTGCCTCACCTGAGAGGTCCTAACTTAGTGCACACCCACCAGCCCAGGTGGTGAGCAGCTGGGCCGGGGAAACAACAGCTGCCCCTGGTGGTGCCAGCAGTGAGATACTGCATACCCCTCTGCAGCGCACAAGGCCTTTCTGCACCTCGGCCTTGTCTCTCTTGAGGTCTGTAGTGCAGGCTTTGGATGTCCAGGCTCTGAGGCAGTGAGCAGCCGCCCAAGGTCACACTGCCCTCATGGTCCCATGGTTCCTTAGAAAACAGAAGGCTGCATGTGTAGATTTCCAAGGCCCCTTCTGGGATTCCCAGCAGCTGAGGGCAGACGCTGTTACTCTGCATGGAGCCAGAAGCCTTGACCAGCTGCCCCTATGATGGAATCTTCAGGGTGTCATGCTATCCCTGCCCAGAGCCTCAATTTCCTCCTTTGAAAATCAAGCCCCTTGATCCCTGGCTAATGAGCTCTATGCTCCTTGGCACCAATCAGGTTGAGACTGGAAAAAGCCCTGTATGACTCACAGGCCTGGCATGGAGTGGGTATGGCACGACCTCCAGTTTCCCCTGCTTCTGAGCCTCTCCCTAGCACCTCACCAGCTCCACCCCCACTGTGGCTACCACCCAGGGAACTCAGGGCTCAGGGCACAAAACCCAAGACCAACTCAAGCCTCTAGGCCTTGGAGTCACCATCAGCCACTCTGCAGGGCTACCTCATTACATGCTGGATGGACTGATTGAGGACCTACTGTGTGCTAGGTAGGTTCCTGGGACACAGCAAGATACAAGAGAGTCCCTGCTTTCAGTGGCAGCAGGTAGACATAAACAAAGACCATGTTGGTCTCAATTATACCAAAAAGATAAAAGGGGGAGAAGTTTCAGAAATCAACTTGTGGAATGAAAAGCCTCTTTAGAGAAGGGGATCAGGGAAGCCTTCCTGGAGCTGAGACTCTGAAAATGAGAAGAATCTGGGGAAAGAGCCTTCCAGAAGGAAGATAAGCACAGGAAAGGTGCTGAGGTGGGGAAGAGCCAGAGGAGCCAGCAGGGTGGAGGGATGGGGTGGGATGGGGTGGGGCTGAGGGTGGGTGACATGGTTTGCAGAGGTACAGCTCTTTTCCAGTCCCCAGCCAGGCAGGCTGCATTGAGGACTGAGGCAGGGGTTTGGCTTCTCTCCTGCTTATAATGGGAAGGTGGAGGGGCAGGGGAGTGGGGAGTGATGTGATCTGATTTATGGTTTGGAAGGATTGCTCTGGCTGCGGCAAGCGGCAGGGATTGGAGGGGCTCAGGAGGAGGGAGAGAGAGGGCAGGGAGGAGGCCACTGCAGTGGTCCAGGCTGGGATGAGGCAGCGCTTGAGTGCTCAGCTCAGCGCAGCAGCGCTCTCTACCTCTCTGCATCTGTCCCTATGCACCCAGCCCAACATCTGTCTATTTCACCTCCTGGGGAAGCTTCTGGGGCCACTTGTCTCCCTTTCTTTACCCTCTAGCCAGTCCCCTTGCCTGGGGTCTTAGCTGTTTGCTGTACTGGAGTCCCCGTGTCACGATGTCCAGGGCCTAGCCAGCAGGAGGCTTCCAGTAAAGTGAGGCCACAGAATCACAGAGCCCCACCTTCCAGGCTGTGCACACAGCCACATACATACCCTTCCTGGGAGTCTGCCCTAGACTGCACTCGCAGGGATGGGGGGGTTGGGATGGGGCAGCTAAGGGGCTGAGGCACCCAGGAGAGAAAGAATGGAGGAGGAATAGAAGTGTGTGGGGCAGACCTCAGGGTGTGGCCAGGAGAGGAGAAGGGACAGGGCTGGGGTCCCAGCATCCCACCGTTGCCTGCTTGGTCCTAGGAGTACCTGGGCTCAAGGCTGGGGCCTGTGGTCCCCAGGAGCACTTGGAGAGACAGTTCCATCCTCTTCCTGACCCTCAGAGCCCTTGGTGGGATGGGAGGAAAGAACAAGGCGGAAGTGCACTCTGGAAAGTGGGAAGAGGGGGTGTGGGGAGACCCAAGGCGGCATCCAGGCTTTGGAACGCTGGAGGTTTCCGGCCACAGAGGCAAGGCCTCCAGGGAGCCAAGAGGGGCGGGGAGACACACACACACACACACACACACACACACACACACACACACACACACACAGAGGACTGGAGGGAGGAGGAGACCAAACGACTGAGACAGCGTGGGAGGGGAGGTGCAGAAGAGAGACAGAGAGGTGGGGACCAGGGAGAGTGATCTCACATAAGACCACAAGACAGGGCACTCAGCAGTCCCCAGAGACCCCAGCGTCTCCCCAGACATTCTGCTATCTTCGACCTCGGGTTGCTGAGAGCCCAGCCTGATGCAGGCAGCCTGGCTTTTCGGGGCCCTGGTGGTCCCCCATCTCTTGGGCTTTGGCCACGGTGCTCAGGGAACAGTGAAGGAGTGGGAGGGGGGTTGGGACGATGCCCTGGAGGAGGAGCAGGAGAGGGAGGCCCTGATGCTCAAGGTGAGCCATGGAGGGGTGGGGGAAGACGACTGAGAGGACTGAGAGGTGGCACTTCAGGGTTAGGGAAGTGGGCCAGGGGAGCAACCGGCTCAGAGGACAGGGGTGGGGGTGAAGATTCAGAGAAAGGATTAGGGCTGCAGGGAGTGAGTTGGAGAAGGGAGGGTGGGTCAGTGGGTGGCAGGCTGGGGCTGACCCCTCCCCCCTCCCGCGCAGCATCTGCAAGAGGCCCTGGGACTGCTGGCTGCCAGGGAAGCCGAGAATCCTGCTGCAACTTTTGGACACACAGGGACCTGGGGGACCGAGGAGACCCAGGGGGACGAAGAGAAGGAGGAGGAAGCAACACTAAGGGCCAGTCCCAGCCCCAGCCCCAGCCCCAGCCCCAGCCCCAGCCCCAGCCCCTCTCCCACCCCCGAGGACGCCATCACTTATGTATGTGAGTAGCCTACCGCGGGGGTCCTTTTATTGGCTCACTGCCCAGCCCGGAGCCCCCATGCCCCAAGACTTCCCGTCCCTGACCTGTCTCCCAGGAGCTTAGGCCGCTGGGCCCTTTCTTCCTCAAGTTTCGGGTCCCCCTCTATTGTGCCCCCCCTAGAGCCCCAGATCCCCTCAGCTCTCTGAAGTGCTTGCCCTGTCTGTCTGTCCGTCGCCCGCAGTGGGCCGTCTTGCCAGCCTAGACACAGGCCTGCACCAGTTGCACGTCCGTTTGCACGTTTTGGATACCCGCGTGGTTCAGCTAACCCAGGGGCTGCGGCAGCTACAGGATACGGTACGCAACACCCGCGACACCGTGGAAATCCTACAGCAGGCGCAGGGCCGCGCTGAGCGTCTGCACGGCCGCCTGGAGGGTGAGTGCGCGCCGCCGGAACACGTGGGGAACTAGGGAGAAATGGAGACCCTGGGCGAGAGGGTCAGGAAGGAGAAAACGGCGGGGTGTAGCAGGCCGGGCGGGTAGAGTAGGATGGGCTGCGGTAAGACTCTCCTCCCCGCTACAGCCACGCTGAACCGACTCGGCCGGCGCCACGCCCCCGTGGCCCCGCTCCATAGTCTGGGCCCGCCCCGACGCCTCTGACCCCGCCCTATCGCGGGCGGCTTTTCGGACCCAGCCGCCTTCCCGCCCTCCCGCGGAAAGTGTGGCCACGCCACTACCCGCCCCCGACCGATCTGACCCCGCCCATTCTCCCATCTCCCCTCTCCCGCAGGCTGCCTGAAGGGGCTGCGCCTGGGCCACAAGTGCTTCCTGCTCTCGCGCGACTTCGAGGCACAGGCGGCTGCGCAGGCGCGGTGCGCGGCGCGGGGCGGGAGCCTGGCGCAGCCGGCAGATCGCCAGCAGATGGAAGCGCTCACGCGCTACCTACGCGCGGCGCTCGCTCCCTACAACTGGCCAGTATGGCTGGGCGTGCACGACCGGCGCGCGGAAGGGCTCTACCTCTTCGAGAACGGCCAGCGCGTATCCTTTTTTGCCTGGCACCGCGCGCCGAGCCCCGAGCCGGGCGCCCACCCCAGTTCTGCGCCGCACCCGCTCAGCCCCAACCAGCCCAACGGTGGCGTGCTGGAGAACTGCGTGGCTCAGGCCTCAGACGACGGCTCCTGGTGGGACCACGACTGCGAGCGGCGCCTCTACTACGTCTGCGAGTTCCCTTTCTAGCGGGAGCGGGGTGTCTGCCTGCTGCGTGCACTGCACCTCCAATTGCGCTCATCCCCTCAGGCCCGCCGCGGAAGTGCACCCCACCTTCGGCTTGGCTGGGCGCTCCCGGGAGGGCTCTGGCGGGACCAGGACCCTTTGCGTTCTCCTGCCTTTCCTGGAAGTGCCAGCAGTAGCTAGGACAGGAGCCAATAAAGCCTTGTGGAATCTGACTTGAGGGGCAGTGGGGGCACTTGCAGCCTTCATCTGGGCTGGGGGTGGAGAGGGGCGCGGGAAGGCCAGACCCTGACCAATGAGTACCTGGTCTGTCTTGCTTTTTACGGTTAATATTTGAGCCCAGAGGATTAGAATGATGGAGGACACATGCATGGACTGTTAAGGTGCCAAGGTCTCCACCCGGTCTCTTGCTGCCTCTGTTAACCAGGTCCTGTCACTGCAGTGCACTGGCAGGTATTTCAGGGAGGAGCGCATGTAATTTTGCTTCATATTAGTGTGCCACAAACTTGGCTTCCCATGTAGGACTATCCCAGCAGGCTCTGCTGGGAGAGGAGACACACTATGCATTTCTCCATATTTTTTTCTCGTCTCCAAACCCACGGGGGCAAGTAGACTCAAATGAAAGGCTTTCCTAGACAGAAAGCTAAGGCTCAGAATGTTTCTTCTTCTACTTTCTGCCCATGAAATCGTGAGTCTGTTCTTTTTCCCTTTACGGAGCCTGTTTCCTCATGAACACGTGCACAGTCCCCCTTACTTTGTGCAGCTCTCAGGATGTGCAAGTGAAGCCAGGAAAACGAACATTGGAGAAGCGGTTGAACGGAAGCTCTCCCTGCTCACCAGTTTTCATGCTTGTGTCCTTAGGGGCAGGGAGAATACCCAGAGGTTACTGACCTAAGCCTCAGCATTTCAGAAAAGACAGTTGATGTGATCGTGGAGCTCACCAATGGGGAGGTGACCCTGATTGTTCTAATGTCTCTGCCCCTGTCCCTCACTGAGCCATAGAACAAGCCACCCCTGTCATCTCCAGGACTGACTGTTTGTTACTGACACAGTCATTTCTCAGCCTTATAGTCACAAGGGTGCAAAACGGGAGGGGAGGAGTGGCCTGGATCAGGAGGCTTCCATCCAGGACACTGAGACATCAGGCCGACACTGATAAGTCCCACCGTGCCTATCACAATCGAAGTCCTCATGAAGCATCCATTCTGGAATGTGTCAATGAAGCTGCACAGTGGTCTTTGCTGCATGCTGGAGCCCGATGGCCCGATGGTTCTAATCCTACCTCAAGCACAAGCCTACTGGACAGACTTGAGTGGGCTTAACCTTGCTGGGCCCTAAATGCCCAGTTCTGTACAATGGGGGTAATAATATCCTCCTCCTAAAATGGTAGAGAAGGCCCGGCCTGGTGCACACACCAGTAATCCCAGCATCTAGGAGGCTGAGGCAGGAATACTGCCATGAGTTCCAGATCAAGGCCAGCTTAGAATGTATAATGAGACCCTGTTTCAAACCTCCCAACCCCAATGATAAAGGACTTTGCAATACCCAGATCTGACCCTCACTGGACCACCTGACCTTCACCCGTTACTGTCCTCTCCAGGCATATGCAGGGAGCCTTCCCCTGTCCTCTGTTTTCTGGAGGGTGAGCACCAGTTTGAAGGCCTGCCCTTTCCCTCACCGTGACGGGTTGAGGGTAGTTTCTTGTATCCCTTGTCTTCTGACCCAGCCCTGGTCATCCAGGCTGGGCATGCTTGGGGACTGGGTAGATGGGCAGGGGCTGGGTATGACCAGCTGTCCCCAGCACCACTTGTCACATGGGGCCCACTGAGTGAAGATTCCTGTGTGAGACCATGTTGGGGAGTCTGAGGTGAGGCTGCTCCTTTGCTCCCTGGCCTCTCCCAGCTAGGCCAGGTCTATAGCTCCTCAAGGCCCCCACAGGGCCTCCTGGATAAGGCAAGCTCTGTGTACCAGCTCAGGTATAGAGCTGTGGGCTAGAAAAATTACCCTCAGTGGGGAGTGGAGACAGCCTGAAAGGATGTTTATGCATCAGAGCTGTGTGTGTATTACACAGCATTTGTGGTTGGTTCCTGAGTCAAACCAACAAGTGGGAATCCTGGCCCTTCCACCAGGAAGCCCTTCCAGGTTTCCCTCCCTGTCCCTCTAAAGAGCACCTGTGAGGCTAGAGCCATGCACTAGAGGAGGCCACAGTGGCTGGTTGTGATTGATGACTTACTTAAGGAATAATAATGCAAGCAGAGTAGTGCAATCCTACTTTAATAATGCAAGGCTTCATTACCTATACAGAGTCTAAAGAAGCAGCAGAGTCCACAAGGTCTCATGGGACTACAAATCCCAGGGGATCTAGTGCAGCCCCTCATTTCCCAGGAGTCATTGGGCATCTCTGGTCCTTTCCCAAACTCCCTACGCCCATCCTAGGCTCACCTACGTTTCCCAGCAAGCCTGAGGACCGCTCTTGGCAATGAGGTCAGACCTCTCAGTGTCCAATCAGAGCTCAGACTCCTCACCGCCCACTGGTGTATTCCGAGGTACTTTGGGAAGTGTAGTTCAGAGCCTTGTCCACGCTTAGAAAAACCCTAAGCCTCGGAGTGTAAGGTTATCTTACTATCTCAGTGAGGTCTTTTCAAGAATAAATTTTCAGAGCACAAATGATTCCCATGGGCAAATCATAACCATTTTAAAAAGTGAAGTCAATGAAATGTCAGTATTCATAGGGGATGCCACTGAACATTTCTCAAAATGTGGATGACTATGTACTAAATTGCAATGTAAAATATAACAAATGTTTATCATTTGGGGCCGGGGATTTATCTCAGCGGCATAAGCACCTTCCTGGAAAGCATGAGGTCATGAGTTCGATACCTGGTACCAAAAAAAGTTCTTGCCTGGAAATGTTTGTTAGACACAGGTCTACACCAATTTAGTTTCTTAAAGAACAACAACCAAGAAAACCTCCATTTATTTAGAAATAATTTCAAATGTACAGATAATGTGCTTAATGACAGAAAAACACAAATACCTTTTTTCCTTGGTTTTTTGAGACAAGGTCTCTCTGTGTAGTTCAGGCCGGCCTTAAACTCATATATCCCAGGCTGGCCTTGAACTCATGGCAGTCCTCCTGCCTCAGCCTCCTGAGTGCTAGGATTATAGGTGTGCACCATGCCTCGCCACAAATACTCTTTATTCAGATTTTATTAGTAATTGTCTCCACTGCTTTCATTCTGTCATTATCTGTCCTTTCCACTCACCCTAGTCTTCAGGGACAAAGTCAGATTTGTTGCTGCATGGCAACAAGGGTAGACCCTATACCCCAGTATAGGGTTTAGAGGAAGAGAAGAATTTGAGCAAAGTAGAAATAATATGCTGATAGGTTCAGAGTGAAGCAGGGTTGAAGATGAGTGAGCCAGCATCAGGTCTGAGCTGCAAAGTGGCCCCGGGCCTTGTTGCACAGTTCCATGCAGTGCTGTTATCCACATGGCTCACTGTGACGAAACTGTTCCAGTCCCGGGTACCAGGTGCCCAGGGCCTCCTCCCTGAGCTACATTCTCAACTCTTTTTTTTTCTGTTTTGACCTAGGTTTTTACTAAATTGCCTAGACCAGACTGAGACCTGATTGTCCTGCCTCTGCCCCTGAAGAAGTGGGATCACATGGAGTCTGGCTCAGAAATGCGTCATCTGAGACTCTGAATCATGGGTGGAGACAGGAGCTCTTTGTCTGTAGTCTTCCTGGCAGGAAACAGTAACCCTGCTGTTTCATGATGCTCCATTCTTATGGAAACACCCCGTCCTCTTTCCCTGGGGATTGGACCCTGGGCTTTGACCCTGACCCTCTTATAATATTTTCTTTTTAATTTTGAGATGGGATCTGGCTAAGTTGCTGAATTGCTCAGGCAGCTCTATCCTCCTGCCTCAGCCTTAGGAAGATACTTTCAAACAGCAACAGTGTTGTAGTCTGTAATTTAGAAAACCAAGCGTCTCTCCTGGGAGGAAGCAGGAGTCCCCCAGAGAGGCTGGGAGGGTGGTTCACAACTGCAGCCCATCCCTGGGTGAAATGTTTCTGTTCTCTTGGCAGCTGGCTTTACCCATACAGGTAGAGGAACAGCAGGGCAGGTTTTACAGTCCCAGCTAGCTTGAGTGCGCGCGCGCGCGCGCGCGCACACACACACACACACACACACACACACACACACACACACACACACAGGGCTTTTGAAGCCTTTAAAGGTGAATCATACACATTAGAGCCCTCTGCCCTTAAATTCCTTCATGTGTATTTCCAAAGATCGGAGATACTCTCTTACATAACAGCAGTAATCAGCCCCAGCAGATGCAGCATTTGTGCAAGCCTTTTATCTCATCTGCTGGCGGTCTTCCCCTTTGGTCAGCTGTCTCCACGACACCGACACTGGTCGTTCCCCCTGCTGCTCACGATGGTACTGAATTTAGCTGTTGTGTCTCTTTAGCCTCCTTTAATCTGGAACATTTCTGTATTTGTGAGAGTGACATTTTGGAAGGGCATCCTTTCTCCTCTTAAAAAAAAACTAGAAGTTTCTGCTGGGTATGATGGTGCATGACTGTGATCCCAGCACTTTGGAGGCTGAGGCAGGAGGACTGCTGGGAGTTTAAGGCCAACCTGGGCTACACAGTAAGTTTAGGACCAGCCTAAACTGCACAAGGAGACTCTGTCTCCAAAAACCAAAACACAAAAGTTCCTCATTTGGAGTTGGTTTGATGTTTCCTTGGGATGATTCAGGTTATTCCCCACCAGGGGATGTGGAGTGAAATTGTCTCTGACCCCAGCCACTGGGACACAGCTGATGTTCAAAGGTTCCTTTGGATGCCGTTAGTGTTGATTACACCCAGCTGACCCTGTGTCCCACTCCTTCATGATTTAACTGCTATTTCCCCTCCTTAATAAGCCACCTTCGGGCAGACACTTTAAGACCAGGAAGGTACCTGGTTCCTCATCTCATGAGTTCCCCCTGGATTTCATATCCACCCATCTTTCTTTTTTTTTTTTTTGTCTTTTTCCTTTTTATCGGTACCGGGGATCGAACTCACGACTGCCTGCTTGCAAAGCAGGCACTTTTGCCGCTGAGCTAAATCCCCAGCCCCCACCGATCTTTCTTGCAGGGTTATGTGCAGATGCTAACCCAAGCCGATTCCAGTCCAGAAAAAGGGCCATCGACCACAAACGAGGGTTGTAGGTTTGTGAGCTTAGACGCAAAAAATCCTAAATCAGCAACCTATTCAATTTTCTGTTGAATCCTGATCCGGTAGGACTGGTGTCACCACGATCAAGTAGGATTTGTACCATAAATGCAAAGCTGGATCAAAATGTTTAAAAAAATCTTCCAATGTAATTGACAGTGTCAATAGAGCAAGAAGAAAATATGATTGTAATTGATTTGGATGAGTAACTTTGCATCTATTATTACAAATTAAGACACTTAGCAAATTAAGGGACAAAAAAAGGACAAAAAAAACAGTGGATACTCCAGACAGTTTAGCAGCCTTCCCTGACTCAAATGTCTTCATCACACTTACTACTTTACATAGAACTATATGCAAGCCCTGAATAAAGTTTTATTTAAATAGAAAAAGGAAAAAGAGATGGATGGGAATAGAGAACATGATATATACATAGTAAAGTCAGTAAATCAACAAACTATCAGGACAAATAGAGATATCCACAGAGCTTCCTGATGCAAGATTAATTGATGAAATCAATTGCATTTCATTACGCCCACAGTAAACAAGCATAATAAAGATATGATACAAAAATACCACCCACAATCCCACTGCGAGCTAGAAATCGTCTGGAAATCGGCGAAGAAGTGAACATAAGTTTCTGTGGAGTCGATTTCATGTCTAATAATGGCCACTGAGTTCAGGATCACTGAATGAAAGCAGGCATTCTCTTACCAGGCACGGTGGCACACGCTTATAACTGCAGCATTCACGAGGCTGAGGCAGGAGGATTGCAACAAGTTCAAGGCCAACCTGGGTGACATAGAAAGTTTAAAGCCAGCATGGAATACATAGCAAGACCCTGTTTCAAAATACCGAAAACCACAAACATGTTTTCTGCTATTGGTTGGGAGTGTTATCCATTACAGGAACACGAATCCTTCACAAATAATCATATTTTAAATAAACTGGCCATTAAATTTGAACTTGGCAGTTTTATTGAGATCCACACAAACGATGCCTCACGCATTTAGAATGCACGATGAAAAGGTTCTCAGTACCCTCGCGGCCTTGCCCTTCCACCCCCGCAGTCAGTTTTAGAGCGTTTCATCACCTGGGAAAGAAACCTTGTGCCTCAGAGGAATCATAGCCACAGTCCTCTGGCTTTTGCCATTCTTCTTATGTTTAAAAATACTGAACTATAAAGGGGCACAGGGAATTTGGAGCAGTAACCTGCTTTGTGTTTCATCTGGGACAATGTCGCAGGGTGTACGTGTTTCCTGAGAACTCAGAGCCGGCCCTAGAAGGGACAACTTGTAGCCAGGCATGGTGCCTGGAATCCCAGCACTCTGGGAGGCCGAGGCAGGAGAGTCACAGGTTTGAGCCCAGCCTGCGCAGCTTAGCAACTTTGCAAGATCTTGTCTCAGACTGAAAAAGGAGCCAGGCATGCTGGTGCACACCCTTTATCTTGGCACCTGGAAGCCGAGGCACCAGGATCGCCAAGAGTTCGAGGCCAGCCTGAGTTACATAGTGAGTTTGAGGCCAGTAGAAGTACACAGAGAGACCCTGTCTAAAAAACTTTTAAAAAAGGCTTGAAGATGTAGCAAGTATGAAAGCCCTGAGTTCAATCATTTGAACCAAAAAAGGAAGAGAAACTGGGATAATGTGCAAACTATGCCTTAGTTTTAAAAGTGAAATTGCTCTCATTTTTCCTTATAGTAAGGATACAGATTTGACAACCGTAAAATGAATAGGTTGCCTATAAAGACAACTCATACTAAAACTATAAATCAAGAAATAGACTTGGAAAAAATTTGTATTCCCAGTGACAGAAGCAATGTTAACAATTTCATCTGACAGACACAGAAAACAGAGGATTCAAGAAATAAAAGTCGGGCTGGGGTTAGAAAGATGTCTCTGTAACAGACAGGTATGGCAGTGCATGGCTGTAATCCCAGCACTTGGGAGGCTGAGGCAGAAGGATCTCCATGAGCTCAAGGCTAATCTAGACTACACAGTGAGTCCTTGTCTCAAAAGAATATAAAAACAGATAAAAAAAAAAAAAACCCCGTAATTGGCCTCAGTTTTCCCCCTTCTAATATCTCAAACTGGGGATTAAGTTTAAGCCTTTGAAGCTTTGGGAGAGACACTCAAACCAAATGATAGCAGATACTGAAATACAATAGAAATCACAGGATAACTGGAATTTGCTTCAAAATTAGCATGGTGGTGCACACCTGTAATCCCAGGACCTTGGGAGGCTGAGACAAGAAGATTAAAAGTTCAAATCTAGCCTGGGAAGTTAGCAATTTAGCAAGAAAAATAAGAGCCAGGCACGGTATATATATAATCCTAGCGCTTCGGGGGCTGATGCAGGAGGATCACTTTGAATTCAAGGCCAGCCTGGGCTACGTAACGAGACCCTACCTCAACCAAACCAAACCAAACCAACTCCTGAAAAGGAAAATCAGCCCCTTAGATGGGGTGGGTGCAGAGAACCCGAGGGTGGCCAGCCCAGCGGTACAGCGAGGGTCCTTACACGAGGTCACTGCTTCTGCCTGAGTCTGATGTTTTCCTAACATGGCTTCTTTCAGACAGAGAGCAGGACTTCCCCTTGGGAACGCTTCATTCTCACTTTCCAGGCGGAGCATCCCTAATTCAAAAGCCACAGTCTGAAATGTCACAAGCATTCAAAGCTCCCCGAGTTCCCCCATAGGCTGTCAGGAGTGGAATATCCCTTACATGACCACAGGGAATGACCCAAGTCAAGACCCAGGTGAAGTGCAGATAGTGTATAAAGTCACCTCTGGCTATGTGCGGCAAGTATTCCAAAATCTAAAAGAAAAAAAAAATCCCCAATCGGAAATTCTTCTGGTCCCAGACATTGCGAACAAAGGGTTTTCAACTGATCCATGATACGACCGAAACATATGGGGAACAGTTACATTTTAAAAAGATTTATTAGAAGCTGGGTGTGGTGGTGAACTCCTGTAATCCTCTTGGGAGGCTGAAGCAGGAGGGTCATTGCAATTTGGAGACCACTGTGGGCTACAAAGTGGGCCAAAAGCCAGCCTGAACTGCAGAGGGAGACCCTGTCTCAAAAACACAGAAGAAGAGGAAAGAGAAGGAGAAGGAGGAGGAGGAGAAACAGGAGGAGAATAAGAAGAGGAAGAAGAAGGAGGAGAAGGATTTATGAGAGCAAAACATTACCATTAATGCCCCTCATAACGCCCACCCTGGCTTTCACTCTCATCCTGCCTCTGAAGCGGCTCTGGAAGTTCTCTTTCCTGTCTTTTTGTGGCCACCTCGATGTCCTGAGTTTATTCGCGATGCTGATCGAAGTCAAAGAGTGGCCCTGTGCTCACCTGCCTGGTTCCTGGGCTCTGGCGCTGTGTGGCCTCCGTTTCTCCCCCGAAGTTAAAGTGACTGCGAAAGGTAAATGTCTCCAATCAGTGCAGAGCACTGAGGGGCCGCGACAGTGCAGGTTAAAGACACTCACAAAAGAGGACACAGAGCTGCTACAGACACTGGGAAGGATGAGGGCGAGTGTGCCCTAAGGGAGGGCATTTTGAGGCATGTTCGTGGCAGTGTGTCTGTAATGAAATTTTAAAAATGTAAACATTCACTGTATTTTTTAACATCTTGCATTTATTTCCCTTTGCATCTTGTTCTGCTTTGTTTTGTTTTGTTTGAGACAGAGTTTCCACATGTAGCCCAGGCTGGTCTCAAAGTCATGAGGATCCTCCTGCCTCAGCCTCCCCAAAGCTGGTGTTATAGTCATGTACCACCATGCCTAGTTGGGTCTTGTAAATGCTACATCTTCAAGAACTCTTTCAGGAAAGAGTTAAAGTCACCATATCACAGGGATTCATGCATGCCCATGTTTATAGCAGCATAATTCACAGTTAAAGAAATGGATTAAAAAATGTATTTACACCCTATGGAGTACTATTCTGCCATAAAGAAGGAAAAGCTTGAGTTGTTTGTAGGAAAAAGGATGTACCTTGAGATTCTAATGTTAAGTGAAATAAATCAGGCACACATGTTTAAATAGCACATTTCTCTTACGTTAAAAAAAAAAACACGCTAAGTACCAATAAGAGCGAAAGAAAAGCTAGGTAGCAGAAAGGAGGGAGGTGGCTCTTTTTGAAACACAGATGGCATCAGAGAGGGAAGATCAGGGCAGGAGATGAACAGGAGTGGGGCCGCACACCCACTCCCTGGAAGGGATGGAGTCACCGTGCTCTGGGGACACAGATGCACTGGAGAAAAGCGACCCTTCCAGGAAGTAAGTAAGCCAGGCCCCGCAATGCAGAAGTGCAGCACCCCACAGAGCTGGTGCCCGGCCCCGCACACCCAGGCAGAGCCGTGTGTGCAGCCGGCGGCGCTGTCCTAACTACCCGGCGTGCGGTCCTGCAGCGGCTGCCTCCGGCTGCCCAGCTCCGACTGCCGGGCTATCAGAACCGCATCTCGGCCACTTCCAGGCTGCAATACTAATCTGCGGCCCTTGCTTAAGCCTCTGTCCTGGGCCCTTATCCGTCTCCACACTCACAAGCTGCTTCCTGCTCTGCTGGCCGCTTCCTGTCTGGGCTGCAGCTGGTGACTGCCAGCGGGGACAGACATCAGAAGCAGACTGCACCTTGCCAACTCTGCCCTTGGGGGCAGCGCGCGGCGGGTCCGGATCCATCCCCCCCCCCGTTCTTTTATTGAACACCTACTGTGTGCTACTTGCTGGTGGATAAGCTGCGTACTGACCTCACCTCTGTGGAACCGAGAGACTAGTGGGGCAGAAGGAGGTGAGTCATACAACCCGACAGCAGCGCCCTGTCCCCTCTGCCCTGCTGCAAGTTCAGCTGTACTTGCTGTGGACAGTGAAAGCTATGGGGGAGAAAGTGCATCTGGCACTGATGTGTCCAGAAGAAGGAGCTTTAATAACAAAAGGCAGAGGGAAAGAAGGGTGTTCAGGGCATCAGGGGCAGCAGGTGCAAAGGCCCTGTGGTCAGAGGGATTGAGACAGGGGGGTCAGACTAGGCTGTGCCCAGGGTGAAGAGGGCCAAGAGGGCTCTGGAGAGGATGGAGGGGCCTCGCAGTTGTTTTTCTCTTGAGAGCAATGAGAATGCATGAAATAGCTTTCTGCTGTGAACTCTGCAGAAGGTGGGTGACTTGTGGGTCAGGCACAGAAGCTGGGGTTCTGGGTCCTGAGATGCAAGGATGGTGCGGTAGGAGGCCAAGGACAGATGCTGGGGATTTCTTGGGGCTACTCCATGATGAACTGCATATGGAAAGCAGAGAAGACAGCGATGTTCCCGGGCCCTGTACACCCATCTCCGTGAGTTCTCAGAGGTTCAGAGAGGGAAAGCTCTTGGCCTGGGATCATACAGCATCTGGGGCTGGACTCAGATTCAACCTGCACCTGCCTGATGTCTGCACCTGTGCTCTTTGGGCAATGCCAGCACCGGGCTCTGGTCTACCTGCTCGCCTGGGATGTCCTCAGGCTCCAGGCACCGGTGGCGTCCACATTCCCACCCTCCCCATGTAACCACTCTGGGTTCCCCAGGCCCACAGCACTACAAGCTCGCAGCGTCGGGCTGGTCCTGTTGCCTGTGCTGTCCTCCTTGTCGCAGTGGATTGTGACACCAATGTCTACCTGCCTGGGAGTATTGCGGCCTCCCCTGCCCCTCCCCAGTCACCTCACACGCCTGCTCAGCATCACCCATCGCCTGGTCCTAGCCTGTCACTCGCCTGGATCTGGACAGCAGCTTCCTCTCTGCTTCCATCCTGGCTCCTCTCCATCTAGGTCGTGGCACTTGTTAAAACTTAAGTCATGAACTATCCTCCTTTGCTCCAGAACTGCTGTGACTCCCAGATGATCTCCCCTCCTCCCTCTTTGCACTGACCTCCCACCTCCTCCCTGTTGCTCACTCTGGCCTCCTCGATGTTCCTTGAATATACCAGGCACAGGCCTACCTCAGGGTCTTTGCATAAGATCCTACTTCTGCCCACCATGCCCTTTCTGCAAATATTTATACAACTCACTTATTCACTGCCTGTATTTCTTTCTTTCTTTTTTTCTTTCTTTTGGGGGGTTTGTTTTTTTGACACATGGTCTCAGTCTGTATTTCAGCCAGGCCTTGAACTTACTTTGTAGTCCAGGCTGGCCTCAACCTCATGCTGACTATCCTGTCTCAGCCTCCCAAGTGCTAGGATTACAGACATTCATCACCACCCCCAGATCCTCACTGCCTTTAAATCTTTGGCATTCTTAACATGGTCTCGCTGACCATCTGTCATAGTAATTGCACATATGGGAGGGGGACCCAGTGACATGCAAGTTCACAATGCGTAATGATCATATCTGGGTAATTGGCATAACTGTTACCTCAAACATTTCTATTTCTCTGGGATGGAAACTTCCAAAAACCTCTTGATGGATTGGTTTGAAGTAATGTGCAATTAACTGCGGGCAGCCAGAGATTCCTACTGTGCTATAGAACATTACAGATTATCCTTCCTCCCCACCCGTATGCATCCATTACCCCTCTCTGTCCTCTGTAGCCAGCCTGGGCTCTGCTAACCTTTTCTGTACTCTCTACTTCTATCCCTCCACTTTCTACCTTTCACATATCAGCAAGAGATGTGTCTTTCTGCGCCTGGTGTATTTCACTTAATTTAATGCCCCTCAGCTCTGTCCATGTTGCTACGAATGACAGAAACTCATGCTTTTCTGTGACTGATAATAGTCCCTTGTGTAGATACACAATGTTGTCCTGAGCCGTTTATCTGTTGATGAACCCTGTGCTGACTTTGTATCAGCAGTGAGCAGACAGTACAGATGTCTCAGTTGGCTTCATTTCCTTTGGACACAGACACAGGAGCAGGGTTGTAGGATCACGCAGAAGTCCCAGCTCTCACCTTCTGAGGAGCCCCTGTGTTTTGCTCCTATGGGTTCTCACCCACACTGGGTGAAAGTTCCTTTTCTCTGAATCTGCACCTGTGTTTGTTTTTATGTTTTTTTTTTTTTTTTTTTTTTTTTTTTTGTCTTTTTCGTTTTTATCGGTACCAAGGATTGAGCTCACGACCACACACTTGCAAGGCAGGCGCTTATGCCGCTGAGCTAAATCTGCAGCCCCTGTTTTTATGTTTTTGATAGTGATCATTTTCATTGGGATGAAAGATGTCTCATTGTGGTTTTAATCTGCATTTCCTTGATGATTAGTGACCAGGCCTTTTCACGTACTTGTTGGCCATTTGTAAAGCTTCTTTTGAAAAATGTCTATTTGAACACATTTTTTTTGGACACAAAGAGTCTCTGTACCGGTAGCCCAGCCTGGCCTTGAATTCACAGGGATCCTCCTGCCTCAGCTTCCCAAGTGCTGGATTGTGAGCATGCACCACCATGCCCAGCTATATACATTTTTTAAAAGCATTGGTTTTTTGTTTTGTTTTGTTTTGTTTTTTGTACCAGGGATCAGACTCACAACCTCGCACTTGCCAGGCACTTGTGCTGCAGAGCTGAATTCCCAGCCTGAAAAGCATACTGCGAGAGTATTTTTGCTGAGTTGACTCCCTTTTGTGTTCTGCATGTAACTCCCTTGTCAGTTAGCAGCCGACCTGTACTCTTTCCCATTCTGAAACTTCTCTCCTCACTTTGTTGGTTGTTTTATTTGCTGAGCAGAAACCTTTTAGTTTGATGTTATCTTATGGATCAATTTTTGGTTTTGCCACCTGTGCTTTCGGGGTCAAATCCAGAAATCTTTGTCCATCACAATCTCCTGAAAGCTCTTCCCCATGAGGCCCCTCTGTGCCCATTCCCCACATCCCTGATTCCCCATTTACGCATTAAAAAAATAGGACCTTTATTTGTCCCTAAAATCTGTATCATTGTTAGCATCATTTCATTTCTGCCTCTGGGGCTTCTGTAAACACTTCTGATGGTTTTCTGGGCGTGGTGGTGTGCTCTGGTAATTTCGGCACTCAGGAGGCTGAGGGAGGACAATCACCACAAGTTCGAGGCCAGCCTGGGCTACAAAGTGAGCTCAAGGCCAGCCTGAACTGCATAGTGAGACCCTGTCTCAAGAAAACCAAAACCAAAACACAAGCAAAACAAAATGTCATTTCTTGTGATCACCAGGTCATAAATGAGCTCAGGTTTGATTTATCTGAAAATGCAATTCTCTCATCTTCATTTCATTCAAGGGTATTTTTGCAGGTTATCAAATTCCACAATAGGCTGGGGATTTAGCTCAGTGGCATAAGAGCCTGTCTGGCAAGTGTGAGGTCATGAGTTCGATTCTCAGCACCAAAAAAAAAAAAAAAAAAAATTCCACACTGACTTTTGTTCTTCTTTTAGAAGCTTAGAAATACACTTCCTGGCCTCCTCTCCTCTGTGATGTCAGCCGATTTGCACTTTGCTATTGTCCCGTGTCTAGTGGGTCATCTTCCCAGAGTGGCCTTGTCTTTGGGTTTCAGCAGTTTTACTGTGATGTGATTTGTGAGTGATTTTCTTCTACTTGTCTTGCTGGGAGTTTATTGAAATTCTTGAATCTGTAAGTTGATATCTTGCACTAAATTTAGTACATTTGGGGTTATTTATTTATTTTTTATCGGTACCAGGGATTGAACTCAGGACCGTGCGCTTGCAAGGCAGCTGCCTATACCGCTGAGCTAAATCCCCAGCCCTCTTTTTTTTTTTTTCTTGAGACAGAGTCTCGCCATGTAGCTCAGCCTGGCCTAGAAGTCACAGCAATCCTGCTGCCTCAGCCTCCTGAGTATTATAAGTGTAATCATCTACCTTCAGTGTCAGCATCTACCTTCCGGTCCTCATCTCTGTGGACCGTTGCATCCTCGTCTTCTGCCCTGTGTGGGCCCGGAACCACCACACCGTGAGGCGCGCAAGCTGGCTGGCTTTGGCTGTGTGGCTGGTGGCGGCGGCCGCCTGCTTCCCCTACCTGCAGTTCCGGGACATTGTGCCCGCCACTACATCCTGCTGCAACTATTTTTCTGTCTCATTTTCTTTTTTTCCTGCTGAAGTTCCAACCACTGTAGGGTAGACTGACTTACATTGTTCTCACAGGTCTCTGAGGAGATAGTTACTGTCCTTTGTGTTTTTCTTTGTCCTTAAGATTGGATAATGTCCATTAATCTACGGTATCTTCATTGATTTCACTTCCAATCTGTGAAACTCATCCAACAAAATTTCAGTTGCATTTTTCGTCTCTGGAACTTCTAGTTATTTTTCTTTATAAAAACAACTTCTCTTTCCCACTAGGATGTTCAAACTGTTTATTCATTTTAGATACCTTTTCCTTTAAGTTTTTGAACATATTTTTATTAAACGTTTTAATGTCCTGTGTATTGCAGTAGCTACACAATCACTGGGTTAGTTTCTGTGGACTTTCTCTTGAATCTGACTTACTTTTATTTCTATTATTTCACATGCATAGTTGTTTTAGATCAGATACTGGACATCACACAGGGTATATTACGGTTGGAATAATTTTCTTTGAAACATAATTTTTGTTAATTAAATTGCCTTTTAAAAAAAAGAAGCAACTACATTGCCTGGACTCAAACTCCAAACTGTGTGCTCCTTGTGGTAGGAAACAGCTCACTTCTTTCAAATTCCAGCTGTTGCTTTACCACCAAGTCTCCTGGGCTCTTCCCTGAATAAACATCATTTATTTGGCCAAAGATCTGGACAGATCTCAGCTATGCAGCCATGGGAGTGCGCCTTGTCTATGGCTTCCTTGCACAATTCCCCCATCTCCTACTCTTTCTGGGCAACCTGCCAGCTCTTATCTCTGTTCTCTTGCACCCCAAGCCAGCTGTGGAGGTGGCTTTTGGTTGCTGTAGGACTTGCATTATGGCCATTTGCCAAAGATACTAAGGTCCCTGACCTCCTGGAGTCTCTCTCCGTTAAGTGTAGATTTGCTTCTAGTTTGCATTTGATTCTGATCACCCTCAGTATTTTCAAATCACAGATGGGTTTGGGATATTTTGTCTGGAGTCTATAATTTTTTTGTTGGTGGGACAAACTGGCCTCCTTTTTATGTCTTTCCATAGCATAGAAACTTCCAAGCCTGCACATCCCGGGTTTCCTAACTGACACGCTAACTGGGCTGTAGATTGCGTTAGGTTGATTGCTGGTCACAGATAGCACCAACAAGGTGTGATGGGATGATTCAGTGGGGGACGTGAAGAGTTGGAATCCTAGAGAGGACCACAGGTCTCAGTGAGAAGCAGCCTGGGGTTCTGACGTATGATCACCCCATTCCAGGACAATGAATGCTTCCGAATGCCTGCCCGAGCAGGTGTGGTATCTCTACCCGCTGACCATAGCCACCCTGTGTGTGTCCTGTGTCATTGGCGCGCTGGGCAACGCGATGGTGCTGTGGCTGACTTTCTTCCGGATGACCCGCACCGTCACCACCGTCTGGTTCATTAACCTGGCCCTGGCTGACTTCGTCGTGCTGGTGACCCTACCCATCACCATATACTACGTGGTGAGTGGCCAGTGGCCCCTGGAGAAGTGGACCTGCAAATTCTACATGGCCTTTCTGGCCCTCAACTTCTTCGTCAGCATCTACCTTCTGGTCCTCATCTCTGTGGACCGTTGCATCCTCGTCTTCTGCCCTGTGTGGGCCCGGAACCACCGCACCGTGAGGCGCGCAAGCTGGCTGGCTTTGGCTGTGTGGCTGGTGGCAGCGGCCGCCTGCTTCCCCTACCTGCAGTTCCGGGACATTGTGCCCGCCAAAGGATGCAACCACTGCTACTTCAATTTCAGCCTCGGGGGAGGTGGAGACCAGCGTGAGAAGTCCAGGGCTTTGCGGAGACAGAGGGAGGTGATCGTCTCTCACTTCCTGCTGGGTTTCCTGGTGCCATTGGCCATCATTGGGACCTGTGCCCACCTCATCCGAACCAGGCTTCGGCGGGACGGCTGGGCCCACACTAGCCAGCCGAAGAGAATGCTGGTGGTGCTGGTGACCGCTTTCTTTGTGTTCTGGTTTCCGTTTAACATAGCGCTGCTGGTCCAGCTGGAAAAACTGGTGGAACCGACCAACCCCTTCTTCCCTAAGCTGATGCTCATCCTCTGGGCTACCTTCTCCCTGGGATGCCTCAACAGCTGTCTTAACCCCTTCCTTTACGTCTTCATTGGCAGAGATTTCCGAGAGAGGTGTTTCCAGTCTTTGTCTTCTACTTTGACCAGGGCGTTTGGTGAAGAGGGTTTCATAGCTCATATTGTCCCCGAGGTGAAGCCCCCAGGGAAAAATGGGTCCCTTCAGGTGGATGCCACAAGTGTGACACTAGAAGCCCTGCCTCCTCTTCCAGGAGTTCTTCCTAGCAATTCCCCATCTAAAGCTCTGTAGTACAGGCATCCAGGTTTCCTCTACTGTCCATTGACCCTTCTTTTATAGGAGGACTTCTCTGTCTTAAACTGGTCATCTGTTTAACCAGAAAAAAGTAAGTAGAACTAATGAAAACAAGAGAAAGACTACATTTCCCAATATCCTTTGCAAGGGAGTACAACCATGTGACTACTTTCCAGCCAATCAGCTGTGAGTGGAAGTAGGTAAAGCAACTTCTTTGAAATGCCCTTAAATGAGAGGCCCGCCCTCCACTCTGCTATTTAACTAGATAGTGGATGTATCAGTTTGTTTTTGCTATGTAAGAAACATCACCAAAATTCATAAAATATAACCTTGTGTGATTTTTATAGATCAGCAATCTGGACTGGGATGAGTTTACCAGCCCAGCACTGCATGCTGCTGGTCAGAGCGAGTCACAAGTCCAGTCTTGACCCAGGTGAGAGGGACCCACTTGATGGGAAAGCCTGCAAAGTAACAATGCAAAGGGGCACTGGCACAGGACAGCACACAGAACTGGAGCCCTTGTGCAGTCTGCCGCAGCAACCACAGTGGCAAGCCACATCGGAAGTCACTGTGTCCCCAAGGAGTCACCTGCCAGTCCTTCAACGCTCTCACCTGGGTCGTGAGGCAGGCGGCGCAAAGGCTCACTTGTTGGAGCCACTATTAGTTTAGGTCTCTGTGGCAGCAGCTGAATCTGCCTCTGCCTTGACTAGGATGGCATCAGCCTCTGGCGTCCGCATGCAATGAGACAACAGCGTTCCTCTTGTGGAAGCCGGGCTGGAGTTGGGTATTCTATGACCTGCAGTCTGAAGCAGCTCTTAGCGATGCAAGCAGTGAATCCCCCTCTCACTAGAGGCAAAACCCCAACATCCAGGCCAGAAATGATTGCATTACTTGCTCCAGTCCATAAGAACAGGTTGGATTTGGGCTGAGAACCCCACCTGTCAGCACCTCCCTCCCCCTCCCCCATTTTGCAAGATGACATCCAATAAGCCAGGTGTGGTGGCGCACACCTGTAATCCCAGTACTCAGGAGGCTGAAGCAGGAGAGTTGCTGTGAGTTTGAGGCTAGCCTTGGCTAAATAGAGAGATTCTGCCTCCAAAGCAGGGAGGGGGGACGTCTATGTCCCCATGTCTGAGAGTGAGGAGAGGCTTAAATGTTGGCATCTGAGTGTTCTGAGGAATGGAGCTACTTTTAAAGAAATAAACTGGGGAAAGGGGTTTACTTACAAAACCTGAAAGTGGTGTAGATACATGGTAAAAAGATATTTCTTGCTTTCGTTCTTTTTTTTTTTTTTTCTGGTCTTTTTTGAGACAGGGTCTCACTGTGCAGTTCAGACTGGCCTTGAATTCACGTATGTAACAATCTGTGGTCTCAAACTCATGGGGATTCTCCTGCCTCAGCCTCCTGAGTGCTAGGATTACAGGCATGTGCCACACTCTTCCGGTCTTAATCCTCCCTGGAGACATCCATCACCTTTTTACACCTTTTGTCACCTTCTGGATCCCTTAGCCACGCAAGAGCACTTTAAACACACACACAGTACACCATGGACCCAATCCTAACACCTTGCATATTCTAGGAAGCAGGCATAGAAATGCATAATTGTTCTGAGCGGGCTTTCTCTGCAGGGGTGGCTGAGGGTCCCTTGGACCCATGCACTGGGTCCATCTCCTGTTGATGGGCAGTCAGGTGTTTTGTGAGTCTGCTGTAATAGCGTTTTTGAAAGCTTGAAAACTCTTCAATATGACACGCATTTCTGGACAAGAGAAGAATGGAATCGGGTGAACTCCTTGATTTACCATAGCATGGACGCCCATAGGATTTTGCCAGGCTAGGGAAGAAAACGACATGACCCCACCCCTGTCCCGATCGCCTCTGATCTGCACCAGGCACAAACTCGATTCCGAATGTTACTGTCTGTGTTGTTTGGCCTTTCGTTTTTCTGCCAAAGATTTCGTCTGAAACATTTCAAAACTGCAGTTAAAGTGACAACTGCAAAGCGAAAGAATAGCCTTTAAAGCACGCTCATCAAATGTTAGTATTTGCATCACCCCACAGGCGGGCCCCACTCTCCCTCCGTACACGCGTGGGACAGGCAGACACACCTCAGTCATTCCAGTTCTAGGCAGACCAACGTAGGGAGAGCGGCCCGGGGGACCCAGGGACAGACCGCAGCCACCGGGGCTGTTCCCACAGGGCTGTCCCCACAGGGCTGTGTCCAGAGGCAGCTTCGGAAAGTTTCCAACGTGAGCCTTTCCCCTGCAGAGCCATAGATCCTTATTTTCCTTAAGGACTTTAACATGGGAGGATCTAAGAAACAGGCCGTGTTGCAACTTCCTAACTGTCCCAGTTAAGAAATTTATTTCATTTTTTAAAAATTCAGGACATGCTGGGTGTGGTGGCCCAAGACTGCAGTAATCCCAGCATTCTGGGAGGCCGAGGCAGGAGGATTGCACATTCAAGCCCCGTCTGGGCAACCTAGTGACTTAGCAAGACTCAAAATAAAAAATAAATAATAAAAAGGGCCGGGACACAAACAAACAGAGGAACCTACGGTGATTTCCCCTCCCACCCCAAACGCCTCCGCATGACATCCTAAATAGTCTAGACCAATTCCCAAAAGTACAAGCTCTAGTCCCAGCCTTCGGGAGGCTGAGGCAGATCGCCCGCGTCGCCCGGCTGCCCCGGAGCGCCGCGCTGGGCTGGCCGGTGGTGCAGGAGGTGCACTGCGTCGCTGCAATGCAGCCGCCACCTCCGGCGCCCGCCTCCTCCCTGGGGTGGGCACTGCGGGGCTCGAGGCAGGCTCCAGGGGGCCAACAGGACCGTGAAGCCGGACGCTTTTATCTGTGCCTTCTCAGACAGCGAGGGGAAGGTTTTAATTCGCATCGACGTTCTAACGACTGCGGTCACATCCTCAACACGACTGCGGTTTCTGGAGCCACCGCGGGATTCTCTGGGGAGACAGCCGGGAAAGTGGGGCCGCGCACCGGGCGCAAGCTGGTGGCGCTGGAGTCTTCGGCGGGGCGGGGATTAAGGCCCCGCGCCGGGCAGACCTGGAGCTAACACCCCCAGGGGCGGGGCTACCATCTCAGGGGCGGGGCTACCATCTCAGGGGCGGAGCTACCATCATAGGACACAGAGCTGACATTACGAGTGAGGGCTAACACCTCGGGGGGCGGAGCTACCATCTCAGGGGCGGGGCTACCATCATAGGAGACGGAGCTGACATCACGAGTGAGGACTAACACCTCGGGGGCGGGGCTACCATCTCAGGGGCGGAGCTACCATTATAGGACACAGAGCTGACATTACGAGTGAGGGTTAACACCTCGGGGGGCGGAGCTACCATCTCAGGGGCGGGGCTACCATCATAGGAGACGGAGCTGACATCACGAGTGAGGGCTAACACCTCGGGGGCGGAGCTACATTACGGGAAGCGGAGCTAACATCTCAGGAGAGGGGCCGACATCCAGGGGCAGAGCTAATACCCCCAGGGGGCGGGCTAACATCAGGAGGGGGCTGACATTCCAGGGGGCGGAGCTAACATCTCTGGGAGAAGAGCCGAGGTCCTAGGTGTGGAGCTAACATGGGGGGCTGATAGTGCAGAGGTGTGGCTAATACCTCAAGGGGAGGGGTGACATTTTAGGGGAGAGACTAATAGGGTATTTAGAGGAATAGCTCTCTTTGGGGGCGGGGCAAGTGCCCCAGGGGCGGAGCTAGTCTTAGGGGCGTGGCTAACGCTTGGGGCGGGGTTAGGAAGGGCTAACACGCAGGGCTGGCGTTCCCGGCGGGCAGCCCTTGTCCACGCCTTGCGCCCGCGCCCACCTTCCAGACGGCCGGCGGCCCAGCGGGGCCGAGCTCCGAACGCGCCGTCGATCCGAAGGGCTCCGCTCCGCAGGAGGCGGCCGCCTTCCCCCAGAGGGAGGTAATTACGCTCTTAATCACTACCTCTGCTCTTCGCCGCGCGGGCAGGGGGCGGCGCCCCAGCCTGGCCGGGTTTGCGCTGTTCGCGGCGGCGGAGACAGTCTGTCAGCAGATGTCGGGAAATAGCTGTCAGGAGATCTCACTCATCCTCCCGGCCCGCAGGGCCCTCCCCGCACGCGGGTGGGGGGATCCGGTTCCCCTCCGCCCATAGGGTCCCCGCGCAGGCACGTCCCTCCAGCTGGGTCTGCTGCTGTCTTGAGGCCGTGTCTGCTGCTGATAGGAGCTTCGGAAGTGGGGGTGTGCGGTTAGGGTTAACAAACAAGCAAAAGTAAATAAAATTTACTTTTAAAAAATAAAGGTGCCCACATCCGGCCGGTGGAGCCTGGATCTGAAGGCGGCGAGGGTGAGCCGTGGGCTCCTGGAACAGTGCACTTCTGTGGGCAGTGCGCCTCTGTCCCAGGGGAGCAGGGGTTTTGCAACTGTCAGTTTGCTGGTTTTAGGCCGCCCCCCCCCCCCGCACCTGGCTCCAACAGTGAGCAGCCCAGGCAGACCTGGACTGAAGCCACCTGTGGTTCTGGCCACTATGCTGAGTGACACTGAGAACACTGACAGGAGTGGGTTCTGGGCTGATCAGGAGACACAGAGGGTTTGGGAAGGAGGAGGAGAAGCTGAAAGAGTGCCCCTTCCTGGAAAAGCAAAGCATCTTCGAGGAGGGGGCATGTGAGTGGGGAACTGATGCATGAATAGGAGTTTGCAGGTTGGAGCTGGGAATACAAGCATTAACTGATTTGTATGCAAGCATGTCCTGGGGCCTTGATTGTTCAAGGCTCATCAGTTCATTCATTATACTCTCACTCATTCCATGGATTTGAGTAGAACAGCAGTGTGTGCAAGAGTCACACAGAGAGTCAGCCACTCACTGCCTTGTGAGTGAGAACATATAGTCCTTGCCCCTGATGTTGCTTACATACGGACTCAGAGACCCTGTGTACAAGGAAGAGGATGCCTGACCCAGCCTAATGGGGTGACTGGTGAAGCTGTGCTTCCCAGAGCACTGCTTCCAGGGAAGGTGGCATTCAGTGGGGTTTTGAAGGATGAGTAGGAGTTTTCTGCCTGCCATAATGGGATAAAGCAAGGTGCACCCAGATGAGGAACCAGCAAGGACAATGGCTGTGTGTGCTATGTGTGTGGTGCACAGTTCCTTATTCTAGGAACTGCGGAGTGGGTAAAGGGAAGTGGTGGGCTAAGGGCTGGCCAGGTGAGCTGGCCAAGTGGGCTGGCAACAGAGGCAGGGCCACATTTGTGAGGGTCAGGGGCTTGGGTCTCATCCTGGGAGCCCATGGAGAAAGCCAGTTCTGCTCAGAGGGGTAAACTGAGGCAGCGTGGGTATGGATCGCCAGGCCTCTGGGTCTCTGCTGTGGCTTCCTTGGCCCACTCTGGGTCTGATCTCCCACCCAGTGGGGCCGGTGGGAGCAGCAAGCCAGGTGCACTGAGGCGGGGATGAGGGGCCGCAGAGGCCAGGTGGGGTGGGTGAGGGCGTCCTGGGTGCGAGTAGACAGGGCCGTCTCCTCATCATCCTGCCAGCCCCTGGGCAATGGCTTCTGCCACCTGCATCCCGCCTGGCCTCCCTGACCCATGTGCTGGGGCTGGCACATGGTGCCGATGCAGCCAGCCTGGGCCCTGGGCCACCACCCAGCTCTGACAGCCACTGCGGGGCCTCAGTGGCCCAGGCCTGAGGGCCACTGTGGACCAGGCCGGCCTGGGACCCTGCCTAGTGCCACAGCTGCTGGTCATAGACAGCACATCAGGCGCTGGGCACAGGACATCCCAGCTAGTGCTGGGACTCGGGGTCCCCCAGGGTGCTGAGCACTGTCCACTGTCTGGTGGGGACCCCTACCTGGGCACTGCTGCTCTGACCTGTGCTTGGCCTGCTGGGGACCATGGACTGCGTCACCTGCCGCTGGGGTGCTGGTGGTGGAGACAGTGCCCTCAGGCTCCAGCTGCAGCTGCCCCTGGGTGCAGCTCTGGGGAGGTGAAGAGGACACGGTGGGGCAGGGCCCTGGGGACGAGGCTGAGCCTCCTGGTGGAGGCTGAAAGGACCATCCTGGGGGACCACGGACAGTGGGGGCGTGGGGAGGCCACCTCCTCTCTGCAACTCCCCCCCCCAGGCTGGGTGGAGCTGGGATGCAGCCAGAGGCTATGGAGAAAGGCAGAGGAGACAGAGACTGGGGGGGGCAGAGAGAGGGGGCCGCGGTGGGAAGGGGCAGGGAGGGGCCTCAGGCAGGAGATGCAAGGTGGCATCACAGGGCATCACAGGCAGACAGAGGTCAAGGCTGGGAGAGGAGGTGAGACACGCACATGCGCACTCACGGGACAGGGAGCCGGACAGGCCGACCCTGTCCATTTGGGCAGAGGCTGGGGGGCCCTGGGTGCAGACATGTGGGGAGCAGATACAGACACAGTTCGGAACCTGGTGGGGAGATGAGGGGCCCGCCCCATCCCAGTGGAGACTTGGTCATGACACAGAGACCACCACAGAGAGGTGCCTCCCGTGCCTCCGCCTGCCGCTGGCCAAAAGCACCATTTGTGTTTTCTCCTGGGACAGTCGGCCCTTCACTGTTTTGGATAAGAAGCGTGACTCAGGCTCTGACTTACAGATGCCCCAGAGGGGCCGAAGCCTCCTGGCGCTGGGTCTGCAGGCTGCAAGGCTCTGGCCACGCCCTGCTCCGCCTGCAGAGGGCAGCTCTGTCCAAAGTTGAAAAACACATTATCAGCCTGAAATCCACCCAGCCTGTGCCGCGGCCCCTTAAACCCAGCCCAAGGGTCTTACGCAGCAGCAGCTGCTACCCAAGTTGCCCTGGGTTCCAGCAGTGCCCGTGTCAGACACTGTCCTTCCATGAGTGTGGTGAGTGGTGGCGCGTGCCTGCCATCCCAGCTCTTGGGAGGTTGAGGCAGGAGGATCACTATGAGTTCAAGGCCAGGCTGGACTCAAGCCATGAGGACCCCTCCCATGGGATTCAACTGAGCTAGGGAACCAGGACTGGGAAAGGAACCGATGGGGTCCTGGCCCTCCTCAGCCGCCACCACCTCAGTGGGCCTGAACCTTCACAAGCAGCCCTTGAAGCTGCTTAGACTTGGGTCCTTGAGCTTGTGGTGATCCTCCTGCTTCAGCCTCCTGAGTGCTGGGATGACAGCTGTGCCCTGCAGGACTGAGCTGGCTCCTGGTGCCCAGCTGGGACCAAGGAGTGGACAGTGCCATGCATGGAGGGGCTCTAGCCCCAGGGGTGCCACTGTGCCACCAGGTGCTCGGTGGGTGTCGCCCTGCCGTATCTTCTCAGCGTGAAAACCCTTTCCCGCCTGTCCTGGCTGGCCCTGGGAAGCTGCCTTGTTTTCCTTCCAGGTTATTTCTAAAGGTAAGCTTTTGCTTCGAGACCATATTGCCTCACACTTCTCTTCTGGAGGTACTGGGTGCTAAACTGCGGGCCTCAGTGCTGAGCTACAGCCTTCGCAGTCCTGTTGTTTGAATTTCAGAACAGAGCTAGATAAATTGCCCAGGCTGGGCTTCACCTCTCTGTCTTCCTGCCTCAGCCTCCCAGCGTGCTGGGATACCGGCCCGCCCAGGCCGAGCCTCCAATGCGGCCTCTTAGAGAGGGGGGAGCGCTGGGCTCCGCAGGCTGCGATCCGTCTTCATCTTCCTGGCCTCGGTCTCTTGAGGCCTGGCTGCAGATTAGCGTTGGCACCCGGATCGATGCCCGCCGCCGCGCTGCGGTCAGCGGTCCAGGCCCGCAGTTTCTCAAAAGCTCCCCAGGGTCCCCCGCCTCCCCCCCAGGCTGCGGAGCCCCATTCATATGTGAGCTAGGGCCACAGCTCCCAGGGGACCAGCCTGTGCGGGAGTGGTGGGTGGGTGGGTGGGGAGCCCCCAAGAATTGCCTTTATCTTTGTCTTTCACAGCGCACCCTTCCCCCTAGCCCCGGCCTGAGGAAGGGGATGGGGGTGGGGGGATATTAAGGGGAGGGACTTAGGGGAAGGCCCTGAAAGAGGCGACATCCCAGGCTGGGGCAAGGTCAGGGTGAAGGTTTAGGGATGTGGATGCTTTGACAATGAGGGGCCACGGGAAGCAGGTAGGGTTAAAAAACAACAACAACAACAAACCAGACTTCTTTGCCTGGAAATCCCAGCATTCTGGGAGGCCGAGGCAGGAGGATCACAAGTTTGAGCCTAACCTGGACAATTTAGTGATTTGGCTAGACTTTGTCTCAAAATTTAAAAAAAAAAAAGGGGGCAGGGGCTGTAGCTCAGTGAGAAGGGCCTGAGTTTAGTCCTCTGTACGGCAGAGTAAAAAACCAAAAACAGCCAGGTGTGGTGGTGCACCTTGTAATCCCACCACTCAGGAGGCTAAGGCAGGAGGATCGAAGCCGGCCTGGGCTCCACAGTGAGTCCAGGCCCAGCCTGGGCTACAGAGCAAGACCCTGTCTCAAAACACCAAAAGCAGTCAAGGTCCAGAGCCTCCACTGCCAGGCCAGGTAGGGCTGGGGCCTCTGGCCTGGCACCCAGGGCTCCTTGCCCGGGGGGGGGGGGCGGGGATCGCGGCTTGTATGGAGGGGAAAGGGCCCTCTGAGGCTCGCGGGAGGGATAACAAGCGGGGGACGTCCAGGTCCCCAGGTCACACTGCTGAGGTTTCCCGAGCGCGACCCCAGCGCAGAGGACACGCGGCGGAGAAACAGTACGACACCGCCCTCGTGTGTCGAATTCTGGTTTTGCACCAAAGCTTCATCTAATCTGGACTTCTTGAGAATTAAACAGGGCGCTGTTAAGTTATTGGCAGGAAGTGTTTGTAATCCAAAACATCATTCACCTAGGAGAAAAATCATGCTTTACAAGAAGTGTGCTCCTGGGGCTGGGGATTTAGCTCAGTGACATAAGCGCCTGCCTCACAAGCAGGCAGTCGTGAGTTCGATTCCTGGTACCGATTAAAAAAAAAAAAAAAAAAAAAAGAAGTGTGCTCCTAATCTGAATTCTTGGGCCCCCTTTCCTGGAAACTCATGGTCTCTCTCTTCAGAGCCCATCTTAGCTGATTCTGAATGAAAATGAAATTGCTTCTTAGTGGATGAGAAGTTAAAGCACCCTCAAGCAAAGCCTGTGGGGTCTCCCAGGACGCCCGATGGAGAAAGAGAGTGGAAGGGGGCAGCCATCAGGGGCTGAGGCACACCACCTGTCTGGGGTTGCAGACACTTCTCTTTAAGAAGCCCTGACGGTAGGTTTTGAAGGTTGAACAGGAGTTTGCTAAGAGGAGAGAGAGGAAGATGTGCTGCTGTGGTTAAGAAAGTGATGGATGAGGGACCACAAGGACAGACTTGGACACTTACAGTCCATTCCCAAATGTGATGTTATTCCACCCTTGCTGTGGCCTTTTGGGGCCAATAAGAGAAGGTCGGTGCCAGGTGGTCACTTTCTTCCCCTCATCCCTTTGTAGTCTTGTAGTTGGGGTGGGGGTGCTCCTGGGCCCTCAGCCCAGCTGAGCCCAGGCCCCTCCCGAAGACCCCAGCCTCCCCCCTCCATGGGCAGCAGGCCCAGGCCACCCTGTTTGGCAGAGAACAGGACACAGTGCTGCTGCTGCTCCGTTTATTTGGTCTCAGGGGCTGCTGTCATGGTGCTGGTGGGCGGTGGCCGGCCCTGCACAGGTCAGCTGACGTCTGTCACTGCTGAGCCTGGGAGCACAGGGGGCCGAGTTAGAGGTGCGGGGACTGGGCTGAACATGGGGGGCAGGAGACAGACTGGGTCCCCGGGGCCACACTGCGCCTGTCTGGCCCTCACCTTGTTGAAGAAGTAGATGGAGGCGAGGATGGTGAAGACAGCAATGGCCAGAGTCACATTCTGGGGAGGGAGGTCAGAGGTCAGGCCCTCCCCTCCAGCCCTCCCTCCCCCTGCCCTCCACCCTCCTCACTTCCTGAAAGTTCATAGCCATAGGTCCTCAGTGCCCCTCTCTGGGGACCTCTCGCCCTTTCCCTGGCCTCTGAGCTAGGACAGAGAGAAGCTGCCTGAACTGAAGGGGTTGTCGAGGAGACCAGAATGGTGACCATGGCAACTGGGGAAGGGCATTCTGGGTGGAGGGGCCATTTCTCTAGGGGCAGGGGCGAGTGGGGACTAGAGTCCAGACCTCCAACCACTCGCTGTGGGTCAGGGGGCCAACTGGGGTCAGGTCTGGGTGTCAGGACCATCAGGAAGCAGCCGGCATGGTGGACTTTCTTCTTTTTTTCTTGTCTTTTTGAGACAGGGTCTTGCTAGGCAGTTCAGGCAGGTCTTGGGCTCACTTTGTGGCCCAGGCTGCTCTCAAACTTGTAGTGATCCTCCTGCCTCAGCCTCCCAGATGCTGGGATTACAGGCATGTGCCACCACGGCTGGCTTAGCACAGTGGACTTTCCACAAACCTGATGGACAGGTGGTCCTGGGCAAGGTATTGATGCCAGCTGTGATGGGTATCTGGGGGAGAGGAGGCCAGGTGAACAGAAAGAGGCTGTCAGGCAAAAAGAAAGTAATGGGAAAAAGGAGGCAGGAGAGGTTACCTCAGCCAGGTGGGCAGGGGAGCGCAGGGCTGGTGTGATGTCACTGTGAACATGTATGTAAAGACGTGTGCCTCCTGTGAACCTGGGGCGGCCTCCTCGATCCCATGACAGCCCGACCAGACCGGCCAAGTGCGGCTGGAAGGACCCCATGGGACTGGGTGTGGTGCCGCACACCTGTGATGCCAGCGCTCAGAGGCTGAGGCAGGAGGATTGTTGCAAGTTCAAGACCAGCCTGGGCTGTTTGTCACGCAGCAGTCAGTCCGAGACTCCTCAGCAGCCTTCCCCACGGACCTCTGCTCTCCCACTGTGGCTGCACTGGCTCTCATCTAACCCACTTTGGAAACTGAGGCACAGAGAGGTGCCCAGAGTCACACAGCCTGTATGTGGCGAAGCTGGGATTTGAACCACCAGGCCCTGCTGGGTTTGACCTGCTGTGGGATTCGGGGTACTGGAAGAAGGTAGAGATTCAGAGCAGGAGGGGAGCAAAGGCTGTGGCCACGGGGCTGGGCGGGCATCCTCCTGGCTCTCATCCAGGTTAAAAGTGTGGGGCTCTAGTCTGAGCATTGCCACTGCCTGTTTCCTGATCGGGTCACCTGGCCCCCGTGCATCAGTTTCCCCATCAGCACAGTGAAGGTGGTGAAGGTGGTAGGGATGGGTGGACGTCTCCTACACGGCGCCAGGCATGGAGGCTAAAAGGGTTAATGGCGGGCAGGCATGCGGAGCACGAGAGGTGGGGGCATGCTGGGGCCTGTGCCCCTGGAGGGGCCGGGCCAGAGTAAATGAGCAGGTGAGGCTGGGCACAGACGGGCTGAGCTCAGCGTCTAGGCCCTGTGATGATGGCCAGGCAGGGCTGTGGGGGCCACACGGCCGGGCTGCTCCTGCTTCTGCTTCTGCTGCTGCCCCGGGCTCTGTTGGACGGACCCCTGGTGTTTGTGGCTCTGGTGAGCTGAGAGGCCCCCACCCTGCCCACCCATCTGCCCGGTCCCTGGCACTGATCAGGTCTGTGTCCCCAGGTGTTCCGCCATGGCGACCGAGCCCCACTGGCCTCCTACCCCACTGACCCGCACAAGGACGCCGCCTCCACCCTATGGCCAAGAGGCCTGGGCCAGCTGACCGAGGTGAGGGGTGAGAGCCTGGGGGTCCAGGGGGGCAGGCGGGTGGGGCGGGACAGTCACCCAGCCCGCTGTGTCCCCAGGAGGGAGTTCAACAGCAGCTGGAGCTGGGCCGCTTCCTGCGGAGGCGCTACAAGGCCTTCCTGAGCCCTGAATACCGGCGGGAGGAGGTACAGCTCAGTATCCTGTCCTCCCTGGGGCCCACTTTTGATCTCTGCCCTGCATCCCTCTGGTCATCAATGACCCCATGCTGTCCTTTTACCTCAGCTCAGCCAGCACCTGGCTCGACCTGAAACCATGAACTCTAACCTTCTCTGTAGACCTCTGCCTACATCTCAACTTCAGCCAGCTCCGGCCAGGCCTCCTAAGCTCCAGCCTCTAACCCTCACTGGTCTTCTATCCTCCGTCCCCAGTCCCTGCCCCAATTCTGACTCCTAGGCTGTCAAGCTGACTCCTGGTCCCCTCTCTGCCTTCTCAGTAGGATCGGTTCCCTGACCTCTGACTCCTGCCTCCCATGACAGTGGCTGATCCTGGTCTTTTTCCTTCAGCCATGCTGTGCAGTGACCTCCCACCTCCATCCCCACCGATGCTGAGCTTTTCTAACCTTCATGGCCACACAGGCGCCCCCCCCCCCAACCCAGTCTAACTTGGGACCTCCAAAATGCCCTTGCTACCACCCAAATCTCCGAGTTTTGAGCCCCTGTGCCTGACCTTTGACCCCACCCTCCCACCCTGACTGCACCTGAAGCTTCTGATGGGTCAGTCCCACCCACCGATGTCCCCTCTGCCCATGCCCACCCTGGGCCCCAGGTGTACATCCGCAGCACGGACTTCGACCGCACGCTGGAGAGTGCCCAGGCCATCCTGGCTGGGCTTTTCCCCGAGGCGTCCCCCAGGGGCTCGGAGGCTGACTGGAGGCCCATCCCTGTGCACACAGTGCCCGTGGCTGAGGATAAGGTCAGGGGGCTGGGTAGGGAGGGGGAATAGAGGTGGGCAGACCAGGGGACATGGGTGGAGGGGGTGGGTGGTGCTGGGCCTGGGGTACCACCTCAGGAGCCCGGGATGGCTGGGGCAGCAAGCCACTGCCCTGCACAGTGCTGGCTCCAGGAAACTGGGACAGAAACGGGCACCCCGGAAACCCAACTCCTGGCTGGCTGGGAGACCCAGCATGCTGCCGTCATCCCTGAGCCTCAGTTTCCCCCAGCTGCTGAGGTTCCCCATGCGCAGCTGTCCCCGGTACCAGGAGCTGCTGCGGGAGTCCACGGAGGCAGCCGAGTACCAGGAGGCAGTGGAGGGCTGGACGGTGAGCAGGCTCGGGCCAGGGTGGGGTTGGGGTTGGGGTGTTGCCTGCTCAGGGCTCACCCCACTCCCACCCTCAGGACTTCCTGAGTCGCCTCAGCAACTTCACAGGGCTGACACTGGTGGGGGAGCCGCTCCGGAAGGCCTGGAAGGTTCTGGACACATTGATCTGTCAGGTGAGCCCTCTACTGCATGGGTTCAAGACTTTGGTCTGCCACTTGCAGATGGTTTAACCCCCGTGCCTGTTTCTCCATCTGTAATGGTGACAGCAATGCCCCAAAGTGTAGTGGCTATTAAACAGGTTAATTCCCTAAGGATGACACTTTTGTCCCCGTTGGGAGGGAAGCCCCTCCTGCACGGGGGCTCCTCTAAAATCCAGGCTGGCTGAGATCCAAAGCATTACTGGCTTTGGACAGGGGCTCCTGGAGGCCTAGCAAGGTCACTGCCTTTGTCCAGGAGTCATTACTGTTCCAGGCACTGGGACTCTGATCAGAACTGGCCAATGAGGGCTTAGGGGCGGGGTGTGGGGCATCAGGGTGTGGGGGAGGTGGTTGGGGATCTCCCATGTCTTGTCTCCCCAGCGAGCCCATGGCCTTCCCCTCCCACCCTGGGCCTCCCCGGATGTCCTGAGCACGCTTGGCCAGATCTCAGCATTGGACATCAGGGCCCATGTGGGGCCACCTCGGGCAGCAGAGAAGGCCCAGCTGACTGGGGGTAAGGCATGGTTTCTGCAGCTGGGGTGTAGGGCAGGGTATCTGTCTCCAGTGGGTCCTGACCCTCTACTTCTGTCCCCTCAGGGATTCTGCTGGATGCCATCCTGGCCAACTTCTCCCGGGTCCAGAGCCTGGGGCTGCCCCTCAGGATGGTCCTGTACTCAGCTGTGAGTCCTTAGAGGCTGGCCCTTCATGGTACAGGGTTAGGGAAGTGGTAGTTTGGGTGCCCAGTCTGTGGCCCCAATGGAACTTCAACTCACAGCCCTATCTCTGAGTCCCAGTTGGATCCTCTCAGTAGGAGTCAGCTCCAGAAGGGGGTGGGTAAGGGGATCTGAGCAGAGCAGCCAGCTCCTCTGGGAGGACATGGTGACCCATCTGTTGCATGGCACCAGAAGAGGATGGGCCTGCCATCAGGGTGGGGTTCAGTGCAACAGCTTTGGCTCTCAATGCCCTGGGGTCCAACGGGAGAGGAGCCTGGTCTCAGCCCTGTGTCCATCCCTAGCATGATAGCACACTGCTGGCTTTGTACGGGGCCTTGGGCCTCTACGACGGGCACACCCCACCCTACGCTGCCTGTCTCGGCTTCGAGTTCCGGAGCTATGTCGGGGACCTGGAAGATGAAGATGGAGGGTGAGGAAGGGGCAGCAGCCAGAGGACCCTAGGGGACTGGCAGGGGTGGGCAGAGGTTGTGGCCTCAGGACACCTGCACATGTAAGACGGTGCTGCCCCACCTCTAGCCGCAGCTGGCACCTGCTCCTCTCTCCCTCCAGGAACATCACCATCTCCCTCTTCTACCGCAATGAAACCCACCGTCCACCCCTGTCCCTCAGTGTTCCTGGGTGTCCTGCGCCCTGCCTGCTAGGGCGCTTTCGCCAGCTGACAGCTCCCGCCAGGCCTCCGGCCCGTGGGGCCATTTGCCATGGCTCTTCTAGGCCTGCCACTGCCCCAGGTGACAGCCCTCTGCACTGGGAAGGGAACAAGGGGTCCCTGGGACCTGGGAGTCATGACCCCCCTGTTCTCCCCACAGCCGCCACAGTGCCCCTGCTGGCTGGAGCTGTGGCTGTGCTGGCGGTGCTCAGCCTGGGGCTGGGCCTCCTGGCCTGGAGACCCAGCTGCCTGCGGGCCCTGGGGGGGACAGTGTGAGTGGGAATGGGGCAGCCCTTGCCTAGCAGACACTGGACCCAACATGTGTGCTCACCTGCTCTCCTGGCTTGTGACTGTCTGTATGCGTGGGGGCGAGGGCCAGGTGGGCTCCCTGGCCTGGAGGGCAGAGGAGGCTGCACACACACACTTGTACACGAGATGGGCATTTCTGCACTGTACTGTGGCCTATGCAGCCATGTTGAGTCCCTACATGCAACTCCCTTAGCAGGACTAACCCTGCAAATGGCAGTGAGATCCAGGCATCCAGGTGGCCCCAGGGGCCAGGCATGGAAACTCCTGTGGCTACGGAGGGGCAGTGGCCAAGACAGGAACCCTTGACCACATTGACCTAGACTCAAAGTCAGGAAGAAAAAACCAAAAAGGTCTGGGGATTTAGTTCTGTGGCATAAATGCCTGCTTTGCAAGCACACAGTCGTGAGTTTGATCCCCAGTGGTGGAAAAGAGTAAGGAAGGCTCAGGTGCCCACCATGACCAGGTCCTAGTGGACAACAGCCGGCAGACAGCCAGGTCTCCCTTCCCGGCCTGCACCTGCTTCGACGTTAACCCTGGACCGCAGCTCCCCTACCTCTGCTGCCCAGTTCAGTGCTCACTCCCCAGCCACGGGCCCCCCAAAGTGGAGGGTGGTGGCCAGGCCCCAGCAACTGTGGTGGGCTCAGGGCTTGGCCCTCTTGATGGCTACTTCAGGCCCACCCTTCCTCATCAGACTGCCGCACACCCCGGCCCGGACCGGCACCCCGCCTGCACACGGACCGCACCAAACACCTCGGCTCAGGAAGGGCACAGCACCCATTTAGCAGTGCCTGTGACAGCAGAGTCGTCGGAACCCTGTTTGTGCAGATCCCCCGGGACCCAGGCCCGGGGATGGCCAGAGCCGCTGGGAGGGGTCAGCGCGCCCCAAAGCTGGCTCGCAGAGGGAGGGGAACCACCCGCAAGAAAAAACCAGACAAAGAGCCAGATAGGGCTGTGAGAGGCAAGCTGTTAAAGAGGTAGATGAGCCTGCTGAGGCTGGTGTCCATCAGGACAAGGATTAAGAACACGCATTAAAAAACTTTTAAAAGTGAGAACTTAAGATGCTTTCACCTTGGGGACCAGAGGGGTCTATAGCTCAGCCCTGTGGCAGGGCTGAATGCAGCAGACAGCACACCCTAGTGGGGCAGTGGGGCTCCAGGGGTGGACACACAGGAAAGGCCTCTTCCAGGTGCAGCCCTACAAGGTCTTCGAGCTGCTCATCCACCCTCTCCTGGGGCGGGTGTGAGACAGCACCCAGTCTAAGAGGTCCTTGTGGGTGGGCCTGGTCACTCACAGGTCACTTCCTTCAATAGCAGGTGGTCGTTGCTGCAAGGCAGGGTGAGGGCAGCTCAAGGCAGACATGGAAGATGCTGCCCACCCACCCCCCAGGTCAAGGGCCAGAAGAGCAGGACAGTGCACTGGACGTATCTGCGGAGGGTCGGACTCCTGGCACCAGGGCCAGGCCTTCGGCAGCCCCAGCTCTCGATTCAAGGACAGGGTCTGGCCCGACTGCACACCAGCAGGATAGGGGTGATGGTGAGCTCTCCCCAGCTGGCTTGGGTGGATGCTAGTGCTTGCTCAGTCCCGGTCACGCCGGCCCAGAGGCAAGGCCCCTCGGGAGTGCTGCTTCAGAAGCTGTGGGGGCGACAGAGAGAGAGGGCACTGGGAAGCAGAAAGGGCCACTACCCACCCCAGCATCTCCCTGGAGTGGGGCCCCTCAGACCCCCGGGTGTCAAAGGTCCCGGGGGGCACCATGTCCTCACAGAGCTCGGAGCCCAGTGCTGGACATCACAGAGGCCCCAGGCATAGCCCTGAGTGAGGGCTTTCTGGGGAGTGCACCGCTCACCTAGCATCAGGGTCCCGCTCCCCTTACCCTTACCCGCAGTTGCACAGGTGGGAACTTTCAGCTTCAAGAAGATCGGCTGTGGGTGGGGGAAGAGACTGGTGGGGTGCAGGGAAACCACATCACCCCGCCCCTCTCTGGAGCCAGGGCTCCTCAGACTCCTAGGTGTCAAAGGTCCCAGGAGGCACCATGTCCTCAGATGGTCAGAGCCCAGTGCTGGACATCACAGGGACCCTGCTGCTCACTAGCCCCATAGGTCCCAGGGCCACCTGCAGTCTTTTTTTTTTGGTCTTTTTCCTTTTTATCTGTACCGGGGATTGAACTCAAGACTGCCTGCTTGCAAGGCAGGCGCTTATGCCGCTGAGCTAAATCCCCAGCCCCTGCCACCTGCAGGATATAGCACAAGCCATGCAGAGAATGACGCCAGAAAGTGACCAGGCCATGGCTCCCATCCGGTTCCACCCTGCAGTTTGTTCTTAACAAGCATTCACTACCAGTTGGCAACCATAAATACCCCATGTATTGTGTGCCATCTATTGTTGCTGCCACTAAATAAAATGACAACCACCACTCACCCAGCAACCAGTGCCCCAACTGGCACCTCCTCTAGGAACTCCCTAGCCTGGCAGCTGCAGAGGATGCCCTTTCTCAAGGCCGCTGTCCCCCCTGCTCTGTGCACCCTAGCCACAGAGGGAACCCTCCCAGTGTCCTTTTTTTCTAACACATGTAACTGTCTCCCAACCCAGCTCTTTCAAACAGCAGCAAAAACCCTCTCACTTTCCATTGCTCACTGTGTATATCCATGGCTGCTTTTTAGTAACATTCAAATAGTTGATTCACTGGGACCCAACTAAGCCTCACTTGGGTACTCGGCACATTCAGCTCACAAAAGCCACCATGCAGGGGCTGGGGATTTAGCTCAGCGGCATAAGCACCTGCCTTGCAAGCAGGCAGTTGTGAGTTCCACCCCGTACCGATAAAAAGGAAAAAGACAAAAAAAAAAAAAAAAAAAAAAACCCACCATGCGACCGACTGCAGTGGTCAAACTCATTTTGTCTCTGTCCCAACACTACTGTCAGGATTTTGAAAACTAGGTTTGTATGACACTTTTTCCATCCCATGTATTAATCTTTCCCTCTGAAGGTTAGGAACCATCCCCGTCCCTGTATGAAGGATTTGCTCATGCCCTCCTGACAGGCTCAGGAGGTCACCTCTCAGCATCTCCAGGTCTAAAAAAGGGAGGGTAGGGATCTGAATCCAGGTCTAATTAACGTGGTTTCCACAGCCTTGAGACAGTTTTTTTATGCAAATTCTAAGTGCAATTGTTGGCACATAAACTCAGGACCCATACACCTCTCCTACTGTTGACCAAGATGAGGGTGAAATATTTTTAAATGCGGAGTGACCAGCAGTGAAAGCAGGGGTTCTTACCTCGATGGGGAGACGGCAAACGGCTATTAGAGACACCTGTAACAAAAGTACCTGCTAAGGGCGTGTGTGGGTGTAGTCCATGGACACAGAACACCAATACTGGGGCCCTTCAGACCCCCAGGTGTCAAAGGTCCTGGGGGGCACTGTATCCTCATGGATCAGAGCCCAGTGCTGGACATCATGGGGGGTCCCCTCAGCCTCTTTGAAACCAGATCCACTTGCCTTCAGGGACAGACACATGCCAAGTGAAGAGAGCACACAAACACACACCAGAAGACCTCAACAGCCCCAGTATCAGAGGGGAGTCCCCCCCCCCGCCCCCATGGGCTGCGCTCCACACCCACTGCGGGAAAAGAACCCTGGTGTTTGCCTGTTCTGGCTTCACTGTGTGAAGGCTGCTGAGAAATTACGTCCTCAAAGAAACGAGGAGAAAAGGTACTGTTCTAGTAAAAAACAAAGCCAAGATGTGATAGCTTTGGGCTGGGTCGTGACATCCTCAATGATTTATGCCAAAAAAAAGTTATTAACACTGATTCTCTTTTTTGAGACGGGGTCTCGCTATGCAGTACAGGCTGGCCTCGAGCTCACTTTGTAGCCCAGGCTGGTCTCGAACTCGCAACGATCCTCCCACCTCAGCCTTCCGAGTGCTGGGATTACAGGCGTGAGCCACCACGCCCGGCTATTAACACCGATTCTAACAACAATGACTGTCAGGATTGAACACAGGCCTCGTCTGCCAAGTCTGCTCCTACCTGGTTCGCAGAAACAACCCTGTAATTCACTTGGAGACTCGCTGGTTCCTTGGTAGCCTTATGTTTTCTTCCCGTTCTACAGGAAAACGCGCACACTGGGCCCTTTCCATCAGAGCCTGTTTCACTTGCACAAACAAGCCAGCTTCCCACAAACGGGAGGGCAAAAAAACCCAGCAGCGGTTTCCTAAAGATCTGAGAGCCCGTGGCCAGCACTGGACTGGAAATCCTCCTGACGAATCCACTACCACGCCCCTGCTGACCTCACTCTCGCCCCCAAAATGGTCAAGAGGCCCGGGCGGCGTGCAGCCGACATGGCGCGGACAGAGGGAGAGAGCGTCCCGGGCTGCCTAATTCGGGCCGGGGCTCTCCTACCCCAGGAGCTTCCACTCTCCCGCGGGAGAAACCCAAGCTCAATCTGAGGGAGCATGCGGATTCGTGCCCTCGCAACGTGGCTGCTTCCGTTGAACGCCAGGCTCCTCGCACATGCGCTCTAGGCCGCAAAGCTCGCTGCACTCACTCAACGGTGACGAAAGAACCAAAGTGAACCCCCTCAAACCTTCTCTGCAAAAGGAAAGCCAGAGGCTTGGAATCCTTATTTATATCCCGCGCCGCTGCCGGGTTCGGCCCCCGGCCCCAGCCTGGCCTCCTCTTTTAGGCGTCCAATACTAGAGCCTGTGAAAGGAGCCCAGTTTTGGTATTGGACAAGGGAATATACCGGTTCCTAACCCCAGAATATTCCTCAATAAACGAGAATATATTATTTCCGGAGGTGAAAAGAAAGGAACAAGGACATATTTAGGACCATCGTCCTGTACTGGACATCAGGCAATTTTAAAGTCAGCAAAAAATAACGCGCCATGAAGAGAAAAGGCCCCGAAAGGGGGCTGGGAAAGATCCGGAACCTGCTGGAATGGGCGGTGCGCAGAGGCGGGAGCTAAGCCTCGGAGGCGGGGCAACGTCTGCAGGTGGGATCTGCGTGGAGTCGGAACGTGGGGCGGTAGGGCGGGAGCCGGTGTTGTGGGTCCAGCAGGTGCTGGGGCCTGCACCCCCGGGTCTCAGGGAGGAGGGCGGGCCTGGACCCCTGCATCTTGAGGGAGGAGGGTGAGCCTGGATCCCAGGTCTGAAGGAAGAGGGCTGGGCATGGAGCCCAACCAAGTCTGAGGAAATGCGGACTTTGTTGCTCCTTCTTGGCTCTTTGACTAGAGGTCTGGAGTCTTGGATTTATGGTGTGGTGTGAGATCAAGATTGTTTTATAAAAAAAAAGATTATTTAAATAAAGAGTGTGGGCTGGGGATATAGCTTAGTGACACAGCGCTTTCTTAGCAAGCACGAGGTCCTGAGTTCGATTCCCGATACAAAAAAAAAAAAAAAAAAAAAAAAAAAAAAAAAAAGAATCCATTCACCAAACTTGCCACTCTTGATATGGACTTTATACTTCATGGACATTCATATAAGGGAAACTATGTTTCTCATCTCGGTTTGTCGCGCCTTGGAGAGAAAAGGCCCCTAAGGGGGGTGGGGCCAGACCCGGAAACTGATGGAATGGGCGGTGCAAAGAGGCCCACACATGCCCATATCAGAAATCTCACCATATCAGTACATACGGAATTGTGTCATTTTTTGATTGTTGTTTTCGATTTTTTTTGAGTCTGAGCCTCGCTATGCATTTCGGGCTGAGCTTGAGCTCACTTCATAGCTCAGGCTGGTCTGGAACTCGCAGCGATCCTCCTGCTTCAGCCTCCTGAGTGCTGGGCTTTCAGGCCTGTGCCACCATGCCTGGCGGTTATGCCACTGTTTAAGCAATGCTCATCTGACCCTGTGTGAATAGCATGTAGTTTATTTTGCTGGTCTCTGGTCATTTAGGTAGTTTTCTTCTGAGTGAGGAAGTTTCTTCTGTGAACTTACAGACCTAAATTCCTAGCTTAAGGAAATGGCAAACAGTTTTACCCCTGGCTGCTGCCTCACTCCAAAGGAAGAGCAAAGTTCTCACCCGTGTTTCCTCTCTGTCTTCATCTCTGCCTCTCCCTTGGCCTCCCTGGTGTTCCTGGGACCTTCAGGCCCTTTGCACGTAGGGTCCTGCTGCCTGGGATTTGCCCTCATTCGTGCAGCTCTCTCCTTTTCCGTCTTGTCTCTGTTCAGAACATCATTTTGGCCCATAGTTAAACAATCTCATCTCCACTTCAGGTAGGCTTCCTCCTTTCCAATCCCATCTTCCTTGCCCTCTGCATTTTTCCTCCTGCCACTTACCCAATAATATAGTATCTTTTTGCTTATGGCGGTTCTTTTTTTTTTTTTTTTTTTTTTTTTGCCTCTATTGAGATGTTAGTTCCATGAAGAGCATCTAGTTCCATCGCTTGTCGTAACTTAGTGTTTAGTTACAGCTAGTTACAGCTTCATCCGTTGTAAACCAGATTTTTGGGGGCTGTGTTATAGAGGCAAGAGGGAGGGTTGTTGTGATAATACTGAACAGCAAATGCTGTGGCCCAGGCATTTATGTAAAACTGCATTAAGGTATGATCACTACCCCATTTTACAGATAAGCAAACTGAGAGTAAATGTAGTCAACATCTTGCTGGAGACCTCAGAGATAACAAATGACAGCGCCTACACCCTCAAATCTGGCAGCTTAACTACTATGTAAGAAAGGGAATAGAGGGGGTTTGAGGTAGGACTTAAAAAGGCAAAAAAATTTAAATATACTTTAAAAAAGTGCCTACAGCTTCAAAACAAACATTACTCAAACTTCCCTTCTAGTAAACTCATTTAAAGATCCTTTTACTACAAGCTTGTAAATCCAGGCTTGAACCTTGCCTTTTCACCTGTAAATTGGGCTTCCTCCATCCCCAAAAGCAGTAACATTGGTGGGCAACATATTTCAGCTTCAAGCACTTGTAGATGGCTTACAGTGTAACCTGACAGACAGTAAAAATACATATCTCAGAATAAAAATACACATCCCAGATCACCCATCTTAAAGACACTCCCTTAACCATGCTCAACTCTGGCTTTTTTTTTTTTTTTTAAGACAATATCTGTTTTGCTATTTAGTTCCGACTGGGCTTGAGTCCAACAGGTGACTCACTGTCAGCCCCAAGCCTTCTTCAAGGGGCTGCTGCACAGAGAGTCGGGCAAGGAGAGGCAGGGTGGAAAGGGTGGGAGGTGAAGGGAGGCCTCAGGGAAGCTTTGTGCAGGAAGGAGGAATTACTGCAGTTTGCAAAGGAGAAGATGGAAGACGCCGGGAAGGGAGAGGTTCAGCTTTCCAGCAAACACTGAGCACCATCTGTGTGCCAGGGCCAAGGGCCTTGTGCCCTGGTTTCTTGGCTCTGAGTCCCTTGCCATCCCTTCCTGGTGCCCCCGTCCCAGGTGGCCCAAGGACAGCCACAAGAGAGGACTGGCATGGCTACAAAATACTTCCCTGGTGCGAAACTCCATAAAGAAATATTTTAGGTAGGAGGTCCAGATTCTTGTAAAAATCATTTATTCATCTCGAAAGCGGAGTGTCAGACGAACTGGAAATGGCATGGGGTTCTCAGAGGGGATGGTGCTAGGGCAGGGGTGCCTGCTGTACCAAGCATGGTGGGTGGAGGATCCTAAGTCCAGACAGCCTGCAGTGCCAGGATGGACCAGAAATTCATGTAATTCAGGTAGGAGAAGAAACCTGGAAGAGGAAGAGTGCCCCAGGATGAGGTGCGGAGTTCAGAAGCCCAGACCCCAGTGACATGCCTTACACTGCCTCAACCCCACCCCGAATCCCACTCAGCCCCCTTACCACCCCCAAAGCCAGGCTTGCCTCCATTGCCTAGGTGACCTCCGATCTCCTTCCAAATTCAAAGCCAAGCCAACCCCACTTCTACTCTCCTTAGCCCTGCCTGATACCTCTCTACACCCCTGAACCCAGGCCCTTCCCAGCCAGACCAGTTATCAGGAACAGGAAGACGCTGCTCCACGCCAGGTAGAAGCTGATGCCCAGCTGGTAGGTCATGCCTTCCTGCAGGTATCTGTCGGCCTGCCACAGGTAGAACTGGACGCCCAGTGCGATGCTGGCCCCTGTGTGGGCACAGACATTAGGGGCTGGGAATCGGGTGTCTGAGGAGCCCTGCTCACAGTCATGTGTCTGTGCGGTTCTCTGCCATGATCTCCCCACTGTCTTTAACCTCCCCACCCCGCTACCCCTGCCACAAGCAGAAAGGCGGGCTCCTGACAGCACCATGGTGGAGCACGCGGGAAGTGCACATCTTGGTCTTCCGTGGGGCAGTGGCAGTGACAGAAACCATAGGCTTCCGGCCTCATCCTTCTTGGCCCCTCACCTCAGGAAAGCGACATCATCTTTCTGAACCTCAGTCCTCTCGTGTATAAAAACTCCTTTTGGGGGGTGATACCGGAAATTGAACTCACGACCTCACACTTGCCAGGTGAGTACTTTGCCCCTGAGCTGCATCCCTGGCCCCCTTACCTGTGGAACGAGCATACTCAGGGGACCCATCTCACAGGGTCATGGTGTGGCTGCACTGGAACTGGCGTCACCACCATTCCTGCCCATGGCCCTGAGTCACTGAGACAGATTCTCATACTGAGTCCTCAATATTTGCTTCCAAAGCAATGGACAAAGAACCCAATCATTCTGGATGTTTTGAAATTGCATGAATTAAAAACAATTTATGTAGGCGAAAATACTTTTTCCTTTTCAGATCTTAGATTGTCTTGTGTTATTGAAAAATAATATAAGATGTGCTTTTTGTTTACATCAAATGGGGAATGGACATAAATGAATTCTCACGGAATGGCCTGGTTTAGACGGCACCTTCTGTCCTTAGTACCTTATATTTGAACAAATAGAAAGACCCCTTAGACCCACTGGGTGAGGATCAGTTATTAACAAGAAATCACAAAATGGGCTCTTTTTTATACTGTCATTTTCCAAAATTGTTTTTCTGATGCCACTGAAAGTTGCTATCAACTACTCTAAGGGACAGAAAAACAACATTACTTATTTGAAAATTAAAGATCTCGGGCCCTGGATTTAGCTCAGTTCAGTGGCACAAGCGCCTGCCTGTAAGTGTGAGGTCATGAGTTCAATCCCTGGCACCAAAACAAAACCAAAACCCCCCAAAAAACAAAATTAAAGGCCCTACCCCTGCAATTTGGCATGCAGATGCAAACAACAAAGCAAACCAAAACAAAAAACTAACAAATATCCCCCAAAACTAGGCTCTTTTTTTTTTCCTCAAAGCTAAATTATCCTAAGCAGTATATCGGTTTTGTGTTATTTGGGTGGGAGTAAGAAGGTTATCATGGTAAGGATCCCTGCGAGATTCTGTAGCTAACATCATGTACTGATGGTTTCCTCTCTTCTGAAAGGCACTGTCCCCTGTCACTCAGTGGGTCTGCAGTCTTGGAGGTTTGGCTAACTCATGTCCCCTCTCCGTGGCGCTTAAGAGCTAGTCTGGAGGGGAGAACACTCCTCAGGCACTTTTGACTGGAGAAGGGTTCTGCCCGGGGAGTGCGCAGGTTTAGGGGGACACACATGGACCAGTGAGGGAGACAGTGGACAGCCACCTAGCCCAGGCCAGCCCTAGTTATCGCTGGGTGGCAGATGTCTTAGCTGATCACCCTCGTGTCCAGGTGCTGCATTTTCTTCCTTGCTTTTTGGCACTGCTGGCTGAACACAGGCCTCACTCCTGGTGAGCAAGTGTCTGCCCTGAGCTGCACCCCCACCCCTTTGTCCTTTTTTATTTTGTGACCAGGTTAGTGAAATCACCCGGGCTAGCCTTGAACTTCCCATCCTCCTGCCTCAGCCTCCTGAGTCATTGGGATTAAAGAACTGTGTCACCACACCCAGCCCAATAATGACACTTTCTAATACTTCCTTCCATTGCCACCTGGTAGGGAGCTTCATCCCTCTCCTACAGATGGGAAAACTGGCCCCAAAAGGTGAAGAGCAGAATCACCCAGCAGTCGTGCTGGTGGGACAGGATTGGAGAAGATACTGAGCAAAGGTTGTGTGTGTGTGTGTGTGTGTGTGTGTGTGTGTGTGTGTGTGTGCGCGCGTGTGTGTCTGAGTTGATTTTGAGAGTCAGCTCACAGGTGACCCAAGGCGGAGTCCCGGACTGAGAAGATGAGGCTGGAGGTGGACAGGGGCTGAGCCTGCAGCTGAAATTCCCAGGGGGTAGGGTTGCAGTGAAATTGAAATAAAGCTTCAAGAGGTTCATAAGCGTGATGATTGGGTGTTCATGCTCTATGCATGACATGTGCCTCCTTTCAACCTTGTTACGACCTCGGCACATTACCCGTCTGACATGAAAAAAAAAAAAAAAGAAATAAAGCTTCAAGGATGCTTGGGTCTGAGGTTCCTCGGGGCTGCAGGTGTGTGAAGAAGCTGGAGGTGGTCGTGGGCTTTGTTTGGAAAACAGACAGACCTCGGATGGGGTGGGAACCAAGGCAATTAGGGATGGACTGAATGATTTAGAGACCAGTGAATTAGAGACCAGAGTTAGAGACTAGCGAGTTAAAGACCAGTGAGTTAGAGAGACCAGCGAGTTAGAGACCAGTAAGTTAGAGAGACCAGCGAGTTAGAGACCAGTGAGTTAGAGCCGGGAGTTACAGACTGGTGAGTTAGAGATGCGAGTTAAAGCCGAGGCTGTCCTTGGCCCAGGCGGTGGGGCTGGGCCAGAGGTAGATGGTTTCTATTGGGACAGGCTGGACATTGGGAAGGAGAGGGGTCTGGGGTTGGGAGTGAAGGTGAGGATGGGGATGCTGGGCTCTGGTGAGGCCCCGGCTGTCTTAACGCCGTGCCTGTCATGATGCTGCCAATGAAGAGGAAGAAGTCCACCATGGCGGGGTTGGAGCTGGTGAAGAAGATGAGGAGGATGAGGGCCGTGCACAAGCAGATGCTGGTGATGCTGGAGACGAAGAGGAAGGTCCAGGCAAAGTCCAGCAAATCTGGGGGAGATGGAGAATCAGGACCCCCAAGACCGTATTGTTAGGCTCTGAGAACTGGGAAGGGAGTCCCCCTCGAGTCTGTGGATTAGCCCTTCCCCAAGACTGTTCCCACACTAATGTAATTGAGATTGGGCTGTGAAGCCGTGGTGACCAGGCCCCTCTAGCCTCTAGCCTCCAGCCTCCAGCCTCCAGGACCACATCTGAGGCAGTGAGGTATGGTGGGGTGTGTGTGTGTGTGACCACCCTCCTAGAGCCCCAAGGCCCATCCCAGAGGAAGGGAATTCCGTTCCAGGACAGAAGGGAGGGAAAGAGATGGATCCCAGGAGGGCCAGGACAGAACAGGCCTTACAAGCATACTGGTCATAATCTTTCAGGCAGGAGATGTCGGAGCACCTCACGAAGAGGATGGTGTTGATGGGTATGGTCGGGGTACCGGCAGGGTCCCCGGGAGGCTTCAGTGGCACCTCGAAGTGCATCCAGGGCTGTCCCAGAGAGATCAGGCTGATGATGAGCAGGCCGGCCAGGTTCAGCACCAGGCTCAGCTGGCGGCTGATCTTCTTGGCCTCGTGGAGCAGCCGCCAGCATAGGGGCAGCCGTAACTGACGGCTGCTGCTTTTCTGAAACCTGGGTGAGATCGCTGCCCTGTCAGCTGTGTCGGTCCCTCCTCCTCAGCCACTCTCTCTCCCCTGCATCTGTCTACCATGTCCTGGGTCTCCTGGGTCCCCCGGGCTATCCTCCCAGCCCCCCGGGCTATCGAGCCAGCCTTGGGATACAGTTTCCAAGCCCTGTCCCACCTCTTGTATGATATACCAGCTGTATTCCTGGTCCCTGACCTTTTATCGCTACCCTTCGCCCAGAATTCTAGCCCAGAACCTGGCCTCCTGCAGAGGTCCCTGCCACTCACCTGGCAGAGTTAATGCCAGCGGAACTGTCTAATATGAAGTCGTGCGGGTCATCAGGAAAGCCCTGGCTGAGTTGCAAGCTGGGTCTACTTTCTTTGGGAAATGCCTGGGAGCTCCAGGTAACTGATTCAAGGCTCTCGACACTGGCCTCAGGGCTCTGGGTAATAGATGGGGGGACACGGACATTGGTCCAGGTTTGCTTGCTGGGGAGGTCGAGAGTCGGGGTGATTGTCTGGTAGGCGGTGAGTTGGCTGGCATAAGCCGAATAGACACTGGGCCGGTGAGCGTGGGCAGCCGATGGAGATCCTTGGACACTGGGCCTGTGAGCACGGGCAGCTGATGGAGATCCTTGGACACTGGGCCTGTGAGCGCGGGCAGCCGATGGAGATCCTTGGACACTGGGCCGGTGAGCGCGGGCAGCCGATGGAGATCCTTGGACACTGGGCCGGTGAGCATGGGCAGTTGGTGGAGATCCTTGGACACTGGGCCGGTGAGTGCGGGCAGCCGATGGAGATCCTTGGACACTGGGCCGGTGAGCGCGGGCAGCCGATGGAGATCCTTGGACACTGGGCCGGTGAGCATGGGCAGTTGGTGGAGATCCGTGGACACTGGGCCGGTGAGTGCGGGCAGCCGGTGGAGATCCGTGGACACTGGGTCGGTGAGTGCGGGCAGCCGGTGGAGATCCGTGGACACTGGGCCGGTGAGTGCGGGCAGCCGGTGGAGATCCGTGGACACTGGGTCGGTGAGTGCGGGCAGCCGGTGGAGATCCTTGGACCTTGGGCCGGTGAGCAGCGGAGGCTGGTGCAGATTCCTGGTCACTGAGCCAGAGAGCATGGGCAGTTGGTGGAGATTCTTGGATGCTGGGCTGGCGACTGCGGACAGCTGGTGGAGATTCTTGGATGCTAAGTTGGGGAGCAGCTGGTACAGCTGGTAGGAGCCCTTGGACGCTGAGCCGGCGACCGTGCGCGACGGGTGGAGGCCCTTGGACACTGAGCCGGCGGCCAAAGGTGGTGGGTGGAGGTTCTTGGATACTGACCCGGCGAGTCCGGGTTGAGGGTGGGGGCTCTTGGATACTGACCCGCCGACCAATGCGTTGAGTGGGTGGGGGCTCTTCGATACTGACCTGGCTGGTGTGGGCAGTAGGCAAAGGCTCTTTCACATTGACCTGGCTGCTGTGGGTAGTAGGTAGCGGTTCTTGAATACTGACCCGCCGACCATGAGGAGATAGTGACTCTTGGGTACTGACCTTGCGACCGTGTATAATAGGTACGGGCTCTTGGGTACTGATCCGGCGACCGGGGTCAGCAGATGGAGGTTCTTGGGTGCTGACCCGGTGACTATGGACAGCTGGTGGAGATTCTTGGATACTGGGCTGGCGGCTTTGGACAGGGGGTAGGAGCTCTTGGTGGCGGATAGGGCGGGTGGTGACAGCTGCAGGCAGAGACTGGATACTGATCCGGCGATTACCAGGGGCCGGTGAGGGCTTCGGGAAGCTCGGGTATTGATACTGGAAGGTGGGCCGAGGCTCCTGGCCTCCATCTTGAGGGCTGCCAATAGCTGGCAGGAAGTTATGAAGGTCTTCACTGCTGCTGGAAGCTGACCGCTGAGGGCCCTGGGGGTCAGATTGTTCCTGCTCAGCCATGAGGAGGTGCAGGGAAGGGCAGGGGTCCGGATGGACTCAGTCTTCTGACAGCCTTAGTCCTTCCTTTCAGGGACCTTCATGAGCGCCTGGAAAATCTGGGGTTTCTCTGCAGAGTTTAAGCTCGATCCGTGGGCATTTTTAATCTCTCCTTCTCTTCATGTTTCCTGGTGTCTCTTGCTGCTCAAGGGCAGACAGTTCAGGGATTCAACCAGGCCTGCGGCCAGGGCCAGGAGGGGGTTCTATGACAGTTGGAGGGGTTCTAGGAGGTTGGCCATGGCCTTGGACTCCATCCAACCCTTTGTGAGTGATGTGGCAGTTAGGGCTGGGGCAGGGTAGACCCAATGCAGGGTCTAGGCAGAGTCGATACTGGGTCCAGAAGGATTTTGCTGGGTCAGTGAGAGGGCAGAGAAGGCTTAGGGTGGGGTCAGGGTGGAGGTCCACTGGGACAGAGGGACCAGGCTGTGGGGAGGGCTGGGCAGGGCCAAGTCAGGGCTGGGTCAATGCACATCTGAGATGAATTCTAGCAGTTTCTAGAGACCTGAGATCTGACCTTCTGATTCCCTTCCTCCCTGCGCCTTTCCCTTCCTCTCCTAGGGCCTCTTCTGAATCAGCTTCGTCCTTTTCTTCTCTAGTTCCATGTCTCTCCTCATTTCCTTTCTTCCTCCTCCATCTCTGTCCCCACTCACCTTCTCTGGGGTCTCAGAGGAGACTGGACTGCGCCTTGCTCCTGAAGATCGGCAGCTCCAGCTGGGAAGAGGAGGGAGACCCAGCCGCTGCTTGACAAGCGATGGACAGAGATCAGCAAGGTACAGGGTGCCGCGCTGTAGGTGCCAGCTGTCCTGTGGAGAGTTGGGGGGCTCTGTGCCCTTACACTTCCTTTCATCTTTTGTGGTGATGCTTCAAGAAGCCAACTCTGAGCCTGGAATCCCAGCACTCGGGAGGCTGAGGCAGGAGGATAAGTGTGAGTTTAAGGCCAGCTGGGGGTGAGCCAGCTTGAACTACATAGTGAGACGCTGTCTCAGAGTGAAAAGAAAAAAAGAGAGAGAAAAGAAAGAAACCAGCTCCACAAACTTTTATAATACTTTATTTTTTATGTGACTTTATCTGAATGTCGACATGATTAGATTTTAAAATATTTTCATGACTGCCTGTTTTGCAAAATATTGGGTTTCAGTGTGGTATTTACATACACACAATCACACCCCCCTTCCCTCCCCCGCACCCACCTCTTCCTGCCCTTCCTCTCCTTCCTCTTATCTAACAGCAGTCTCCCTTCTGCCTTCGCACTATCTTTTCATGAAAATCAGACTTCCAGAGTCTGACTAATGTTGATTGATACGATGATCTCCAGTTCTGCCTGTTTTCCCTGCAGGTGACATAATTTTGTTCTTCTTTTTGGCCGAATAATACTTATGTATCACATTTTCTTTATCTGTCTACCCACTAACAGGCACCCGAACTCATTCCATGTCTTGGTGGTTGTGAATTCTGCTGCAATATAAACATGGGCCTGAAAGTGTGCTGTAATATTCTGCCTTTAATTTCTTTGGTTAAATACCAAGGAGTGTGGCCAGGGATATAGCTCAGTGGCAAAGTGCCGGCCTGGCAAACATAAGGTCCTGAGTTTGATTCCCAGGCACCCCATATCCCCAGGTACCAAGGTATGGTGCAGCTGGGTTCTGTGCTAGTTCCCATTTTAGGTTTTGAGGAATCTCCATAATCATTTCCGTAGTGAGTATACTAACTTGCACTCCCTCCAGTGGTGTAGAAGTATTTTTTTTCTTTTTTCTTTTTATTTATTGGGTACTGGGAATTGAACTCATGACCTCACACTTACCAGGCAGGCATATATGCCGCTGAGCTAAATCCCCAGCCCCTTTGTTTTTTATTTTTGGTAGCACTAGGGGTTGAACTCAGGACCTTTACACTGAGCTACACCCCAGGCCCTTTTGTTTTTCTTTTTTCTTTTGAAAAAGAATCTCACTGAATTGCTGCCTTGCTCAGGCAGGCCTGGAACTGGCAGTCCTTTGGCCTCAGCCTCCTGGAGCATGGAACTACAGGCTGTGCCGCCACACCCAGCCTGTGTTTTGTATTCTTGGTGACAGCTCTGTGACTGGGGCGCGATGAGATATTGGTATAGTTGGTGTTCTGAGGCTCCAGAATCTTTATCTGAATTGAAGTTGGGTCTCACTGCATTCTGATTGTTTATCTGATCTCAGTTTTCATTATAGAAAACTGTCTGAGACCAGTCCTCAAGTCCAGTCTGCCTCTGTCTCTCCTGGAGCAGTTAACAAGACAGAGCAGTTTAATGCTTGCTTTTCCTTGGCTGTCACTGCATGGAGGCAGCCATGGCCATGCCTTCAGATTTTTTGCATGCTTGTTCTAGTAGAATTTAACAAACCCTCTGTGTCCTGTAATTCTCACCAATTTATCAGGCACAAACCATTTCATCTGCAGGTAAATTTAAACTGACCTCACCCCTTGGGAGGCTCACAAAAATCCAAATTCCTTGACAATTGTCTTGGGCCTGGCCAAGCGAAATTAAGCCTGTAGTTGGAGAGTACCAAGGGGTGGTCCACCCTACAAGGCTACTTAAACAGGCTGCCCTTCTGACAGGGCGCTCTGGAAGGTGACAGGGGTGACAGGCCTGGAGCTTGGGTGGTCACCTGGCACCCAATGTCCTCTGATATGCACTGGTGTCTGGAGGTCTGGGAAGGGCCACGCCATGGCTTCCTAGCATCCGACCCAAAAGGCTTCCTCTCTGGCCACTTGAAATCCAACAACCTGTAAGCCTGAGAATGTCGAGTCTCTCTCTGTCTCATGATGCAACTGTCACACATAAGTAAAAGAGAGGGCCTGTCACATTGCCCCCAGGCAGGTCAGCAAGTCAGTGACTAAGCCTCTGTTCTTGGCAGAACTGTGGCCTCTCGGAAGTGACTCCCATCTGGCCAGATGTCCCCTGATACTGGTGATTCTAGGGCAAAGGAGATTAAGAGCAGGAAAGCCCCTGAGGGACAGTGGGGGGTCCTGAGGCTCTTTGTTCAAGGATCTTTTATACAGCAAAACCACTACTTGGGTCACTATGGGTTAAACTACAATCTGCAGGGCTACAAGTGTAGTCACTTAGCTAATACTGATCCCGTAGTGAGGGGAGGCACACAGCAAGGGGATATGACGAGCTTGTCTATGTCTTTTAATGTACAAGGGACTGAATGGCAGTGTCACCGTTTCAGAGATTTAAATCTGTGTCTGGTTAGCAGAAGGCTGAAGGGCATGGTGGTGCACACTTGTAATTCCAGCCCCCAGGAGGCTGAGGCAGGAGGATCACTGTGAGTTGGAGGCCAACCTGGACTATACAGTGAGACACTGTCTCAAAGACAAAAACAAAACAAAGCAGAAACACTTCAAGAACAAAAAATGAAAGCAGAAACATCATGGCAGAAGGGCGTGGGTTTTTTTTTTTTTTTGTCTTTTTTTGAGGCAGGGTTCCACTGTATAGTTCAGAATGGACTTCAACTCACTTTGCAGCACAGGCTGGACTCAAACTCACAGCAATCCTCCTGCCTCAGCCTCTTGAGTGTTGGGATTTCAGCATGCACCATGGCACCTGCCTGGAAAGTTCTCTATGTAGCTCTATTTGCATTTTCCTAAGGGCTGAAGATGTTGAATATTTATTTCATATGGGCCATTTGTATTCTGAGAAATGTCTGTGCAATCCATCTACTGTTTATTGATTATGCTATTTTTTGGTACCAAGTATTTTGAGTTTCTTAAAAATATATTTTAATATTAATCCTTTGTTGGAAGAATAGCTGGCAAAGATTCTTTCCCATTCTGTGGACTCTAATATCTGTTTCCTTTGCTTTGCAGAATCATTTTAATTCAGTGTAGTCCTGTTAATTCTTGCTATTATTTCCTGCACTATTAGAGTCCTATTTAGGATGTCTTTGCCAGTATCTATAGCTTCAAGTGTTTTCCCTCTGTTTTCTTTTAGCAGTTTTGAAGTTTCAGGTTTTATACCTTGACCTTTGATCCACTTAGAATTGATTTTTTGTGTGTGTGGTTCTAGGGTTTGAGTTCAGGGCCTTGTGCATGCTAGGCAAGGACTCTACCACTGAAGTATGTCCCCAGCCCACTGAATTGATTTTAGCACACGCTGAGAGACAGGTCTCTAATTTTAACCTTCTCTGCAGGGAGATCCAGTTTTCCTTGTTTGATTACTGAAAAAGCTGTCTTTTTTCCAACACGTGCTTTTGGCTTCTTTGTTAGGAATCAGATGACTACAGTGCTCAAGTTTGTTTCTGTGTTCTCTATTTCCTCAGTCAATATGGCCATTTTTGTGCCAATACCAGGCTGTTTTTGTTACTATGGCTTTGTAGTATAATCTGTTTTCTTTCTTTTTCTCTCTCTTTCTTTTCTTTCTTTTTTCTTTCTTCTTCTTTTTTGAGACAGGGTCTCATTATGCAATCCAGCCTGGCCTTGAACTTACTATGTAGCCCAGGTTAGCCTCAAAGTCTTGGTGATCCTCCTGCCTCAGCCTCTGGAGTAATGGGATTACAGGTGTGAGTCACCATGCCTGGCCTTCCTAGTGTAGTTAGAAATTGGGTGTTGTGATGGCCTCAGCTTGTTCTCTTTGCTTAGGACTGATTTGGCTCATTCTGGATCATTTATGCTTCCAGATGACTTTTAGCATTGTTTTTTCTAGTTCTGTACAGGATGTCACATGAATTTGGATGGGGATCATATTCAATCTGCAGATTGAATCTTTGCATCCTTTAATCTCTTCTTCAATTACTTTGTTCAGTATTCTGTAACATTCATTGTAGAGGGTTTTTTTTCCTTGTTTACGTTGATTCTTACATAGTTTATTTTTTGAAGTTGTCCTGAGTCTCTCTCTCTCTCTCTCTCTCTCTCTCTCTCTCTCTCTCTCTCTCTCTCTTTTTTTCCTTGTTTACGTTGATTCTTACATAGTTTATTTTTTGAAGTTGTCCTGAGTCTGTCTCTCTCTCTGTCTCTGTCTCTGTCTCTCTCTCTCTCTCTCTCTCTCTCTCTCTCTCTCTCTCTCTCTCTCTCTCTCTCTCTCTTGTCTTTTGAGATAGGGTCTCCCTATGCAGTTCAGGTGAATGCTCTGCCTCCAGGGTGCTGGAATTACAAGCATGTGCCACCACACCTATTTTTTTTTTTTTTGAGACAGTGTCTTACTTTGTAGTGCAGGCTGGACTTGAACTTGTTATGTAGCCCAGGTTGGCTTTAAACTCACCTTGATCCTCCTGCCTCAGCCTCCTGAGTGCTGGGATGATAGGCGAATGCCATCATGCCTGGCTGATTTAATGTTAAATAATGGTAAAAGTCGGCTTTAAGATACAGCTGACTAGGGGCTGGGTATTTAGCTCAGCGGCATAAGCACCAGCCTTCCTGTAAGCAGGCAGTCGTGAGTTCGATTCCTGGTGCCGATAAAAAAGAAAAAGACAAAAAAAAATATACAGCTGACTATATGATACACCCCAGTTTCAGAGGTGTTAAAAATGCATTTTACAATGTATAAATGGTGGTATCCTGTTGTGGAATAGTGAGATATTTGTTTGGCTTCTGAAACAGTTTCAGACAGTGAAGTGACAGTGGTTCACATGACAAAAAGTGATTTCTGTCACACATGATGCCTGCAGACAGGGTCTGGGTCCCTTCCATCTTTTGGCTTCTCCCTTTTGAGACAAGGGCTTGCTACTAGCCCAGGTTGGCCTTGAACTTGTAGCTGCCTTTCAGTTTCAGCCTGCCGAGTTCTGGGGTTGCAGGAGTGCGTGCTTGCAATCGGCTTCCATTACTGTTGCTTTTGTTTGAGTTAGGGTCTCCCTAGGTAGCTCACTATGTAATCCAGGCTGACCTTGAACTTCTGGGACTCCTCCTGCCTCAGCTTCTTGCGTCCTGGGATTATAGGCTCATGCCACCATGAGAGTGCCCGGCAAGAACACACTTTGAAAAGAGGATGTGGGTGGTTACTGTCCAAGAATCCCTCGAGCACACATAGGTAATTCTAGTACGTGATTTCCTTTGTACAGCAAGGAAAACTAATGAACTGACTTCATCTAGAAAAGGCAAAAATAGGATTTTTTGTCTACAAGAGAGGCCGAGAAGGGAAACCTGCAGTAATATCGGCGGATGCGTCTATGTCTCTATTTCACCACAGCTGTCTGCCTACGCATGCGCACATCCACTGACTTAGCACACACGTGCACACGCGCATGCCCAGTGTGAGTTCTACGGCCTCCTCCTTGGTGTCCTGCGGATGCACCAGCCAGCAGTCTGGATGTTGGACCCTGACCTTCCAAAGCTTGTAGTGTATCTATAGCTCGTCTCCTGTCTGCCCCCATTTCCGTGGGGAGGTAGAAATCATGAAAACAGTTCGCTAGCGCCTCTATCTCAGTGACCACAAACCTACACTTCCTTTTTCCTGTTGGGTTCTTGCCACCAAACTGCTTTCTCAAAAAATTAAATCCATGGGTGTAACATCCAGGGCTGCTGGGTCCACTGCCCTTCTCAGCCTGAGCATTTTCAATTGCTTTGCTCTGTGCATTCTAAGGGGTAAATCGGTATTTTTTGTTGGCTTGTTTGCGTGGCTGTGATGAGATAAGCCATCTTGTGATGATGGGCTCTGGACAGTGTCTTCTTTCCTCATTAAGTGTTTATTCTTTCTCCATGTCTGTTTAGGAACTCTTCATGCAGAAGGGGTGTGAAAGGCAGTGTGATTATCTGAGACCGGATAACCCTGGTGGGGCTGGTGGGGCTGCCTTTCCCTGCGGTGTGTGGCCGGGCACATCCCTTAACTGCACTGGAAGTAGTAACAGTTCAGAGGGCCGCGGTGAGGGCCGAGGGGTGAACAGTGCATACAGGCACTAGGGACCATGTGTAATAAATACCTGCTGACTTTTACACTTCATAGCTGCTAATTTCAACTCTGTAATTTCTGTTTCCACCCATAAACACTTTCCTGAATTCCAGGCCCATATGCCCAACTTTCTATGAAATGACTCTGAAATCCAAGACATTATTGTTGGACACCATTAATCTTGTTATTCATTCATGCATTCATTCATCCAATATTCCTCTGTTTTTTTTCTTTGAGACAGGGTCTCACTGTGTAGCCCAGGCTGGCCTCAAACTCACAGGGATCCTCCTACCTCAGCCTCCTGAGTGCTGGGATTATAAGCATGTGTCACCATGCCTGCCTGCCAATATTAGTTTTCCTTAACAAAGGTCAGGGGCTCTTCACCAGGCAATGCGACTGTGGCAGGAAATGAAATAGATTTGTTTCCCGCCCTCCTAGAAATCTGTTGTGGAGGGTTGACAGACAAGAAATAATTAGGTGTGTCATGAGTTCCGAGGCTGAGCTCTGCTGGTGCAGGAGAAATGCCTGAACCTGGGACCATGTCTACATCATCAGTTGCCTGAGCCTTAGGGGTGTTTAGGGGGGCTGGGCAAAAGAGGGTGGAGAGCGTTCCAGATAGAGCAGCCCGAGCGGCCGTGCCAAGGCCAAGGCAGAGGAGTCTCTGGTGGTGAGAGGCCCTGGGAAGCCCGGTGTGCTGGAGGTTGGTGCTCGAGGATGGCGCAGCTTGGGAGGACAGTGGGGAGGTCGGTAGGCCGAAAGCACTTGGCTTGGTGGGAGGCGCCATCTGTGCCCCTGCCTTGAGCTTCATGGATCTTGCTCCCGGTGCCTCAGATTGAGATTTAGAACAGGTCTCTGAGGTCATGTCAGGGCAGAGCTAAAGCTGGGCTTCTGAGAACAGGGACCAGAGGGTGGGACTGAGGACGACAAACAGTTTGAGCTCAGGACAGGCTCACAGAATGGGCCCTGGGGTGAGTAAGGGGGCGGCTGGAATGAGAGATGGGGTGGAGCCATATGGGGGGCCCAGGAGGGAGATGGATTGGGGCAGGGGAGGAGAAAGATCCGTCTGTCCCCCGCACACTGCTCTCTCCCAGTGCACATGGTCTTTTCCTGGGAGGAGGACCGCAAGATCGTCCTTCGGTTCTGGTCTCTGGTCTTCAGCATCCTTGCGATGCTGATGCTGTTCAGCACCATAGATGGGCGGATGGCCTACGTGCAGGGCTCCTACACTGGCTACATTGACTTCTGGACTGACTGCAAGAGGCACAAGTGTGTCAGCTTAGGCCAAGTCACTGGTAAGTGGGGCGGGCGCGGGCCACAGGCCCCCCAGCCCAGCTCTGGCGTGATGGGGAGGAGGCCTCCTTTGGGTCCTTCTGGGGCGGAGCTGGGGACCTCTGCGGTGTCAGGGGCTGCCTAGCGACTCTCTCTCGAGGGGTCTGCGGCTGCCTGTGTGGGGGTAGGACTTTGTTGGCAGCGACGTAAGAGTGGGCAACTCCGTGGGTGTCTGTGGCCAGACTTCGGTGGTCCCAGTCGGGCAGGACCGGCTCATGGGTGTCCCGGGGTGACCCTGGGTGGTGGGCTTGGGTCCCTGTGGTGACCATGGCTGTTTTCCGTCTCTCTCCCAGTGTTCATCCACATGAGCCAGGGCTTTATGATTCTGGCCCTGGCCCTATGCATATTCCTCCTCCCCTGCATGGGCCTGTCCTTCTGGTCAGCGTTCCACCGCCTCAACAAGATTGACACGGTCTTCAGCTTCCTCAACCTCAGCATTGGTAAGTGTCGGCTCGGGCAGGGGTGCTGCCGCCTGCAGGGCCTCCTCCTGCGGCCAGGTGGAGCATCTGGCCTCTCCCTACCTGCTTCTCCTGCTGTGTATCTCAGTCTCTCTCCCAGCGGCAGGGTCTGTGGACCGGCTCTGTTTCCCGCTTCTTGTTCGTTTCCCTTCTCTCCAGGTATCTTTCAGTCTATCCCATGTGCATGTCTGTGTTTCTCTCTGCTTGCCATGGAGGGTGGAAGAGGATGTCTGTCTTCTCTTACTGTGCATCCTCGGGTCACTGTCCAGCCCCCTGTCCATCTCTGGCCTCACCCCAGTGCAGGGCTCCTGATTCTCCTCAGCTTGACGTTCTTTATAGTCAACTGCAAAGCGCTAGAACCGAAGCTCCAGCTGTCTTACCAGGAGGCCTTCTACTTGTGCTGGTGCGCCTGCGCCTTGATGCTGTACGCTGGTGAGGGCGGGGCCTGGAGACAAGGATGAGGCCAGCCTCATCCAATGGGCGGAATCCGGGCGGGATGCAGGACCGGGCCTAGAATCAAGCCCCACCTCCTCCAGGGGCCATATCCTACTTAAACCAAGCTGGCATGTGGAGCACAGAGAGGTCTGCCACTGAGTGGCGAATAGACTATCGCCGGTGGACCTTGCAACGCGCCTCGCTGCATGGATCCCAACTGAAGGGCTCCTACGAGAACCGTGGGTACACTGAGAAGCGGCCAGATCCTAGCGACACCCAGGGCAAGCCCGAAGACCCTCCAAAGGAAAACACGCTCACTCCTCCGGACGCTGACCAGTAACGGTGACCAGATGCCGGCACATCACTCAGCACCACCACATCTGGTGGTTAGGTTTCCCTTGAGGTCACGCGCTCCGAAGAGAGCTGGCCGTCTAGCCCTGACCCCGCCCACTGGGGAGGTCTCCGTCGGGCCCCCCCCAGAAGTCGTAACGTGCTCCTCCATTCTGCCCCTCCTCCATTTCGGCCCATCCCCCATCCCAGGCAGAACGGCTGGTTTGTGTGGCCCCATCCCGGGTGCCCAGCCCACGCGCCTAAATGGCTCTCTGTCCTGTTAACCAGAGATTACTCATCAGAACTTCTATCTCGGAGATCCAGTCCCATCGCAGCTGTCCATTCCTGTCTGAGGCGAATACACCAGTGTCTGGCATTTGGTGTATCCCACACTTCTGCAGAGCAGGCCCCTTCCCATTAGGGTGTGGCTTGTAAACGCCCCCCACCCCTCCCTGGCTTCTTCGGTACAATAAAAGGCAGGTACCGCCCAAACTCGAGGTCAGGCTTTCCATCTTACTCCTCACTTAGCCTGAGGGCAGGGTTGGGGGTCAGGATGGCTTGCATCCCTGACTTGCCCTGGCGGGGTGGGGGGGTGGGGGCTGGAGGAGTATGAGTCTCCCCCACCCCTCCTTATGTTACGCCCCCTTGCCTTCCCCATCTGCTTGGGATGCACCACTGGGAGCCCAGGACTGTCAAGTCTCAGCCCAGTGGGTCCCAAGGGGATGTAGATGCCCAAAGTGTGGGAGGCCAGATAAAACCAGAACTTGATGCTCGTTGGAAGCATATCTGGTTTTATTGGGAGCAGGGCCTGCATGGGCCATTCAGAGATTATCAGCCATGGTTTTCTTTATCCACTCGTGGTACTCTGTCACTTTGGTAAAGATGCTGGGGGTGTCGGGGAGGCCACATGGGTTGTGGCCCCATGAGATGATGCCTTGTAGCACGCCATCACAGACCAGTGGGCCCCCCGAATCACCCTGGGGGGACACAAGAAGGAGAGAGGAGTTAGAAGGAAGACTGTGGCTTTGCTTTACCTGGGCTTTGGACACAAGAGCTCATTGCCAAAAGGCGGGTGTGGATTTGAACACGGGACCCGAGTCCTGGGCAGAGGGGAGGGACACCCAGGGGTGACAAGGCCATCTGCAGACAGGGCAGCGGGAAGGAGCAGGGCCAGCTACGGACTTCACCTAGGGCTCCTCTCAGCAGCCCTGGACCTGGAGGCTTTCTCTGAGCACTCAGGTGATACCAGAAGTGATGGGGTGACTCCAGGGGGTGCAGGGGCAGGGTGGAAAGGGAAGAAGGTGGGGCGCAGCTGCCAGCTTAGTTCTTAGGTCAGCCCTCCCACATCCCACGGGGTGGGACTGGCTCACCATACAGGTGTCTTTGCCTCCAACCAGGTGCCCAGCGCACAGCATGGTGTCTGTCACCTTTGCAACATGGGCATCTTTACAGTTCTTGCTGGGCAGGATCTCGAGGTCCACACACTGCAGCTCATCTGGGAACACAGCTGCAGGCCAGGGCAAAAAAAGAGGTGTGTCCAGACCCAATGAGTCCCTCACCCCACCCCCATGCACCCCAGTGTAGCCCCGGACCACATGGCCTGCCCCAGACTTACGATGGCCAGCATCTGGCTCTATGCTGCCCCAGCCCAAGGCCAAGCACATGGTCCCTGGCTGCACTTCTTGGGTGGGCAGCGCCAGGACCTGCACGGAGCCAGTGATCTGGGCGGGTTCCTTCAGACGCAGGAGCATCAGGTCGTGGCTGTAGTCATCATCAGGGCTGTCGGAGTGTGGCTCCAGGAGGCTCATGTTGAAATCAGGGTGAGGGAAGCTCTGGCTGACGTGAATGTGCTGGCCAGTGTTTTCATCGTCAAACAAGTTGTGGCGGCCCAGCCAGATCTGGTAATGGCTGAGTCAAAAAGGAGTTGGAGGGGATGAGGAGAGAGGAGGGGACAAAGGAGATGAGGAGGGAGAGGCATGGACCAGAGTCTAGGGGAAAGACAGAAACAGAGATAGGAAGGAGACAGAGACAGAGACAGACACAGAAACACAGGGGAAGAAGTGGGAGGGTGGGGGGAGATGCAGCCGTGGGGGAAAGAAAGCTAGGGGCAGGACATGGCAGGGGTGGTGGTGTTGGTGGTGGTGAGATGGGAAGGCAGGAGCACAACAGAGGGAAGAAAGGAGGCACCAGGATGCAAGGGCGAGGAGGAGGGGAGGACTGGGAGGCAGCAGGGACGCAGGTGAGAGCCGAAGAGCCAGAGAACCCGGCCCAGACACAGTGCAGAGCAAGGGGGTGGCCAGAGCAGAGTGGGTGGGACCCAGACACAGAGCAGCCCGGAGGCTTCCGGTAGGCAGAGGGCAGTGCAGGCAGAGAAGAGCCAGGGGAGGAGAGGGAGGAGCCGGGAAGGCCCTGAGCGGCTGGGCTGCAGATGGCAGAGCTGAGGACTCCCAGCAGGCAGCCCGGGCCCCAGCCCAAGGCCAGCGCCAGCATTAGCCACCCGGCCCGCCCTCCTCCATGGGGCCCAGCTCAGGCAGCCCTTTCCTGAGCCTCCTGTCCTGGACTGTGGCCCCACAGTGAGGGCAGGGTGAGGAGCACCCCACACAGACTGGGGTGCACCCATTCCTCTGCTCCGGGGGCTCCCTGGGGCCCATCCTGAGGTGTAGTGAGCAGTGATGGGGAGGAGACTGAGATAGGGACCTGGAGAGAGACACAGAGACTTAGGTGGGGGACACAGCATGACAGAGAAGGCAGAGACACACCCAGACATTGACAGAGATGGGAGATGGGGGAGACTCAGAGACACTAGGTGGGAGGAAAGAGGGAGACAGAGAAACAGCAAGACCTAGGCACCCTAAGCCCTGGTGGTCCGGATACAGCTCTGTCCCTCTCCTTACCACCCTGGACAGCAGCCCCCACCTCCCCCTCAATGCCTGGCCTTGCCCGGGTCACCCAGAATGGTGCTGGCTAGTCAGTCCTTGGGGCACTCATGCCCTCTTCCTCAGACCCTGCCCCTACTCACTCGTTGATGCAATGGGCAGCCGTGAGCACCCACTGGGGGTCCACCAGGACGCCCCCACACTTGATGTCACTGAAGTGGTACACAGCAGCCTGCCAGGGGTGGGAGTCCCTTGCACACTCCTGGCCTCCTATCACCCGGGACTGGATGGGCGGTGCCGCACCTGCAGGATGGTGAGCAGGGTGAGGAGGGCTGAGGGCTGAGAGCTGAGAGCCTGGGCTTGGAGAGGGAGGCTGAGGTCCATGGCTCCTGCACTGAGGACAGGGCAAGGGGCTCAGGGTAGGTACCCAAGTGCAGAAGCTGTCCTGAGACTGAGTTAATAGCTGGTCCTGGGTGGGGAGATTTAAATTCTTGAGCTGAGCTCAGCCCAGGGAATCCACAGGAAGCAGAAGACTGCAAACAGCACCAGGTGTGATGGTCAGGGGTCAGGTCGTTGGAGCCTCAGACTGAGGGCTGGCAGGCAGAGTGTTTGGGGAGAGGAGAGCTCCCAAAATCAGGATGAGGGCCATGTGAGAGAAGGTCGGGGCTGGCAGGGGGAATTTGCAGTATTTGGGGGCTCCTAGGCTAGGGAAATAGGGCCTGGACTGAGCTTTGGGAAAGGGTGCTTCTGAGAGAATCAGCTTTTCTGGGCAGAAGACCTCAAGGTGATTTGGGGTTCCTGGGTTGGGCTAGGAGGAGGAGCTGCCCTGAGAGAATTCAGGGTTTCTGGGTCAAAAGGTAAGTCAAGGAGCAGGGTAAATGCCAGGAGTGGGCTTCGGGTGGTTTCGGGGTCCTTCCTGTGCAGAGTGTGGGGAAGGGCATGTTGGGGCAGGGCTGGGCCAGAGCCTGGACGGCCTGGCTGAGATCTGGGGGTCCAGAGCGGAATGGAATTCTATATGTTGAGGGGCTTGTGGCTGGTGGGGAGGCTGAGTTTGCTGTGTGGGCTTCTGGGGGAGACTGATGGTCTATTTGGTGTCACACACCCCTCAGTTTGGGAAGCAGGGTCATCTGTGGGGGACTTGGCAGAATGGTGGGGAGCAGATGTCAGTGTCTGGAGGACACAGCTGAGAGCTGACAGCTGGACAGAGAAAGCCACTGGGTATGGTGGGAACTGGGGTGTCAGGAGCCAGGCTCTTGGGCCTGGAGGCATAGAGAGTGAGAGGAGATGATCAGGGTCTCAGGGCCTGAGAGACACAGATGGCCCAGGATTGCTCCCTTTGGTACTGGCTGGGGAGGAGGAAGGAGGAGCACCCTAGGGTGGGAAGATGGACCAAGAGGGCTTTGGCCATTTGGAAGGCGGAGAGAGAGAGGAGAGAGCCAAGCATCCTGGTCTGGGTTGTCTGTGGGTTGGGGGGAATGAGGCTGAGTGATGGACATAAGGGAAGGACTCATGGCAGGGAGAGTGCCCTCAGGGCCGGGGTCTCCATGCCCTCCCAGACCCCTCCCAAGCTCTCACCAGTCTCCCCCAGGAACAGGACGAGGCACAGCACCAGGAGCCACATGGTCACAGGGGTGTCCAGGGCCAGGCAGGTGATGAACTGCTTGCTGAGCAACCTCCTTGGGGAGCCTTTAAAACCCTGTCCCCCAGAGCTCCGCCCCTACCCTGCTGGCACTGAGATGCTGGCCAGAGCTCCACCCCTGCTGGCTGGCCCCCAGAGCCACTGAACCAGGGAGGACCTGCACCTGGTGTCCTGCAGGCTCTGGGTCAGGCTGGGTGGGCTCCCAGGGCTGAGGCCACACGGGGCAGGCCCTGCAGCTCCTGGGGTCCTGCTGAGGGCACCGGGCCAGTGAGGCCAGGTGGAGGTGAAGGGTTATCTCACTCCCATCCCAAAGCTCCATATATATCTGGCTCCTGGTGAGGCCCTGTAGGTGAAGACCAGGTGAGCCTCCAGATACCTGCAGAGAAGAGTCTAAACCCTTGCACTGCTGAGAGCAGAGAGAGCCGCTCCCCAGCTGCCTGCTCTCCCTGATACAGAAAGCTTGGTGCTCAGAATGCCCTGTTCCTCCCACTCCCAGCCCAGTGCCAGGTACCCATATGTATTGTTCTGTTCCTCATGTGTATTAGGGGAGCACATTGCCCCAGTCTTAGCACCCTCAGATCCAAGAGTATGAAGTGTTGGGGTCTCACAGAGTTGGTTCTCCAGGGCTTCCAAATCCAATGTCCCCAGCAATGGGTGCGTCACAGAGACCTTCCCATTCCTTGTTCCCAGATACAGGAGCTCGGGTCATCTCGCAGTCCCAGATATCTGGGCCAGCTGACCTCCTAGATCAAGAGTCTCACCACAAATCCTAGTGACCACTTGCACATGGTCTCTGAAACATTTAGATCTTGAGAACTGTGCTTTGGTGTAGACAGTAGGTTCCTGTGCCTCAATATTCAGCAACCTTGAAAATCACATTTGGGGGTCTCTGAGGAGAATCAGGGACAGATTCCTGAGGTATCAAGTCCATAAGCTTGGAATATTTTTTTTGAGAGAGTGTTTCACTGTGCAGTTCAGGCTGGGCTTGAACTCACATTGTAGTGCAGGCTGGCCTCAAACTCGTGGCTATTTCCTGCCTCAGCCTCCTGAGTGGTGGGGTTACAGGCATGCACCACCATGTCCTACTCAGCTCCCGATACATTATCTTGACTCTGGTAAAGTCAAAGCAGCTCTCTGGAGCCCCAGCTTCTTCTGGATGTCAAAATCAGGCTATGGACAGGAGGGAATTTGCCTTTCTGCCACAGCTATCGGGAAGCCTAGAACTGAATTTCAAAGCTAGAGAAGTCCTTGGGGGACGAGATAAGAGCCAGATCCTTTCTAATGCAGAATATTTATCCAGGGTCAGACACTTCTGATCAGTTCACGGGAATGACTTCATTTAATGCTCACCACAGCCAGGGGAGCAGGAGAGGTGGTCGGTCCTATTTTACAGCGGGGAGAGCCCAGGGTGAGTGAGATCACACATCTATCTGGTCGTTTAGGGCGCTAAGAGAGTGGATGCCAGAGACCAGCCCACCCCGTGTCTCAGCCCCCACCCAGCCCCTGAGGAAATCACAGAGGCACCTATGGGGAAGCTTGTATGGGTGGCATTATCTTGGTGTGACTCAGAGGACCCTGAACACCAATTGGGGCTCAGGTACCACAAGACCATGGCTGCCTCCTGAGATTTGGATGGGAGCTCGCTTCTGTCCCAGGTCTGGACGGGGCTGCTGGCCGGCCACGGGGACTCCCGCTCCCCAGGCAGGGGCACAGGTGTCAGGTCGGTTAGTTCCTCCTTATGGTTTCCCTGATCCACTGCAAGTAGCGGCATACCTTGGTATAGACACCAGCCTTAGCGGTAGTGTCACAGGGGACGTCGCCCCAGGACACGATGCCCTGCAGGGCACCCCCACAGATCAGGGGTCCCCCGGAGTCACCCTGTGAGGAGGAAAGGGGTTTCCAGTGAGGGGCAGCTTCCTGAAGTCGACAGTGCCCCCTTCCTCACCCTCATCATCATTTGCAATGTGGATCAAAACCCAGCCCAACCCCAACCCAGTTTAACCCTAGCCAATCCAGCCCAGGTCTGAGCCAGCACAATCCAGCGGGAGCCACCGGAGCGTGTCCAGCCTTACCCTCGCGTATGCCTACCCGCTTCAACTAAGCCAAATCTAGGGCAATCCAGCCCATCTTTTGCTCCCCCATTCGGACTCCATGCCACCCAGTACTACCCAGCCACATCTTGGCATTTTTCCTATTTCCTATTTCCCATTGGACCCAAGCTCACTCCCATCCCCAGCCCCGGTCTATCCTGCCCCCGGCCCGCTTCACCTCGATGCCCATCCTTGACCCTGACCCTGACCCCCACCACTGTCTCAAGCAATGTATTCATTTGTCTACAACTCACGCTAGCGCCTTCTCTGGCCCCAAGCAAAGGAAACGGAAGCCCATTCCCACTCCCAGACCTGACCCTGCCCGCCTTCATCCCGCGAGGGCCCCTCCGGGCGCTGACCTCGCAGGAGTCCGTGCCTCCGCCCTCCGCCGCGGCACACACCATTGTGTCCATCAGGCGTCCCGGGTAGTCCTTGTCGCAGGCTGCTCGGGAGATAACGCTGATGTTGGCGCAGTGCAGGGTGTCGGGCACAGTCACTGGGGAAGACAGTGGTGGGGAGCCAGGGTTTGGAGCGCACTTGTGCGCTGTGGCGCCTGGAGGACAGGGCTCCTCAGCAAGGCCTGATAGCTAAGCTTACCCCTTCACGCACCTTGTGACTCGGGGCTCCCCGTGGTCCCCGGCTTGTTGCCTGACACCAGGCCCCAGCCGGACACAACGCAGGGCTCCCCGGGCTGGGGGCAGTGCACAGGCAGGGCCACGGGTCGCACTTGCGGAGTGAGGCGCGCTGGCCGAGCTAAGCGCAGCAGCATGACATCGTGGCGGTGGCTGCGCGCCTCATAGCGTGGGTGTGGGATGGCCAGAGAGACCAAACGCAGCTGCTCCGGGCCTTCGCGCTTGTGCAGGTTGTGCTCGCCCAGGTGCGCTCTCATGAAGCTGGGGGCAAGTAGGTACCCGGGAGTGGGCTGGTGAGGAGGTGACAGAAGGCCCCGAGATCCCATGACCTTTTCCCAAAATCCTGAGCCCAGTGGCTCCAGACATTTCCCCTCAGGGGTCCAGGGGTCGCAGGTCTGGCAGATGCCTGCTATGCAACCTCCAGGCTTGGACGGTTTCCTCCTCTAACCTAGACTTCTCAGATTCCTAGAGTCTGGACTGGTCAGGGGCTGAAAAGATGGGCCCTTACCAGTCCTCCCTTCCCTCCTTTAGGGACTCAGAAGCCACACCCTTCCTCACCCAGGGCCCTGGCCTCCCCACTCTCCTCTCCATCCAGAGCTAGGATTTAGACTCCCTGGTGCAGGTGCCAGGGTCTGCCCCACCACCATCTGGGAGCTGCTCCCCAGCCGTGCCCCTCCCCGACTCTAAACCCCACCTGCCTACCTGGTCCGGCAGTGGGCCGCAGTCAGCACCCAGTGTGGGGAGATGAGGGAAGCCCCGCAGTTGAAGCGGCCCCGCTCATAGAGGGCTACTTGCCATGGCTGGGAGTGGGGTGCACACTCTTCACTTTCCAGCCCCTTGTCACTGACCTGGGCTGTGGGGAGGAGGAGCAGGGCATCCCTGAAGATGGGGCCTTTGCAGGGCACCCTGAGCCTCCCTGACACCCTCTCCTGTTTGCGCTTTTCATCTGGGTTCTCTCCCCTTTTGGGGACAATACTGGAATTGATTCTAGGGATTTCACACGGAGCCACATCCCCAGCCCTTCCACAAGCATTTCATTTGGATACAGGGGTTTACTGAGTGACTCAACGGCCCAGGCTGGGCTTGAACTTTCACAGGCTCCTGCCTCAGCCTCCCAGAGCGCTGGGCTTGCAGAAGTGTGCACATCACCCAGTGCCCTGTCCCTTCAGAGTCCTTCCTGGTTATGCTGAGGCCAGTAAAACCCCAGCTCCCACTCTGTTTGCTGCAGGAACCTGAGAGGGAGAGGAAGGGGAGAAGCCTAGAGCAGGCGAGATGGTCTCAGTGGCTGGGGTGCAGGTAAGGACACCAGGTACGGTTTCAGATGGGGAGATCACTTGGAACCAGTCACTCAAAAATGACCAAACTGTCATAGCTGTCAAGTGAATGCGGCCACTCAAAATGCATGACGCACAACCCCAGCTCCGTATCTGAGCCAAATTTGTTGTGCTGTGCAAGACACTGAGGTGGCTGCCAAGGTCACACACACACACACACACACACACACACACACACACACATACACGCATGCACACACATGCATGCACAGTCAGGCTTGCAAATTGAGGCACGGGGGCAGAGAGCCAAAGTCCACTTGCACGATGTCCACAGGGGTTACAGCTTCTAGAGCCCCAGCAGGGGGGTCCATGGGTGCACATGAGCGTGGGCAGTGGGATAGGGGCATGCAGGTGCTGACACGAGATCTGTGCACACGTGCAGAGCACTGGGCGTGGGTCAGGCCTGAACTGCCAGGCTCCAGTGTGGGTCCCGAGGTGCACACTCCCACACATGAGCCAGACCCTGGGTTCAAATCTGCTGTCTGTGAGACTTCGAGCAAACAATTTGATCAGTCTGTGCCTCAGTTTCCTGATCTATGAAATAGGGGTGCTGTTTAAGAGGCCACCTGGGTGTCTTTATGGGCACGTACATATAGAAGCTCCCATAGAGGTTTTGGGTACATGTATGGCCAAAGTCAGGCAGGGCCAGCTATGATAGCTGAGGTTAAAACTGTGACTCATGCCCAAGCCACTCTGTAGGAAGTGAGAGTCACAGATGCCAACCCAAAGGGCTTGGGGGTTGGCTCACCTGGTGACACACAGGCCTGGGGGGTGAGGGTGAGGGTGAGGGACGCTTAGCCAGAGATGCAGGAGGCCAGGGTGGCACACATTTGCCCATTCTATGTCAGCCCCTGAGCCAGCCTCATGGTGTTCCAGGTTGGTCACCAGGTTTCACAGCAGGCTTTATGTGCATGGGCAGGAGGGCCCTGCATGCCCGTCCACCACACACTCACACACCCACATCTACACATGCACACATGCACACTTCCACAGGATGCAATCATGTGCATGCATCCAATCAGGGATGTTTCCAGGCCACAGGGTCACAACCCCATACCGTGGCAACATGGCTGTATCCCCTACAAGGTCGTTCTGGCTCAGGGCCTCCTCTCTGCCCACCAAGGTCAGGAACTGGACCAAGCTGCTGGCAAGACCTGGAGAATGCGGATGTGGTGGACCAGAGGCTTAACAAAGGAGGGCCAGGTCGTGCTGTGAGCAGGGCAAGGGTGCTGGCTCAACAGCTGGGCACTGGGCCGCATGTGGCCAGTCCGAGCCAGAAGAGATCGGAGGCTCCCACTGGGTGCAGCAGGCAGGTGGGAGGCAGAGAGGAGAGAGCACAGGCAGAGCCCCAGGGGAGGCCGACAGCATGGGGGAAGCCTGGGGGGCCCTGGTTGGGTGTCGGGGGAGGATGGTTAATGAACATCTAACTCCCAATTTCTCCAGGGCAGAGGCGTTGGGTTACATTTGTTTCTCCGATGGTTGGTGGCACAGCCCGGCCTGGAGCTCAACTGCCACGTAGCCCCCTCCCTTGTCAAACGAGGGCCGTGGGCCCCACTGTACATGTGAGTGCCAAGTGCTGTACCTGGCATACACTGGGTGCTTTAGCAATGCCTGCTCACCTGGCGGGTACCCCATTTGATCATCACCACAACCCCATGAGCTTAGAAAGGCTGTTGTTAAACCTGAATCACAGAGACATGAAGGAACTAGAAAGTGGCAGAGGTGGGATTTGATCTCAGAACATGTGCTCTTGGCTCCTCCTGCTCTGGGTGAGGGCAGGCACCTTATTATGTTCATCCCTATGTGACACCATGGAGACACTGCATGGTCGCCACAGGCAGGTGCTGTCTTGCACAGAAATCACTTGAGGCCCGGAGAAGTAAAGCAGTGTCCTTTTTTTCTTTCTTTTTTTTTTTTTTTTTGGTCTTTTTCATTTTTATCGGTACCAGGGATCGAACTCACGACTGCCTGCTTGCAAGGAAGGTACTCATGCCGCTGAGCTAAATCCCCAGCCCCTAAAGCAGTGTCCTTAGGGTCACACACCAAGGAAGGGGCAGTGGTAGGATTCAGTCAGGCCTCTGTGTCACCACTGTCAGGACAGGGAGAAGCCACGGATAGTGCAGCCCCTAAGAGCTCTCTGGGTGCTAGATAGCTCAGCTGGGTTGGGAGTGGGGTGATTAAGTGGCCTCTGGGTGAGGTGGGGGTGGGCAGGCCCCAGGGCCCAGGTGTTCTGGGGAAGGGAACCCCGCACTCCTGTAGCCCCAGCATTGCCCCCTCTCACCTGCAGCGATCAGCAGGAAGGAGGAGGTGAGCAGGAGCTGCATGGTGGAGGGGGACCCGGGCTCGGCTGAAATCTGTGCTGGGGAGAGCGGAAACGGGGGTGAGCTTGGACTCTTCTGCTCCCAGTGGGACCCTTCTGAATTAAGTGCCACCTTGTCACCTGCTCCTCCAGCTGCCAGCCTCTCCAGGTCCCCTGTCTCTGGAGGCTTTACTGTCCCCTTAGATACTCGGACAGCCCCAGGGACCCCCACAGCCCGCTGGCCCCCTGCACTCTGATGACAGCCTTGGGGTCTCTTGCCATCCTCAGCGCTTTGATCTGGGCAGCCACCCCAGCTTGTTGTCTGGCCTCGTGGGTCCCTCTGCAGTCCACCACTCTCCCAGCCTGTTCCCGAGAGCTCCAATCCCTGTCCAGACCCCGAGTTACCCCAGGATAAAGCCCCAGCCCCTCGGCCTCACTTGTGAGGGTGTGAGTGGCCCATCTGGCCAGTCTCTCACGATCTTGACCTTTTCTAACCTCCCAGCCTCTTTGGGTCCCTGCCTCTCCCATCAGGCTATGAACTGCCTGTGAGCTAAGCTGGGCCAAGGACTGGATTCCTAGGCCTGCCGGTGCACAGGCTGCCCTAGGGAAGACCTCTGCAAGCATTGAGAATGAATTAAAGTCCTTGTCCTCCTCTTCCAAGGTAGCACCTGTCTTTCGAGGCTCATCTGTCTCCTTTTCTGGGAGACCTCAGGAACTGACAGTGTCTTCTGAACTCCCCAGTGCCCATCTCACCCCATTACCACCCAGGTGCCCACAGGTGCTGTGGTGTGACCTGTCCCTCCCATCCCGCCCCATCTGAGGGTGCTGAAGGCTCCTCTCCGTGTCCCCAGCACTGCCCAGCCTGGGCCTGGCACATGGGAGGTGCTGAAGAAGGTGCTCTGAACTGGTTGGAACCGTGTTCTCCTAAGCTTGTCCTGGCTTGGGGACAAATGCTTCCAGGTGTGTCCTCTTGATTCACTCCATTACCCCCGATCCTTCTGGTGGCTCTAGGATATTTTCTCGGTTAGGGTTCAACTCAGAGTCATTGTAAAGGACACATGAACCTATGCAGTGCCCTTGACACTTATAGCATGGTCTGCATCTCTCCTCCAGAGACCAGGGCACTGGGTGCTTCCCTCCCCAACCCCTCCCCAAGTCCTTTCTCAAAGCTCTCACCCCCTCCGGATCCTCCAGCAGCATCTAGGGTGGCTTGGATTCCAGGAGAAGGGAGGCAGCCACTGGGGCACCTGAATTTATAAGCTCCCAGCCCTCTCTGGGTCTAGAGGTGTGGTGAGGTGGGATGGGGTGGGGTGAGTGATGCCGGGTGGGGTAAGAGGTGGCTGTGAGGTTTACAGACAGGGACGCCTCAGTGGCTGCTGGGGTGGGGGACTAGGTCTAATGAGCATTTATTGGGCTGAAGTTTTGTCTGAGTCTATAAGAAGGCATTCTCCCCTGGGGGAAAGGGACAGGACCAGAGGATTGGAGGACATCAGAATACAAAGCTTGGAATTTGGGGTCTTGAGTGTGTCGACTGAATTCTGGAGTCATAAGTCTTGTGCCTCAGGTAGGGTTCTGGATCTTAGATCCCGGATTTGGGATTCAGATTTTTCAATCAGGCTCTCAAGTTTTGGATTTTGGGGCCTTGAGTTTGGCATTCACGACCTGAAGTTTGGAGTGTGGGTTTTGATGTCTGAGTTGTGGGATCTGGCTCCTGGAGTGACCTCTGAGGTCTTGGGCTTGAATTCTGGATCTTTGACATTTGAATCTAGAATCCAGATGAGGAGCTTGGAACTTGGGCCTTGAGCTTGAAATCTTTTGCACTTGCTGTGTGCAGTCTGGGCCCTGGAGTACCAACGGTAGTCTCCGGATTCTGTATTTTAGTGTTGTGATTCTAGAGTCTAGACTCTGGACTCTGATATCCCGAGGGGGCACCATGGAGTTTCAAATCTTCCTTGCACATCAGATTCCCTGATTCTGAGATTGCTAGAATCTCGGGTGCTGGATATAAATGTAGAGACCAGAAAGAAGCCTGTGGACTTTATCCTGGATCCTGCAGTACTCACGCTGTATTCTGGATCTTGAGGTCTGGATCCTGCATTCTGGAAGCCAGACATCAACACTAAGATGATCCAAGTCTTCAGGTATTTGAAGTTGGCTTCTGGTGGCTCAGAGGGCCCTGAGCAATTGTCTAGAGTCTAACTAATGAGCAGGTCCTGAGAGCAGGAGGGACCAATTATACGCGTGGTCCCTCCCTATGTCTGCAAAACTATCGCCTTTATTGGAAGTGTCTGCATGATCGGAGCTCAGCCCCTCTAGCACCATAGGCCTTCAAAATCCCTACACTATCATATTTTTAGATTCTAGGAGCACAGGTCCCAAGACATCCCAGCAGTCTAGGACCTTAGGTAGGTTGAAAACTAAAGTTTAGGATTGTGTAGATCCACCGAGCTTCCCACATCCGGGAACTCTGGCATTTCCCCAGCACCGGAAGCCCAGACAGGCAGGCACTGTAGAAATTCAGGTCTGCAGATTCACAGTCATTCTGGACTCCAGGCTGGGAGCTACGTTAAAGCCCTTTAGTCCCTGTGTCGCCCCGCACATTTCATGCTCAGTGTCTTAGGTCCCTACGCTGGGTCACACCTTCGGGGGAACAGTCTATTTATTGGGTACTAAGAGCTTCTCGGGCTCCTCCCGACAGCACAATGAGGAAGTCACTATAGAGGAATTTAGGCCCAGAGAGAGGCGACACAGAAATCAAGAGGCCAGGGTGTGAGGAATCTGGTACTCTGACTCCATGAATAGCCGGTGGGTGCCCTCTTCCCTCTGCACCAGCCATCCGCGGGAGGAAGTACTTATACTACTAGGGCAATAATACCCAGGGCCTCCCGGGGCCAGGCCTGACCTAAGCGCTTTCTGCACCCATCGCACGTGTTCTTCTTTCCAAATCATGCCAGGAGGCACTGTCAGCGTCCTCCGGACACTGGGAACCCAGAAAGCGCTCCCACCTAGAAAGTCCAGTTGAGAGCACAGAAGACCCGCCCATGCGGTGAAGTCATGTCTCGGTCCCGCCCATGCGATGACGTCACGCACCCCCCACCTTCTGGACCCTGAAGTGTGGCCTAGGGCCATCCCATACCCAGTGTCCTCAGGGCCCCCTCACCTCACTCACTCACTCATTGTCTTCCCAGACCCCTAGGACAGCCCACTGTCCACCTGCTCCCTTGGGAGACCCCCAACCCCGCGTCTCCTCTCCTCTTCCTTCCCTTCACCCTTGCAGCTCACTGGTCCCCAGCGCTTTCCTTCTGCCCCTGCCTCTCTCTGCCTTGTTGCGTCCCCTCTGCTCCTTGGCCTGGCTTCAGCACAGCTGGCCCCTTCCTCCTTCCCCGCCCCCACAGGCCCCACAGCGTGGTTCCACAGCGTTCCTCCTCTGCTCACAGCCCTTCACTCTGGGACCAAGCCCGAGCCTCTCCATCTGGAGCCCTTGGGGACTCCCTGGCTCGAAGGGGCCCCCCTCGAACCCCTGCCCCAGTCTCTAGCTCTGCACCTGTCTCTAGCTCCTCCTGCCAGAAGGAGGCCTGGGCCACCTTTAATTTAAACCCATCACAGCCTCTGTTACCCCCGGAAGTGGTCGGGGAGCCGTTTCAGGGCACCAGCTCCAAATTCAGTTGGCCTGAGTTCAGATCTGATTCTACTAATTTGGGAGACCCTGGTGTTTTAGTTTCTCATCTTCTAAAACCCCATCATCAGAGGACCCCCGAATTGTCTCCCCAGGAGCACTGAGTTAGTTCCTGCTAGGAGCTAAGAGCCCATGGAGACGGCTGTAGCCTCATCCTTGCTGTACACACGGGCGGGGATTGTTTAAGGTCACCTACAAGTGGGGAGCCAAGGGTCTGGCTCCAGAAGCCCTGTTGCCTTTGGGATGCGAGGGCCACCAGCTTCGCGGCCGGATGCGTATCAGTCAAGGGCACTTAGATTGGGGCGGGGCCTCCTCGGGGTTGCATGAGGTTAGACCCACGGGCAACAGCCGTGTAAATCATAAAATCAGACGGATCCCCGAAAGACCGGACTAGTGAGCTGGGCTGAATCTCGTGCCTGTCACACAGTGTCGTGAACCCTTGGGCACAACACTCAGCCTCTCCGTGCCTTGATTGCTTCTCCATAAAGTGGACAGAGTAACTGCTTCTGCCTCTTCTAGAGGAGGGTTTTCAGGCTTGAGATCCACGCCTGGCATGCAGTGTTCGCTGAGTAATTCCGAGCTGCTGTCACCGCAGCCACCATCGGCACCAGCATCCTCCTCCTTCTTGTGTCCCCTGGGCTCAGAACCTGGGGAGCAAATGGGGTCCAGGCTAGAGGATGCCGTGTTCCTTGATCGTGCAGGTGTGACATCTTTTTCAGAATCACTGAATCACATTTTATTTTTAAAATTTATTTTCTTTGTGGTACTGTAGAATGAACCCAAAGCTGTCACACTGTGCTACACCCCCAGTCCTTTATATCTTTTTTCTTTTGGAGACAGGGTCTTTCTATGAGGTTCAGGTTGTCCTTGAGCTGACTTTGTAGCCCAGGCTGGTCTCGAATTGCAAGGATCCTCCTGCCTCAGCCTCCCGGGCGCTGGGGTCAGAGGCGCCACCACACCCCGCTACGCTGACTGCATTTTTTTTTTGGGGGGGGGCCGGGGATCGAACTCAGGACCTCTCAATTGGCAGGCTGGCGCTTACGCAGCTGAGCTAACTGACTGCATTTTAGCAGGTGAAAAATGCTGCGGCCCACAAACCGAGGCCGGGTCTTTCAGTGTACGGGGCTGGGGGGAGAGAGAAAGATCCAAGGTCACGGCGAACGCCCTTTGAACCACAGTCCTAGGATCCCGCGTCTCCATCAAGCACGCAGCGGGTTCTCTCCGTCTCAGTCTCGGGTGTCTGGGACTCCGTGGTCCCCAGCACTCTGCTCGGTGAGGCTCTAATTCGAACTCAGAACCTGTCTTTGTCCCTCTCTCACATAGGGCGCGGCCGCAATCCCCAAGGTGAGCATTCAGCCTCCAGCACCGTAAGAGCCACGCCCAC